AACGAGGGAGAAATTTAGTAAATCAAAACGGTATAAAATTTTATTCGAAATCACGCATGTGTACGGGACCGTATATAAAACAATAATCTGTCCTGCCGAATGATCGTATTTTTTGTATACTTTATGTCAAACCGCATCCAAATTAGAAATACAAAAAGGGATCTTCGAAGGAAATAAATAGTACAAATAAAAGCTCATACATTCCTTCCGCGATGCATAATAACGTTGCCAAACTTTGTGCGGCTTCCGGCCTTACGACGACTGTCGCGTGACTCGTTCCGCGTCTTGCAATTACGTTAATCATGAAATTTCTAATAATAATCGCCGCTGATTATTCTAATTAAAAGTACGTAGCACACGTGCGATTGTTCATGCATGATTTGATTGAGAATGTCTATGGCGAAAGTTGATTTCAATGGCTGTATTTGAAATGAATTTATGTGACGTCTATCACCTGTTTATATTGTATTGTAATATAGTAACATTATATAAAAATAAAATTACTGTATATGTTATCTTTTATACTTTATACACTTTATATATCTTACATAACCCGCAAAATAATAATTTATTAACTTTTTAAGCTCAATTTGAGAACTTCAACGCTTTCCCAAGAGAACTGCTATTATTATATACCTATAAAATATTGACTTACGTTTTACATTACGATGTGATTTAGAAAGCGCGAATTAGAAAGGCAACAAACTGTTCGATAAAAAGCTGATAAATCATTTGCGAATTCATTTAATATTTATTTATTACTGTTATTTACACACACAAATTTTTCTGAAATCTACTATTTCTAACGCGCGTACGACTAGTCGTTTTTATCGAAGATGGAATTTTTATATATATGTATACTCTCTATTACGTAACGATTACGGCGTGTAATTATTCGCTAAAACGATTTGGTCTATTTTAACTACACTTTTCACGAGTCATTTTACTATTATCAATATAGAACTCTACTTGTGTCGAGATACATAACAGGTCAGGAACTCCAGAGTGACTGATAATGACAGTGATGGTGACACCAACATCTACGATGGCTTAGCGGCAACAAGAGAAGATTACATCAGTCAAGTGCCAATTGAGAACTGATTTAATCAACTGTGCATCGCTCGTCTTTCTGATGCAACCACCGCACTTTATTGAGCCTCATTAGAACCATAATTGGCAATAAATAAAGACATGATATTAAATGCTTAAATTTTGTTTGCTATTTGTATCTTTCATGTATTAAGTTTATTCCTCGGTGTATTATATTAATTATATTAAATTTAAATCATTCGCACATATTTTACCTCTTAAAAATATACCGTTCGGTGAAAGATAAACGAGTGGCAATCTAAATAAAAATTTTGAGATAATTTTACAATATCATAATATTGCTCGTGTCATTGCCATTACTCGATTGCTAATCTTTTAATTAAATGTATTTTCTTTATAGAAATTTTATGTATTATTTATATTTAATAAATACAGCTAAATGTTTGTTTCTCTAATTCGATATTAGATACCTCAAATAATCTTATCACATCAGAGAATCGCGTTATTTAAATAGAAAATTATATATTTGTACAATATCAATTCTCTGTGCAGGATTCACTACATATTGCGATGAAAGACATATAATTTAATACATATTTATATATAATAATTTCTTGATAGAATCTTTAATTATCGCTCATATAATCGTTTAATTAAATATACAATTTATCAAACCGACATATATGTATGTACATATGTATTTTCTACATATGTATATGTGTATGCATTTATACTTCATATATCATCTGAAGTATTTAATGTCAATCTAGATCCTTCAAATGATTGTCTATTCTACTTTTTTCTTAATACCTGACGAATCAAATTTGATAAAGCAAATCACGAGATCCAAATTTTTAAATTGTCTAAAAATATATGTTTGTCATGTTAAGTTCTAATCATTCACATTTATAAGAATTTTATCTTTTTAAATGATAATGTATGAAGAATCGAAAGAGAACACGGGTCATTTCTTAGAAGTCAGTAGGTACCTGTGAGAAATCACAGTCCGACGTCCTCGATAAAAAATATGTAACAGTTACGGGGTCATAGCGTCAATAGGTAATCGTATTCTAATTTAAACATGACAAATTTACATCAAACTATGACTTAAAATTCCTTTTTTTAAGTTAAAAAATGTATTTCCATAGGCATCAGGTTTATCAGATCATTTTATACTTTTATTTAACATAATAAAATTTTTGTCCCATATATTTTTGTATTATAGTTTATTTAATCTTTAATTGTGCATATACAAATATTTTATATTAATTATTAGCGAATAAATTACGTGATGAAAAAAATTATAAATTTACAATTGTAATAATTTTAATCTATCAGGATATTATAGACAATTTAAATATTAAAAAATTTAAAAATAAGAAATATTTAGTTATTATTTCTGTGACTATCAAGTAAGACTAGAAACATTCATATAACACTGTGATTATCTTTCTTTACATAAAAACTTATCTTGTATAATGCTAAAATATTTGGCTAATAAGCTTATCGATTTTCTTCTATTATCCTTTTAAAATCCATTTATATGTATAAATATTGAAATATATATTATATTTTATAACATTCTAACAAAATGAAATAAATCGACGATTACAAATTCCAGAATAATGAACAATAATAGCGTTTAGAAAAGTTTTTTAAATTTGGATATTGTACATATTTAAAGTAATAACAATGCAATATATTATAATAATCTTTACTCTAAGTTATAATATATTTATATTGTCATTTTTAAGTTGACAAGCTTTTGATGTTATTCAAAAATATTGTATTATGTATTCATTTTTGTCAAGTCTTTGTTCCGACATACAATAAGAGGAATGTAAGTTTATTCACATCTATTAAAACGCACGAGCGAATTGTACATTCGTCTTAGCGTTTACGAAGTGGGAGAATAAGAAGATGAGAGATGTAGCGGGGAGAGACATGCATACTCGAATAAAAACCGAATACCGTCTGTAGGACACGACAGTCGGTTTTACTCCAGTTACCTCGAAGAATCTAGAACTACTTGTTCCAGAAAGAAACATCATCGTATAAATCTGCAATCGACAGTGATTGTCCGATAGATCATCGCCTGAGCAGATCAATCACTAACATTCGAGTTTGCCGTTCAGGTAAAGTTAAAGTATTTAAAGGATGAAATTTAAAAATTAAATTTTGCTCTATTTTTCTGAAATATTTCGCAAAATTCCATGTAAAACGTTTCAAACACAATTGAGGGGGTAACCACTTAATAATCATGGGAGTGTTTCTCACAGTGTTTCTAAAATTATTCTGATCTCACAAAATCCTCATGTCATCATTTTGCAATCAGATGAAAGCGTTGTGTAATTAGATGAAATCAATTATAATTCTATAAAATCACTTGAAACCGTATGAAATCAAATGAAATTTGTAATCAGTGGGACAACATTTCAGTTAGTGGTTACCCTCTCGGAATGTTCGTTCGAACCCCAAACGGAGATCTTTGAAACGGCACGACGTTCCCTAATTAACGCGAACTTTTGTTTTATTGTATAAAATTTGATCAATTTATAAGAAGTACTCACACGTTTTTCATTATATTTCCACGAATCTTCTGCAAATAGGAAATATCTTCTCGAAACTTCAGCCGGCGAGTGAAAAAAGATAGGGACGGTTAGATCACAAATTTTGATTAACATGGGTAACATGTGTAAACCATAGACAAAGAATTCCAAATTATTTTGAGATTTTAGAATCTTAATTGTGATTTTGAATTCTTTCATCTTGAGCTCCGTCAGTAAGTCTTTTTTGAAGAATGGGAAGATGAAAGGAGGACGCATTATCTGGTCTTAAATATGATGATATTACTAATTGAATGAAATCTCAAGACACACTACACACTATCTGAAATCAGATTTGAAAGAATCTCAAGTAATAAGGTCATTTAAGAAATTAAATAGCTAAAGATTAAATATCTGTTGTGTTGTGTGATACGTGGCAAGTATTCATAACGTCAAAACTGGAATGTATACAAACGATTTAAGTAAAGATAAATAATTATTAAAAAAAAATCGCCTCTCTTGTTCTATGCAATTTTAAATTTACATCAAATTTTTACTGTCAACACTAGAAAAATTGACAAAATAATTCTCATAATTTATTTTATTCATTACAAGATTTTTTTTAAATTAACTTCTTTAATTCTACTATATATAAGTCTTAATAACAGTAGCGATATATCGCGATATACTTTTATCATTGAGCAGCAATTATATGGCAAAAAAATTACATAACACGATAATATATCTAATATACTCACACGCCGCGTCGTTGAAAGTTGTAGAATAGAAGCATTGATCTTTCGAAAATATTATTTGCAAAGAATTTCCAAAAGCCGAAATAAAGGAGTAATGATTAATTTATATAACAATTAAAGTCTAATATAATATTATCATTATTCAATATATATAAATTCATTAATTCAAAAGATATTATAATTTTGCTTTAAAAACCAAAATACTTATACAAAAATATTTTTACAAACTACATATACATTCGATAATAGGCTTTCAATAACCGATCATTTGGCTTAATTTTACATTTCTAAAATTGATTTTAAAAATTAGCGGAATTTAGACGAGTGAATAAAAAATCCATCTTGATCTACGTATCAAACATCCAAGTCACGACATTCGGAGAATTTATGATCCGTGTTATTGATATTCGCCATTTGATCCGCGAATCAATCAATTAATTTAATCAGTCGAGCAGGGAATTAGTCTTCTGACCTTCATTCTTCGCACGTGCACTCCACACGATAAGCCGACTCCCTGACGTTTCGCGCAATCATAGACACCCAGCACGTGCGCGTCCCCCTCTCTCGCACTCGTCCGCTCTAGTCCGCCACCATCCGCCACCTCTGGTGGCTCCAGGCGGCTCTGAGGCGAGCTCGTCTCTGTTTCAACTCAATATCGCTCGTCCGCGATACCGGTTTAACGCATGCCACTGTGCAAGCATTACAGAACGTGGCGTCGAGTCCATGAAAGTGGGCGGCGTATCAAACGAAAGCAAAATTGTCGAAGATGTTGCGATCATACCACATGATCACCGTTATGTTACTATACTTAGTCCGGACCGTTTTCGCGGACAATTGTTCCATTTTATCGTACCAATGTGGCACACATTTCACATGTCCGAGCATCTTTGAACGTAACAATATTTGTCCATTCAGCAGAATGCCGGAACAACTGGAGGAGATCAAAGGCAAGCTTGCCACTTTCGGCATGGGCTGCTTCTGGGCAGGGGATTCTCTCTTTGGAGTACTGCCAGGTGTCATCAGAACCTGTGTCGGCTACGCCGGTGGAACTAAGGAGTCTCCAGCATATAAGAACATGTTAATATTCCATTGCTATCATTCAATAGTTATAATAATGCAATTTGAAAGGTTCATAACATTATTTCTGACATTCTTTGCTTCTACTTGTAGGGGAGATCATACTGAAGTCATTAACATTGAATATGATCCAGAGCTAATATCTTACACACATTTACTGAGCTTGTTTTGGAACAATCATGAATATAGTCTAACAAAGAAGATTAAAAGACAGGTATATTGCTAATACACATTAATTATGTTTGATTACATTATCACTTTCAGTAAAAAAAATAGAATGACTTAAAAGTAATTTATAATTTAAAATAAAAATATTATTTTGGAGTTTGCGCGAAGTTATTAATACACCCTTTACAGGACCTGATTTGACAAACTTAATTAATTTATAATATAATATAATTCTTAAATCACTCTATTTTAGTGAATTATAAATAATTAAAAATATCATTCACACACACACACATGTCATTTGTGTACAAACTAAATACTAAATATTAAATTAATTTACAGTACATGTCCCTTATCTTGTATCACGACGAAGAACAAAAATTACAAGCTGAAAAATCTCGCGAGCAGGAACAAAGAAAGTGCGGGGAAGTCTTTGTCACAGAAATTCAGAAATTTTCTAAGTTTTATCCAGCCGAAGAGTAAGTGATATTGTCATTTTGCTTGTGCCTATATGTTGTTACTCTCTTCTATTCAATACTAATAGAATTTAATTCTTTTACTCTTACTCCATTACTCAACATTATTTGCTCTCTAACTTCTTGGAGTGAAATCTCTAAACAGTGAAAAAGTTGAGTCAATCTTGAGTGGTTCAATTTTCAGTTTTTAAGAATGAGCTTTTACTCTTCAGAATGGGATTCATTTTAAAAGTTTTAGAGTGTGGAGTATTCTGACAACGTTCATATCAGCTAATCTAGACTACTGATAAAATACATATTTATATTATTGTTGATTTGTTGTATAATATGATAATTAGATAACATAACAAAAATATTATAATACATATAATAGTAATATTAATTAAGTTATATACTAAATAATTAGCTAAAAATAAATTCAAAATAATTATAATTTTGCAATTTTAAATATTTCTAATATGATAGCATTTAAAAAATATTTTTATTGAATTTTCACAGATAGGCACTAATCAATTTATTGTAGTTGCATATATATGTTTTAACAGTTTTACAGACAGATAATATATAAAATTATGTAAACAATAGAAAAAATAAAATAATAAAATTAAGTTGCACAAACGTACTAGAAGACGAGACATGTCCAATTTAATCAAAAATTATGTATCTTTCTAGTTACCATCAGAAATATAGACTGCAGAATCATCCATGGCTGGTTGAGACAATAGGCTTCACACCAGAAATCTTGTGTGCGTCTCCACTAGCAGCCAAGTTGAACGGCTACATCGCAGGAGCTGGTACCCTCGAACAATTTGAAAGAGAGTTACCGAACTTAGAATTAAACGAGAAATCGGTACAATATTTAACGAAATATATTCTTGAAAATCAAGGTAGTGGTTTGTACTGCTAGCAAATCTAGAACAATGGGAACAAGGCAAATAATATTTTTTCCACTAATAGACATAGATTGGACATTTTCGATTTCTTTGTAAGAAGAATACGCACAGCCTGATATACACACGTACTACATACATATATTATATACATTATGTATTTATATATATATATATATATTATTCAACAAAAAATAGGGAACAAGATTGAAATCTTTACACACGAAATCTGTAATTTAAATGTCAATCACAAATGCCTTAAATATTTATTTACTTAATAGTTCATAAATATTTAATACCGCGATTGTATTTAATGTCCACCTACAGGCACTCGATTTTTAATATTAATAGCATAATATTATGATTACTGATTTGGGATTCAACTTTTTACTTGGTACCAACTTGATTTTTTAATATTATGGCTTAAATAATGAAAATTTGAATAAAATGAATAAAGATGGCTTTCTTTATTCATTTTATTTATTTCTTAACATAAACATCGAATCACTGACAATTTATTAATTATAAATTTTATAATACCAAATAGATAAAAGAATCAAATCATTTAATTAATGTCTTTCCAAAGAGAGACGCAATGTTCTTATTAGTCAAGAAGAGCAAGAGCACAGTAGTCCCTCGTAAAAAAGTACTACTAGTGTCACTATTAGTGCAATATGCAGAAGTAAATTCGCAAAAAAAATAGGATATAAAAAAATTTTGATTGAAAATACGAAATGATTAAAATAATTGATTAAAACCGATTTTTTAATTCAAATTTGTATTAAAATAATTTCCGCAAGTGCGGGAATGTGATTACTGTAAATTGCACTACTCCTAGTAGTGCCACTAGTAGTAAATTTAATACTGCACTTCTATACTACTAGTCATGAGTAGTGTTACTACTGATTACTACTCGTACCAACAGTGACACTAGTAGTACTTTTTTACGAGACGTAACTTTAAGAATGTATAATTTAACGATAGTACTCACTGAAAATTAAGCTATCTAGTTTCATCTATTGTGACAGAACGCGCTCAAAGGCAATTAAAGGCTGTGCGTTAATCAAAAATTCAAAGCTTTATTATAAAAATATATGATGTTACAAATGAATACAAGCTTCAACTTCTTTCTTCATTTTTATAGAGAGAGAAGTGGAGAAGAACTGCCTTTAATAACATCAGAAACAGTACCTTTTGTTTCGCTCTAACTTATTACATTAGTTCAAAACTTTTCGAAAAAGATCAGGCCTAGTGTCACCAACACATGTGCTGACTTATGCCTTTCTAGGAGTGGTTCAATTGTACACTGTTACAATTGCACACTGCCAATCACAGCGACTTCTGCGTAGAGAGTTTTTTATTTTTTTTTTTCCCAAGGCACTGTAATTGGCTTGTATGCAATTGATACACACTCTGTCCTTCTCGTGCAAATTTCAAGTTTTATTAGATTTTATTATAAAAAAAATTTTAGATGAAAAAAATAAGACTAAGGATTTTTTCACTAACTTTTGATTAAATTAATTGATGATCAGTTCACAAAAGTAACAGCAGTTTAATATATCAGAATATTTCTCTCTCTCTTTCTTTTTTTAGATAAACTGTGTTTAATTAAATTGGCAGTTGTAATGATTAAGTCAACCATCAATTAGCATTAATCGGAGTTGGTGAAAGAGGCTCTAAATAAAATTTCTATTCTGATGTTACTGTAAACATAAAAAAAATATATTTTATATGTATACAATTATATATTATATATATAATAAAAATATTCTTTTTTAAATAAACTGTTTTTTCTTTATTTAAATACTAATTTAATTAAATACTGTCTGTACGTCTTTCACAATCGAATCTTTCTATTTTTATCACGTTCACATATTTTTAATATTTTTCCAGTTCAAATTAAAACAATTATAATCATAAGAAAAAAGTAAATTATTTGCTCTTAACAAGTTAACAAAAATAGAAAGATATCTAGAAACTTTTCATTTCTTAATTCGTATAAATTTAGTTAATAATTGACTTCTTTAAAAAATTTCTGTTATTCGTATTTTGTATGAATTTTTGAATGTATTTTGTATGAATTTTTGAATGTGTGTATTACAAGACTCGATAATCGTTCAGATAATTTTAATTATATACTTTTGTATTAAGTAATTTATCAACAGAAATAAATCATAATTTAAAAAATTTAATAATTATTCGAATAATTTGAATATTTTTAAACAATATAAGTATCTGACATATCGGCTAAGTTCATTCGAATCACTCTTGTCAATTGTGCATGCTGCAACGCCCCTCTAGCGCCTGTCGCAGCTTGGCAGAAGCAGAACGATGGTCGACGATCTGCATATCGTTCGATTCGAGACTGAGATTTGACGACTTAACCCAGTCGGAGTCGAGCCGAGACACGGCTAGTGTAATATCTTCAGTTCTTCGGTATTCTGAAAAATGGCATGGTTATGCGCTCGTACCGTGCTCCAAACATGTCGACGGCGAATCTCTTATAGCCTCGCGTGCTCCCAAAAGAACGGATGTAATTATCGTTTCCGAGACGAGCTGCCGAATTGTCCATCCCGCAATAGATTTTTCACGTTTTCACATTATCTACATTACGTAATATTTTTCGTCCATCGATTTTGACTTTTCGGTCCTCAGCCGACGTATTGCGCGTGAAGAGAAAGAAAAGAAAATCCGGTCAACTCGTATGTATATCTCTATTTTTCTGTTTTTGACAGTTGCCGATCCGCTCGATCATGCTACAGGTTTGGAGAAGAGAGAAATGCTCGCCTATTTAGCCGGCAACGATGTAAGTTATGACATTTCCAGTTTGACTGGTACGCCTAAATATGCACGGGCATATTCCTCTGGCTTTGCTAAGCTATTGATATAATAATTATTAACGATATATAATAACAATTATATAATAATTATTAGCGATATAATTATTATGCTACAATATTAATGAAATGTTGTATGTGATAAATTTGGAAAAATAAACTCCTGATAAAGATAGTTCAAGTACCAAAGATAATAAATTAATATTATAATGAAACCATGTTTCTTTCATGATCATTTTTTATAGACTTGTGTATACTTTATCATCTTAATGTTTTTCAATAGATGTCACTGTGATAAATGTTAATATCTTATTGAAATATATGTTAACTTGTATCTTTTTAGGATCCATATAATATGTCGATAAAGCGGCGAGAAGTTAGCACAAAGGAAAATCCCAATATAGTATATAGCGCATTTGAAAGTCGCATAATGGGATGCATATGTGATGAGGATGCATTACACGTAAACTGGATGTGGTTGCATCAAGGTCCTCCACGTCGTTGCGAATGCGGCCACTGGTTCAAATTGGTTGAGAAAGCACCTATATAATATCTTTAAGAATGTGCGAAATAGTGGATTGTTTTCAACATAGAATTAATGTTACATTAGACAGTAATTATGTCTATTTCATTTACTACCATGTCCTGCCTCCATCCTATTGAAAAAATTAAATGGCTCATTTATTGTATGGAAATCGCAGAAATAAATATATTGTAAATATTATGTACATTATCCTGCGTTTTTTTTTTCTTGATGAAAATATGAACTCGTTACTCAATTTCGGAATATCACCGTATTATGTAGATTAGATTATAATCTTTATAAGAATAATAATCAAGATAGTTTCTTAAATGGCCTATATAATTGAAGTATAAATGTAATTTTGGAAAGTTATGTATTATAAAAATAGTTTTTAATTTCAATATATATATATATATATATATATATATATTTACAAGTCATCACTTTCGTCCAGCTCGTTCAAGCTTGAACTTACTCACAATTCTTTTTTCGTCTTTCTTTGTTGAAACATTTATAGGTGAAGTTTTACTTTCTTGAACTTTCTCTTTAATTACCTACAAAATATTTTTATTAGTATATATAATATATATACTAATAAATAGTACAGTATGATTGAATTTGCACTTACAGAATTATATGTAGAATGTTCAACATATTCATCTTCATCTTCTGTATCTGTACTACTCTCATTTAAAGGAGGAGCAACTTCATTGAAAATCATATCATTTGGAGATCTTTTCAAAATCGACTTAGGAGCACTAAACATTTTATAAATGTCTACTGGGCTTTGTATTTCTGTATTATTTGATTCAAGTAGATCTGGAGTATGGGATGAATGTGAAAATTCAATCCTAATGATATCATTCTTGTCTTCAGAGCTTTCATTACACGTATCATCTTGCTTCAGAGTAGAACAGACTTCTTGAGATATTGATTCTTTTGTATTGCTTTGGTCTTCTATGACACATGGCTCAGCAAATGATATCCTCCTTTGTTCCTTTGTATTTGTGTCTTTAGATACTTCCTTATGTTCAGGTGAACAACTCTCCTCCCTTATTTTCTCTTGGATAAAATTTGTAGAGGAATCAGACTGCTCATTTTTTGTAGTACTTATATCAAGAATTTTATCTTGAACTATATCAGAATTGTTACTTGATGTATCACTTGTAGTTCTACCCATTTGGATATCTTTTAATTTTTTCAATTCTTCTTGAATTCTCTCTGTTGTAATTTGATCAGAATCAGATTCGTCCTCCTCTGATTCATCATAAACTTCACCATCTTTCAAGTCATCACCATAATATACTTTTCGTTTGGCTTCCAATCTGCAATTGTATAAAACAGTGAACAATATAGATTATGACTCTCATTAAAAATAGTTTTAATTGTAACTGAATAACCTGTAAATTTCATCTTCTAATTCTTCTTCCACCTCTAATTCATCAAGTCTCTTGAAAAGATCTTCCTCAGTATGAATGTCAGTCTTTTCCTTTTCTTTTAACTTTGCTAATTTCTGACGATACTCCTTCTCACGTTGTCTATGTTGCACTACAAAAAAACATTTTAATTTTAATGTCTAACATAATGTAAACAAAGATATGACAAATTTCTAAATACTTTTCCACTCATCAAGCTTATTCTCAGTCCAATGTTCAACTATATCTTTTTTGTCTGCGCCAAAAATATCATGTTTCAATGGAACATATTGTCTCATTTCATACAAGTTTCTTTCAGTTTCTAAACTCTTCAGCATTTCATCCGCCCCTAACATAAAAAGCATATAACAGTTGTAATATCTAATAAAATTTTTTTTCCTACAAGAATATATATAATATTTACATGCTATTCTCCTGTTGCATAATGCAATTGCTTGTGATGCACTATACTTGACAAAATAGCCCTCTCCCAATGAAACCAAGATTTCATTAGTATGAGTTAATTTTCCTTTCATAAATGCTTGCTTGCCAATGGGTACCATACAATTCTCAGAAAGTGATAATGGATACACTTCAAGTCCCTCTATTACTTTTTTGTGCCTCTTTTTATAATCTGTTATTGCCTTGGTTCGTTTTTCATTTTCTTTAAGTTTCTGTAATGTATATATGTTTTAATTTTTTAAATGTAACAAATAAGGAAATCAATGTATAAAATTTAATTGAGGAACATAAGTTTATACAATCATACCTGTGCGATCACATTGTTAAGTAGTATGTGTTGGTAATTTTTTATTAGTTCAGACTCCATTGTTACATTTATGTTTAAACAACTTTTTTCCTTTCACTGTTTACTCGTCAAGTCGTCACCAACTGTTGCCATCACCTGTTTTGTATTTTTATTAACCTAACCTATTTCTCAGGGGTGCCCAGCTGTGATTGGTCAATTCCGTTAAGACTTCAAAACTTATAGAAGAAATACGACCAATAAATGAATGTAGCAAAATTAAAAAAAATTTTTTAAATAACGTTTGATATTAGAATTTTTTAATGTTTTTTTTTACACGGAAATAGTAATTTTCTTATTTTATATATTTATTATATTAATATTATATTTAGTAAATGATATAATGTTCATTAATCTTTTTTTAATTCTAAAATAGACTATATTTTTATATACACGGAGATTACATCCTGGGTCTTTTACAAAATATTTTTATAGATAACACAAACCTATGAATGGATTAGGATTAATTTCAAGAGTTTTTCATAAATAAAATTCTCTTCATTAACATACTTTAATGTATAATGGTGTACATGTATTTATTATGATTATTGTATTGTACATTACATAATAATATAAAGTTATTGAGTCTTATTATATTATTACATATATAACATTATATTTTAATAGAAAATACATATCAAAATTTATCAATTAATTGCAAGATATGTTGTTGCTCTGTTTCTTTCCATTCTGTGTCACCAGCATCTCCTAAATTACCAGCGTACTCTGGTTTTAAAATTAAAAATATGTAAATAAACACATTATTGATATAGATTTGTGATTAAATATGCCGTTATATAGATATACGTCATTTACCTCTCATGATGTGTCGAATTGCTTTAAGGGATGCTCTTCTTTGTCCCAAAATTCTTGCGACTCGTTGTTTGACTGCAGGTGGACAACCAGTGCAAGCTTCCAAAAGTACATAATCTACTAATTGTAATATAAATAACCCGCCGTCTAATCTTCTCAAGTAAGATTCTTCTTCGTCTTCATCCTCCTTGCGATATAAGTAAAAAAAAGTAAAAAACACAAGTTTTTAAACATTTTGTTTTTAGATATCTCTGTTAAATATTTTTAATTGTGTATGTACCTTTCCATTCCTTTCCACGTCTTCTACTTTTTCAAGATATTTAAAATGTAATTCCATTAATCTATCAACTTTCTCATAATCATTTTCCGTAAATTTACTAAGTAATCTTTGACGCTGTTGTCCTTTACAATTCTTCAACATGCTTGCTATGATTGAAATAACATGTTCTGCAAAATTACTTGGTTATTATTTTACTATAAATAATTAAATTAATTAATTTAAAAATAAAAAATACTAGAATCTTTTTAAGATCGTACAATAATAAACAAGAAGAAGGAAGCCAATAACAGTCAAAGCTGGATCACAGTGCTTATTATAATTATGTGAATTTCATCATGCTCCACATGAGGAGATAAAAGGAGTCATCATCAATAAGAGTACACTCGCTGTTATTGGTGCGATAAAATATAAGACATATTATAATAAAACTGAGAAACATATAAATACAATACTAGACGTTTCGGCCTGCAACCAGGCCATCTTCAGTAGTAGAATCGCAAAAATATCAAGAACGCCATGGGTGGATGGAACCAGTAGTCACTCTCACTGAAACGTCTAGTATCGTATTTATATGTTTCTCAATTTTATTATAATATGTTTTATTATAACACATTATATATATATATATTTATATATTATATATATTATAATATGTCTTATATTTTATCATACCAATAATAAGTGTACTCTCATTAGCCTCCTTATTATACTTGTTATTTGAAATTTTCGAGAGTCTATTTTTTATACGTCTGTGAAGCTGGCCCCTCATTGTCAAAATTTTGAAAAAATAAGCAGAGTTCTAGTTGCACCCCGAAGAGTTCTAGAGTTCTTTATCAAATTTTGGAAGAGTTCTATTGATTAAAGCAGCGAAAACACCATTTGAAATTACGGGGAGGCCAACTTCACGATTCTGCAACTTTGAAGAGCTATAACTTCTAAACCGTTCATTTTAGCACGTTGGTCTATAGAGGACAATCGATAGAACTCTTTGGGGGGCTATCAGAACTCTCAAGAAATCACCGGATTTCTGAGAAAAAAATTTTTCGTCTGTGGACTTCGAAGAATTAATAATCTGTAACTTCAAAGTACTATATCTTTCTAAATATTGATTTTAGAGCATTGGTTGTTAAAGATAATCGTTAGAACTCTTCGGGGGGTTACTAGAACTCGTATCAGATTGCCGAATTTCTTTAAAAAAAAAAATTTTGGAAATTCGGTGTTTTCTTGAGAGTTCTGATAGCCCCCCAAAGAGTTCTATCGATTGTCCTCTACAGACCAACGTGCTAAAATGAACGGTTTAGAAGTTATAGCTCTTCAAAGTTGCAGAATCGTGAAGTTGGCCCCCCCGTAATTTCAAATAGTGTTTTCACTGCTTTAATCAATAGAACTCTTCCTAAATTTGATAGAGAACTCTAGAACTCTTCGGGGGGCAACCAGAACTCTGCTTATTTTTTCAAAATTTTGACAATGAGGGGCCAGCTTCACAGACGTATTTTTTATTCATTTGTTTAATATATCGAGACTATGGATCTTCTAATACCTTCATGTTCTTCTGCAGTAAGCATTTTTTTTCTATTTTTTGTTGGAGTTTTCATAAACAGAGGAAATATAGTTCGCAATCCAAGAATATCTACAAATTTGCTACAGTTATCTTTTCCATCTGGGCCATTCATAGCATGATCTAAAACCTACAATATTTCAATTATAATAATTTATATAAATCCAACAAAACGTGTTGCAAAAACCCACTTTGAGAGATCCATTTCGTGACATCTTTTTTTCTCGCAACATTAAGTTCATAAGTTGAAGGCCTTCACCACGTAGAAATCTATCACGATTTACAGTAGCCATTAGGCTTGAACATAAAACGTTAAATAAATTTTCCATCATCTCTTGTTCCTCTGCAGTCTGTGGATCGTGTCTCTTATAATACTGTAAATAATCAGTTTTAAGACATTCAACTTGATAATATTACATGCAATACATAGATTTAAAAACATATAAATACATACAGCTAATTGTTGTAATAAAACATCAATTCCATCCAGATCACCTAAAAGAAGTCTATTTTCTGGCGTGTGTTGCAAAAGTATAGATAGAAGTTCACTAGCATAAAGTTTGTTCGCATCAAAAGGTGTTTTTGTTTTAATTCGGCGCAATAACCATTGCATTAGACCCTGTTTTCCTGCATCTGCACATAGGTCTGGTCTAAACTCTAGCAGGTTTTCAAAAATGGCTAGAAATAAAAAAAAATCATTGTTGAATTAATTCAATAGAAACATTGTAATTTGAAAAAAAAAACAAAAAATAATAAACAATATGCATTTAAATATTAAATAATTACCAAGTGTGTTGTAGACACCGTCGCTCTCTTCTTTTACTGTTTCATCGAGTCTCTCGAGATTTTGTACTAGAAGAGCACAAACTTGTTGCTCCAACAAAGTATAAATAAGTATGTCTGCCCCTTCTTGACTTTCGTGTAATATGTCTACATCAGTTAATTCCTGCAGAAGATCTACCACACCAACTGCTATGTCAGTATTTTCATGAGATAACAATTCTAATAAAGAAGGCACTGCGCCTAATTCTACCATCAATCCATACAGATCTGGATTGGTCGCTATGATATGAAGCTCTTGCAGAGTTTCATGCAGTTCTACCTCAGATTCCATAAATCTGCAAAGGTTCAAAGAAAATAGAATTATATTTGAGATTTCCTCGTGACACAAATATTTATGTAGTTTTCATGTGTTTACATACTTTTCTGGTTGATCTGGGAATTTAACTCTCATTTCCTGATTTCTCAGAGCTCTTTTCTCAAACAAAAGGATCATACGTTTAAGCGCTGCTTCGTCCAAAGCTTCAACTTCGGGAGCTTCAGTTTCCACATATTTTAGTATATCTTGCTTCTCTTTCTCTGTCAATTGTGGTTCAACAACATCGTTAGTCGGCGAAGGCAAAGCAGCTCTAATAGGCGTAGCAGGTTCATCGTTTCTAGACGGTATCACATCAAGTTCCTTAGGTTGTCGTTGACGTGCATGGTATGGCGTTTTTATCACTCTCTTTGGCTTTTTCGTATTTTCCCATTCATCCTCGTCGTCCTCGTCCCCTGCTGTCGGTCGTTTTGGTGTATTTGGAGGCTGTACATATTATCACCATTTAATTACTGTTATTTATAGCAAACGAAAAAGTAAATCGCAAAGTTAACAAAAAAATTGTTATAAGCCAAAAATTATGACATATAAATAAGAGGTTAAATTAAATATATCTATATATATATATATATTATAGAGAGAGAAAAGTATAAATTATACAAATTCTCTAATTCGATTATATACCTTATAAGATAACAGTTCTCCGATATCCATTTGTCAAAAATAAATCACCTATGTTTTAAAATTACGTTCAGGAGAATGTAAAAAATTTAAATTAAGTAGTTTTTGCGTCACTTTGATATTCACACTCAATTCAATACAACAGTAGCGGAGTTTTCTCAATAGTTCTCTTGCAGTTTCACTCTCTACAATTATTTCTTATTTCATGGGAAAAGGCATAACTTACCCTAACCTAACCTAACCTAATTGATAAACCTAACCTATACAGTTTTAAAAAATCGTGATAAAAATTTATGAAAATAATTTTTATACAAAAATCTATTATTGCAATTACATGAATTGTAATTGCATAAATAATTTATATACATACAGCGCAAGGTATTTAACATGATTGCGCTATCCCGATTAGCGCGAACTTCCTGTCGTTTATCGCAATTGATAAATTTGATTCGCTCGTCGAGCAGTTTAGAAAAGAAAACGGATTTGTACCGTCAATTGTATGCAAAAATCTTAGCATGCGGGCCCATAACGCTCGCAGAGTACATGAAGGAGATCTTGATTCATCCCACTGCAGGTTATTACACAACTAGAGATGTTTTCGGGCAAAGAGGCGATTTCACAACTTCTCCAGAAATCAGTCAACTTTTTGGAGAAGTATGTAACTCTTCGAACTGAAAACGATCTGTATTTATTTATTATATCAATGTTCTCACAAGAAATTATAAAATTAGCATTAACGTCCTTGTTGAAAATAATTCTATCTCCTCTTTTCTTTTACTCTATTTGTAAAAGACTTTAAAATTACCAAGAAATTATTGCTCAGAAATAGCTTACACAATTACATTAATTATTATTGATAGATTATAGCAATTTGGATAATTAATGAATGGAGGAAGATTAGTAGGGATTCTATTCAACTTGTAGAATTAGGCCCAGGAAGAGGTACCTTGATCAATGATATCCTACGGGTATATTTTCAATGTTACAAATCATTACAAAACATTACAAATCTAACATACATCTGTAAAAATTACAAGATGTCTCTTATTTTAGGTATTCAAGAAATTGAATCTTTCAAATAAGATATCGATTCATCTAGTAGAAATTAGTCCCGTTTTGTCTGCAATTCAAGCAGAAAAATTGTGCACAAAAAGCAAAAGTATTGAGCCAAGAGTCAATGAAAACCAAAAGAATTCTATTACGCATTATAGAGAGGGTGTTACGAGAGATGAAGTAAAGATATACTGGTATTATTCTATCAATGATGTTCCTAGAAAGTTCAGTATATTTATTGCACAAGAGTTCTTTGATGCTCTGCCAATACACAAATTCCAGGTATGGAAATATTGGACATTAATATTAATGTATTAAACATACAAAGCATAATTTTTACAAAAATCATATCTTAATTGTAGAAAACTAATAAGGGCTGGAGGGAAATCTTAATAGATATAGTTCAAGACTCAAAGGAAGAGAAATTTCGATATGTACTTTCGCAAATGCCAACAGCTGCTTGTAAAGTATACCTATCTGTGAGCATTTATTTATGTCGTTCTATATAGCAGCATTTAAGTTTAAATAGTAAAGTAATAAAAACAGTATTTTTTAGCCACACGAGAAAAGAGATCATGTAGAAATAAGTCCACAGTGTTCTGTAATAACAGATTACATGTCCCAATTTTTGTGGGAACATGGAGGATTTGCACTAGTGATCGATTACGGTCATGAGAGGGAAAAGACTGATACATTTCGCGCATTCTGCAAGCATAAATTACATGATCCCTTGTTAAATCCTGGAACCGCAGATCTGACTGCGGATGTTGATTTTTTATTATTAAAAGAGATTGCACAGAAAGATGATAAATTAATCATGTTTGGTCCAGTGACGCAAAGAAAATTCTTGAAAAGTCTTGGCATTGATTTACGGTTAAAAATGATTTTACAAAACGCTTCTAGTAATCAAAAAGAACACATTGAATCAGGATATCACATGATAACCGATGAAGATAAAATGGGAAATTGTTTTAAGGTGCTATCCCTCTTTCCTTTTGTTCTAAAAGACTACTTGAAAAAATGGCCTGTAGCAGGATTTGAAGATGATGATAAAACCAAATCTTGAACTTTTATCTTCAAATATGAAAGAAAAAGAGAATTGTATATTGTTAACTACAGGTAATTGATACTGTACAGAAAATAAAAATAAGTTTATATGTGAAAATAAAAACTGTTTAAATTTATTATAAGTACTATTAATTATTAAATAAGTTTAATTTTTCCAACTATAAACATTTTTATTATAAAAAATAATACATGATAAAGAATTTTTTTTCCACACAAATTTGTATTCTTTACTTTTTTATTTAAATCTTTACTCTGTAAAACTTGTCTTTCTAATTTTCATTGCTTATGGGTATTAATAATTTAGCATTTTTATTATATACGCAACAATGATATTTTTGACGGTGACTGTAACGTACGATTATTAATTATACATTGATACTGGAATAATCTGTCCTCTACGAATGTCAGAAAGACGTGAAGGGGCGCAAACGATCCATACACGTGAGCTTGGTAGCACGTGAACGGTTAGTGAAAGGAACGTCACGTGCAAGACGTTGATAACTAATTAAATAAGTAAACTGTTACCGGTTTAATAGTGATGATATTTAAAGAAGCGTCATTGCTGTTTAAGAAACTTTATCGATTCAATATTCTCATGCAAAACTCCATGGCGTGAATTAAAAATCACATAAAAATTTGATTTACATCTTTCAAAAGCGTGAATCTTTACCTTTAATGGCTTTAATTTACGTACGTACTTAATGAGTGTTATGCAATTTTTCTTTACCGAGTTATTCAACATTGAAACAAAAACAACTCCTTTTACATCTATATTGAATAATTCTATGAAAAAAATTGCACGAAAGGCAATTCGAAAAAAGGTAATTAAACGTAAAAATTCACTTTTTCGAAAGTTGTAAATAGAATTTGTTTGCGATTTTTAATTCAGGCCATGGAACTTTGTAAAATTCGTACAAAGATTTTAGATTTGACGGATTTCCATTTATATCCATATAGCTCCGTAAAATGGCAATAAAATCGAAGTATCAATTGCTATTCGTAAAAGTAGAGATTTTAATCTTTAAAATACTTTTTGAATTTTTTTTTTTTACTTATTTTATTGATTATTTTTGAAGAAGTTTACTCTTTTGAAATTTACCTATTTGGGGGTGGGGGGGGGAAGGATATAAAATAAGTGATGCTTTAATTTTGCTGTTGAGTGTATAATTACATCAACTTTTTTAAACTCCATCGGTTGGTTAATCACACAAGTTTGCAACTTGGATCACGTGTTTATCATGCTTTTCCCGTAGAGACCTCGTGTATAAGAATTCACATTTTTGCGTAAAACACGTGAACAGTGCGCGAAGAACATACGCGAGCCAGCAATCTCGGAAAGTCCTTGACCCTTTTCTTCGCGATTTTACTTTTACTTAACGTACCTCGCGTGCATGCCCTAGTCCCCACTTCCGCAAACTCCTTTCGCTTGTTCCTAACACTCATCTCAGTGAGTCGAGCTAGACCGTTTCACGGGGGATCATGGTTCGCGGCAGAACGAAAGAACGTATCTTCGGTTTATTATCGAAAACACTTATCGCACGAATATTTTTCCGGTGGACTCCAGAGTTTCTCTAATTACGACAGAACCGCTCGAATACCGCGTAAGATTAAACGCATTCTCTTAAATGAAATTAGTGTATTGCTATTGAAAAGCAGTTAAGAATATACAGCAGTAGTTATAAGCTAACGCCGCATTCAATGAGATTTTACTGGAAAGAATCAGTTAATGTGATAAATTATTTTAATTAATGATATTAAATTCTAAGGATGACTGCAAATAAAACATTTAAAAGTAAAAATGTACAATATATAAACGTCTCAGAAATTAAATTGCCCAGTTTTACATAACAAGATGAAAAGATTGAATAAAATACTCATTGATTCTCAGTGAAATTCTGTATTGTTATATATTGTTTTAATTGACGAAATTTTCATTGATTCAGTTTGAAAGAGTGGTGTAAAACTAAACGTCTCGATTTATTATCGCAAATGTTTGCGGTGACGAGCACGGAGAAGCTCGGGATCAACGATGAGCGTTTTAAATCTGCAGTGACGATTTCTAAGGCTAAAAATGTCAAATCCAGGAAGGATTATTATTGCGGTGACGAAAACGATCCCAAAGCATTACATCTTGTACGATTTAAAGGATTTCCGCGGCTATTGCCCGAAGGTAATTCGAAGACTACATGCTGTCATCGTTGGCAACGAATAAAAGTTAAGTTTGCGGTTTCATAAATTGCACATACATGCGCTTAGGAAATTCGATGTTTTAGGCATCCTCGCTTTGGCCAACTATTGTCGATGGCTTCGCGAATTATCTTTATCGTACGCCCTGCTGAGCGATGAGCTACTCTTAGCATTGTGTTCGGTAAAGAATATCCACTTGGAAACTCTGCGGATGGAAGCATACCCGGAAGCGAAGCCTTTTCCACTTGTTAGCGACAAAGCGTGGTCCGCGTTTTCAAATCATTTTCCTGACATAAATCTTGCGCTGTAAGTAAAAACAAACTATATACATAATAATCTTGATTAAGAATTATTACTATATATAATAATATATACTTGCGCGATGCGAATAAGAGTCAAAATAAGATCGCTGCAACTTTACTTTTTATTTTTCGTTAGACTATCTTACATGACCGACGATGATAATCAAAAATTACTTTTCACATCGCATATTCCCTTAACGCATTTGTATCTTGGCGACGCAACATCCGAATCGATGTCACGCATAAGCAAGCAATGTCCACGATTGATAGAATTAGTTATCGCCACATATGAATCCGGTCCGATCGATCGATTCCTGATTTCCATGGCCAAGAGTTGCTCGCACCTTAGTGCCGTCAGTTTGGGCGATTGTGAAATCACGTTTGTACTCATGAATATGCTATAACATTACTTTAATTTAATACTGAAATATCTTTATTAATTCAAATATATTGTAAATTAAAATTTTTTTTTTCATAAAAATATATTAATTTAAAAATAATAAAACTGTTACCTTCACTTTGTTCATCACTAATGTTTAATTTTACATTATCAATTTGTATAATTTGTCAAAATATATCAAAATCTCTATAATGTATCATTATTAATAGATATTTCAATATTGCAGCAATGATATGTATCAGAAACCATGCATTGCGTCTCTCCAACAAAATAAGAAATAATATCTTTATTCATTTTATAGCTGTTCTGGATTAGCGAAATTCGTTGCGCTGTGCGCACATCGTCTGCAGGTATTATACATTTTGGAAACATCACTGATAGAAAATGCAGACTTTGATATCGCTAAAGTGTCGACGAACTTATCCTCGCTCCTTGGTCGGACATGGGTACCGGAATATGTACCATTGTGGTAATTTCCTGAGAAGTGAAAAAAAGAGGTTTCAACGAAATTTACAGCCGTAACAGGATACATAACGAAATAAAATATTGACGACGTACTTTTCTATTTTTTCATAAATTACATGACAACTTACAAAGATTTTGTAATGTCGAACAAAAAATTCAACATATTCACTTTTAATGTTTATAATGCTTATAATATTTGCAGTAAAAAGCTGTTGAATAATATTACTAAAGTCAGAAGTCTCGATATTTCACATGCAATATTATTAAATTAGCAGAATTGCAGAAATTAATTGATCGTTGCTGTTGATACCAAAAAATAGAAACTTTATTAGATTATAATAGTATTTTTTAGACGTAGTATATATATAAAATAATGTAACGTTACTAGTACTTGTCTACCACTGTCGCGTATGGTAGACCCGTATAATATTCAATATCCATCATATGCAATATTATGATAATGAGTAACAGTCTGTATATACATTATTTCTACATTATAATATAATAAATGATTGGGCATTTAACATTACAATGTCCAACATTAACAGAAACATCACTTTTCTAATTTATAATTTGTCCAACCGCTCTTTTCTTCATTTTTTGACGTTTCCTGACAATGCTATTCTAAAGATGCGAGGTGTTCAGTCTTGTATCCCAGCCGACATATATAATCTGTGTAATTCGATCTCTGCTTAATAAGGCCTAGAATAAAGAAAAATAATGAAGGGAAAAATATAATATAACAATATTCAATTATGCATATTTAGTATTTAATATTTTAATAAAGTATACCTGACTATTTTATAATATATATTTGGCCTCTTTTAAGTCAGTTGCATTAAAAATAACAATTAAAAAATATCCGAGCTAACCCTGAAAGATAATAGAACGAGGAATTTTGAACACTGTCAATTTGCACTAAACATTGCTGTATGATGTAATACATATCTCAAATATATTTTTGTAACAAATACCTGTTTTGAGCCAATCAGTCAGGCATGTCTATAGAGATAATAGGCACAACAGGTTTCATTAGGTCGATTTTCTTAATAAGTTTCTCGCCTTTTTCCGTAATCATTGGCTCATTTGGTGGTTGATCGCGTTCGTCTCTTGGTTGATAAGAAATATTACCATATTCTTGAAGCAATGGACATAAACCTAGCAGGAAGTGACAAAAGTCTTTTCTGATACCAAACCACCCTAAACAAAAATTTCATCATAATAATGAAGTAATCTTATATACATATATTATATCAAAAGAAACAAAATAATATATCATTATCCTTTAGGATAACTTTAGTAAGCCTATTCAAAATTTAGCTTTCTCTCTTTCTCTCTCACTCACTCATGAACTAAATACTTCCATCTTTCTAATGTCTTGTTAAATGATAAAGATAGAAAACAAAAAGAATAAACACTAGAGTTCTGCCTAACAATTAACTGCTCTAATGTTTATCCTTTTTTGTTTTCCATCCATCTTGCTCAACGAGATGTGGGAACGTTTTATGTTTTTTTGCACAAGCTAAGTTTTGGACAGACTCTCTAAACTAATATTAAATAATAATCTACAAGATTATGCCTTACATCTATTTCCGCCTTTTGCACCAAAAGACATAAAAATAAGTGTCATGTGCGACAGGAGAAGTGGCATTGCCACCGTTATATAATTTATTGAAATATCTCCGTCTAATTTATTCGCTAGCAGTACCTAAAGCAGAATAATTTTTATCAAATAACGCTATAAAAAGAAAATTAAAATAATTACGATTTATTTAAGACATTCATAAAAAGATACACTAATTATACCTGAAATACTAAAATGGGAACAACGAGAAATGTATACGCTACTGCTGAGTGCAAGGAAGTCCGCCTCTGACGGGCATTGATCTGTGGAGTTCTCAATAAAACAGCAGCGAATACTATCGCATATAAAACAGCCACCAAAGATAAGCAAAGGAGTGCCCATAATGGCACAAATACAACTTCCCAACTCCATGTTATAAAACCATCTAATCTCAAAGCCAAAAAGATAAATTGCAATACATTCACTGCACAAAACAGTTCCAGTTCAAATGATCGATCATGTTTTACAGCCCAGATGCAAACCTAAATCACACGAATCAGAAAATGAAAGTATTCATTGATATAACTGCCAGTAGCAGTTCGAAGACATAATTACTTACAGCAATTGATACTATGGAGATAAAAATCAAAGGTATGAATACCAGTATCCATAAGTGTCTCTCTGATTCTAATTTGTCGCATACTAACAATTCAAACATCAACAAGATCAAATGCAATGCTAGAGTAATCAGCATTGCTTTATAATGTACATAGGCATCTCCTTCTAATCTCGCATGAGGATGCCTCCACCAGACATAGCTTCCAACTATTGCTCCTAGAATCACCATGCCTTTCCAAAACCATATTGGACTGAATATCGACCAATAACTCCATTCAATAAAACCGTCCAGTCGAAGAGCAAATAGAGATGTGAATATCATCAAACATGTGTGTACCAGAAATTTACTGAAATTTAAAATTAATGCATATGACAGCCATGTATAAGTATTTAGATTCATACTTATGTGAATAATTAATACGTCGTTACAAAAGTGTCCGTAATGAGTTGCCGAGTATTGTATTGAATAACATGGAAATTACCTCGGGTTGAAGTCTTGAAAAAGCGTTTGCAAATTCATAATTGTCGGAGCGGTTATGTAGGCCAATTAAACGAAGAGAGCCTTCAGGTGACTCGTCGAGTGGAGATGCATGCTACGTGGAGCGCACCGACCTCATTTGCCACGGGTACCGTCACGGAAAGACGCAAACGATGCCTCGTGCATCTGTATTCACGAATAAAATAAATCACTATTCGATATAACCAAAATTTCGAGCATACTGAAGTCAGCTAATAATCATCGGCTATTCCAAGTTCCCCCACTACTTTCCTCTTCCTTCCGGGCTCACACACTCACACTCTCTCTCACTCGCTACACTCACAGTTCACTAGGTATTTATATCTATATGGGAGATTCTTCGACTAAACTCCGATCAACTTACAAATTAATCAAATAATAATAATAGCAGTATTATTTTATTAATAATTATATAATGGAATTATTAACTTTTTATTGTTTAAGGTTTAAGTTATACACATTTAATCGCTTTAGACAATTTTGTCAGTTAAATTAATCGCTGATTGAATTAATTAACTTAATTATCAAATATTTTTATTAGCAAGAAGCATTAATTTTTTTATTAAAAACGATAAATTATATGTTGTTGAAATTTTATCCAAATTGTATCATATTTAATATTAATCGCTGATTTAATCGGAATTTAGTCGTCTTTCAAGTCGTCCTTCTTCATTTATTTCTAGTTTTTAGAAAAAGATGAAAAGTTAAAGTTGAAGTTAATCTACTACATTGATGGACACAATCATTCAATGCTCATTTCATTTAACAATAAGTATATTGATTAGTTAATATTTAAGACGCGATTCGAAGATTATATTGATGTAAGTACGAAGGATATTTATATATTGTTATCGCGGTGCAAAATTTCCAATCATATATTGATATCGCAGATAATTTATAGAAGTTGGAAACTACAATTAATTTATATATCATTGCAGAAAAGTGAGTGAGACATAATAATAATAAGTGACAATAAAAGAGCTGCATATACAGGATAAGTATATATGATATATCTTCTTTTATTTGAGATAATAATAATTATCGGCATAAATAACTTATTTAAAAAATGTAGATATCTTTACAATTGTTTTCTATATAATAATAATAATTTTATATATATCTTTATTTTATACAAAAACGTAAAGTTTCTCTCTAAATTCTTTGGGATAGATTCTCAGTCTTGAAAGAATGTGTGGTTCAATTTTCAATATTTAAAAGTCAGATTTTACTTTTCACAAAGTGAGATTGACTCTAAATTCAAGCTTTAGAGAGTTGTAAAAATCGTATTTTAATTCCAGGCTGTCTTATATTGTTGTTAGCGAAACAGAAAAAACAAAGGCAATATGCGAGTATAGCGGGAAACGCCAGCGAGGTCTGTTACAAAATCCTGTACTTCACACGCAAAATATTTTCGTCAATTATTTATGATTTCGTATCGCACGACGGTTGAATTTATTGTTTGTGTTTATATCCGTTAATCGTGTTTGCTCGTGACGACGTCCGACTGGTTAGAAGACCGTATAATCCCACTGTCGCCGAATGTCAAACAAAAGCTGCTGAACAAATAAATAAACTCAATGAGAGATTATTGCGCGTGATAAGACGATCTCATTGTGGATATGCGTTTTAGGATATGCGTCGTCGCGTGTCCAGAAACCACTTCAGTCGTCATTATTTCGCAACCATACGCCGCATTAATTCTCTCCACGCGCGTACGAATAAATTTACAATTCAAATTCAAGCTTGAATGTCACCAATAAATTTCCGAGTTCTCCATCAGATTTGTTCGTGTGTGAATTAACGGCGTTATGAGGTAAGAGATATCTCGCAAAGAATTCTCATTCTCACAGAAAAATAAACAATATATGTAACACGTTTAACAATTAATGTCACAACGTAGTTTCAAAATTGAATTTTTTTTTTCAACTTTAAGATAGTCACGATGAGCCAAGCAGAAGTTGCCATTAATAATAAAACTATTATTTCTTCGAAGAAAATCACCGCAATTATTGTAATTAATAAAAACCATCTTAACATTAACAGAATTTTAATTGTTATTGAATTGATAGTTTCTTGCACATTTGAACCAGGAACTACAATGGACGATTACTCGCATTTATTTGTCATTCTGATAAAAATCTTAGAAATGAACAAATAGATCGAATCGATAAGACATCGGAATGGGAAAATACGGTAATCTTACTCAGAAATTCTTTCTGACAGCATTTTATTGAACATTGTTATGATACAATTAGTAAAGATAAACTTATATATGCTTCCTAATTATTATTTACATAGTCATATCTTTTGTTCATACTGTCTCAGACTAGCCTTAGTCTGCGAAGAATTAGCCATGAGATGTTTATTTTGTCATTCGAAGTGAGCGTCCTGCGGATAAAGTAAATAATTATTACTACTTCATTGAGATAGCTCATAATTTAATAATATTTGTTTAATTGTAACTTGATAAACGTATAGGTAAAACTTACATATTTCATATATGATAGGAAAATGTCATAGACCATCGTCATAGCGTTTGTATAAAGTACCCGATAATGCAGAGGCACAAAGAAGAAATTAATGCATTGCGTAGGAGGCCAAAAGCAGCAATCGACCTGGCAGTACAATTTCAATAAGTTATTATATACATTATATTTTAAAAAGAAAACTTTCGATAACTGTTTTTGAATCTTAATTATTATACAAACACGCTCTTTACAGTTATTGAAATATTGATTAACGAGTATAGATTACATTCCTTACTTTCCACGTTTCGCCGAACTTTAACTTTAGCTCTTTACAGATTTCATCAATTTTGCGGCTCTCCAGAATCCCGAGGCCGACGAAAAATATCGTTAAACACGTGGGACTCGCAATCGATTGGTCTAGAAACGTTTTTTTGAGGACCGACTTTGCGTTCCTGCCTGGCAAAACCTTGTCTAGGAGCATATAGAACCAATGATGAAACGGACCTTGAAGCAGTCCTACAATCATCATATTCCTAGTCCTTATATAATCGTGTCCGTACGTGCTAGAAATTGCCGCCACCTTTTCATCTTCTGGTGACGCTGCTACAACGCTGCTCGGAAAGTATTTATGAGAACAATGCTTCTTCCAATGTTCGCTGCGCTGCTGGATCACATCTCCTGCTGCCATCATAAAACCACAACTCACAGTGTTGGTAACTATTAGATATTTACCTGCACAGCCAAAAATTCAAATTTCAGACAATCGAGCGGCTATTATTTCTATTATAAAAATAAAAAATGTGCACTTACCAAACAATAGCTGACGCAGAATACCCATTTGTATACAGAATTATACTATGTAAATCTTGTGAAAATTCGTTTGGTATTGAAACAAATTTTATATATGTAGTAGAAACGTTAATTAAATCGTTCTTTTTTTTATCAATTTAATTTATTAATGAGATACCTTTTCTTTCCTTTGATCAGCTACTTGAATTCTAAGTACGTTCTTTTTCTTTACATTTATTATTATTGAGCGAATTATCTTCTTAATTCCTTGGTGCTTGTGGAGACAATTAATTGATCTACCTTCTCAATCACATTAATGACATACCTTATCTTTCCTTTGATCAATTATTTGGATTTTAAGTGCGCTCCGTTTTTTTTAAATTTATTATTATTTAATCGAGCAAATCTTCTTAATTCTGCGATGCTTATGGAGACGAAACGTTCGCTGAATATTGTTTCGTGGCATAACTTTCAAATTGGCAAGTTGAAGAACAACGGTCTTCAAGTGCAGTATCGGCTGATGCCTAGATGCACAATGAAACTACACCAATCATCCGAGTTATCATCGTGTATCAAACGTACTGTTTGGCGAGATCGGTGGCTTGCTGAATATATGGGACGCCGCGATAATTAAAAATTCCGCGAAGATTGTACAAACGATATATAGACAATACACCTTATCTTTCTGATCGCGTATGTCTTCAAATTTTCTTGTCAGAGATGATATAACACGTAAGAATATGTATACAGTTTTATCAGAAGTTCATGTTTACAAATACTATTCGATGTATTAATAGAAAAAAAATTAGAGAAAAGAACGAAGATAATATACAAGAATGTATACTTTATTTTAAACTTTATCTTACTTATTTATCCAATATAATAAAAAAGCCTTTTAGAGTCAATAGAAGTTCTTAGTGTGTATAGAAATCAAGTTTATTTAACAACACAAAATAAACGTTTAAATTTATCCTATGTAGAATTCCATTCAAGAATGAAACTATAAAAGAATCACAAAAGTTTTGGATAATGTAATAAAAAAAAGTGCATGAAATTTAAAATATTTATAGTTAAAAATACTTTAGCAAAGTAAATAATTAAATAATACAATGTAATTATAATTATTTAATTAGAAAGAATTCTCAAATGTTAATTTTATGATTGGATTTTTTTATTGATAGTCAAAATTGTACAACTTAATTAGACAATAAGACAAAGGGAATCGATGTATTACTTAGCTGCAACAGCTTTGGGTTTTGGCAAGCCTTCCCTGAATCCATTCCTGTAAACACAAATAAAATTATTTATGTATATTGTATACATAAATTATAAAAAAAATTAGATATAAACGAAAAAAGTTAAAAGGACGTTGTAAGAGTCAAAAGAAATAATTTAAAACAACAATTAAAAAAGAAAAACGCATATATGTAATACATTAAAAATTAACAATATAAAAATATTTGTTTAAAATTCGAAAATGTACATTAAAAAATAACAATATTAAAAAATTAGATAATGTTATATCTCTTATTTAATAAAAAGATTTTTAAAAATATAAAAAGATGAACAGCTATTTAAAAATCTATAGATTTTTAGTTCAATTTAATTTGTTATCACATTTCTAACAGCCATTGTAGCTTACTTGAATTTACGGCGTACGATTTTAAGATGACGCATGCGACCAGTGCCAGTGGTCTTCCTCCTCTTTGCCTTGACTGACCAGTTATCTGTAGTCATCAAACATCATCAAATTAATATTTCTACATTAATATTAAATATTTAAGTAAACATAAGATTGTTCTTCTATGTAAAATATGTTATTTTACACAGCGGCAACTTACATGAACGCATTTTCTTAGCTGGATAGCCACATTGTGCACATTTGGACTTCTGGATGTGATAAGAGCTACGTCCACATCTTCTGCACAACGTGTGCGTCTTGTTACGCCGCTTACCAAAACTGGATGTACCCTTCGTCTGTGAACATTAACAGCTTAAACTATAACATCTGACTCCATATTATAAATTATAGAAAGATAAATCAATAATAGCACGATATAAAAAAGAATGATTTTAAACCATATTTATGGATAAATAAACGAAAGATAAATATTCGTCTGTGAACATGAAGAAAAAACTGTAACATCTGATTACATGTTGCACTTTATAGGAAAAAAATGAATTAGTGACGGTACGATATAAAGAAGGGCTATTTTAAATTATCTTTGTGGATAAATAAGTGAAAGATAAACATACTTTAGGAAATAAGTGATGTCAAAGTGTTATCACGTAAACATTATTATAACATAACCTGTAAACCGGTATCATGTCAGTATCATGCGTAACATTTTTCTTGTCCGATAATATTTAATTATGTCGGTTCTATGAAAATTAAGAACATCTTTTCCGCACCGATCAATCGACCGGCTATTAGGATCGCTACAAAATAAATCGATTTAAATAACATATATCCATGCTCACCATTTTAGATGAGAAAGCACTCCAAAAGAAGAAATAAGGGTGTACTGTTCCAAATCCGAAGTTCGGAGAGGTTCGGAATGTTCGGATTCCGATTTCCGAACGTTTCTTCGTTCAATCAAAATTCAACCAATAGGGAATGAGACATTTTTAAACGACCTCTATAGATGTCGATTGGAACTACTATAAAATTTGTACTCAAATGGTAAAGTTATTCAAAACAAATATAAAAATTAACTAAAATTGAATTAATTTTATTTATTTAGTAAACTAAATATTAAGTATCGATAAAATTTAAAATTTACTTCTCAAAGTATAGGAAATAAAATTTAACTATCTTGCAAAAAAATATTAATCTAAATGGTTACTTTAACAATATAAATATGAAATTACTGCTTACTTAGACACATTTTTATAATCTAAATAGTGAATTACAAAAGGCAACTTTGTACATTAAAATTTTTTTACAAATAATATAATTTAATATTTACAATAATGTATACAAAATACAAAACAAAAATTAAATTAAATTTCTATAAGTCTATCTGCATCAGTGAGTACTTCGTGAGAATGTTGACTACTAGATTTCACTACGTGTTGTGCTCCAACTACGCAATTCTTTAATTCAGTGCCTTCCTCGATGGTACAGCCATTACACAGTATGCAGTTATGTATAACACATCTGTAAAAAAAAGAAAAAACGACTTGTAAAATATATTAAACAAATAATTTCAATAACATTTTGACTTACCTTTGCTTAATAGTTACATGTCCCATTATCACGCTCTGAGATATTCTTGTTTTTGATTCCACGGTACTGTTAGGCCCGATATGATTACTTTTCAACCATGTTTTTTCCTCGATCAACGAATTATCGCCTATGCGACATTCTTGCATCTGTGTACTACGCACAGTCGCTGAGCTCGAGATACATGGCAACAACGGTAACTGATCAATATTTTTATCATCATTCCACCATTCTGATATCTGTGTATAGAATATTTCTTAAATTAGTTAAACTTAAAAAAATCTCTTAATTTATAATATAAATAATAAAACATAAACATATTATTTGCGATTCATAATCTACGAAAGCAGATGAGAGTTTTAGTAGATGACTCTCGAATTCTCGACTCTCTTCCGTGTATGTTTTTAATATATATTATTGCTTTATTATGAAGATTTATAAAATGAATAACACTACTCAACCTTAGCATTTGCAAGATGATACATTTGTATAGTATTTGCTCTAAGACCGAACTTTTCATTCGATACATGAGCATAACATCGAATTACATCCCCATTATATGCATCCTCCAAATCAGTATTATGATCATTGAAGGCTGACATCTTTCTTATCAGCTCATCTAACGGTTTCTCCAATGCAAAATGGAAAATGTCATCCTTCAAATCCATTTGTACCATAGACGTTTTATCATCTATAGACTGTTTAGGTCTAGACAATTGTTTACCGACTATATATGGCAGAAGCTCACCCTTCAGTGTTGTAAAATTTCTGAAAAACATTTTTACATTTGATTAGATTTACATTTAGCCTCTTCAATGTTTTGCCCTAATAAAATTACTGACTTGTTATATATTAAGAAATCTATCACCCATTTGTTAATGATATACAAATGTGCGTCCATTAATTTGGAGTGAATAGTGAAGCTAGCATGCTTTCTTAGCAGCCTCTGCGAGATGTTAATTGTTTCCTCAAAATCAGATGCAGAAGCCAAGAATACCAATCGTCCTGTATTATTGTCGATACCAATTAAGTCTGTTTCTGGTTTTTGTTTGTTTTTTAGACCTGGCGTTACGAAGTCGTCTGGCATTTTCGGCACAGGCAACATAAGAGCAGTTACACTCGCATTGTGTTTTCTGTATAAATTCAGAATCTCTGATAAATCCACATTTGTGATCAAATCGCAGGATATCACCAAGATGTCTGTATATATTTTTTCGTGAATGAGTCTGATAGAATCGGCCGTGCCAAGGTCCTCGGCTCCTGGAATTCCTACAAATTCTATCTTGATTTTCAGACCCAATTTATCCAATGACATTAACACATCGGATTTTGTTGCTTCAGCAATAACAACAATTGCTTCTTTGAAGCCCGAACGCTCAAGGATTTGTAAGGGATACCAGATCATAGGAACATTTGCAATCGGCAATAAACATTTTGGTTGGCCTGCTGTAAGCTCTGTCATACGGGAACCTTTTCCTCCCGCAAGCACAATAGCTTGGAATTCATTATGACGATTCATTTTTATTCTCTGTAATCATTAAAATATAAAACACATCATTAAACACTTTAAGAGTTTTGTTATAATTAAAAAAAAACTGAAGATTTTGTTAAATGTTAGACTTTAATTATTTTTCTTTTAGGAGACACAATAAACACAAGCATGTTATTCCATTATGTTTATTTTGTATTTTAAATAATTATATTAAAATTAAATTAAAAAATTTTATTTTTATTATTTATTCATTGTGACCTGATTCATGTTTATAACATTCTTAGAAACACTTTATTCTTGTTGTTTATCAAAATTAATTAAAGAAATTAGACTGAAGAAATTAATTAAGAAAAATAATTTTATTTTCAATTAAAAAGCAGAACTTGATGCTTAATAATATTTATGTAAATTTTTGCAAATATATTTTTCATTAGTTTCATAAACAGTGCACCAATTCAATTTGTTGAACTTGAAATCCTGTTTTCTAAAAGCTGGTATCATAGGGTACTTTGCATTTAGTTATATAGTAAACACAAACATTATTCTATCTTTCTTGATATTCCATGAGTAACAAAGATTGAATATCATCTTGTATCAAATAAGAAGCACCTTTCATGATACATTTATATCAAGCGTATCACTCAGAGTATATTTTGAAGGTTAGTATTAATGACAACTACTTACGATTTCATTCAGATTATTTTACTTCAACGCTTTAGGCACATCACTATGCAGAAGAACATAAAAACATGACAGGAATATGTAATTATGCGAATTGTATAATGTGACTACACGATTTTTAAAAGAATACAAATCAAACGATTGTTCCAGATTAATTCAATACAGTTCTACTGAGTTCTACAACCAAACCAGGACAAACCATGTGCTCATTGCTTACCTAACCTAAAATTGATGGCCGTTGACGACAATACAATGTATAGTGGAACGATTTGATGTTAGCCTGCATGTGACTCTACAATGCGCATGCGCAAAACATCTTTTTTCTTTTCTCTTCTCCTCAAAGTGAAAAAAAAAAGAAAAAAGATGAACTGGTGCAAAAGTTTAGTCAAAAACAAAGACATAGAGAATGGACTGCGCGATCCCGTATCTATGTAGTATCAAAATGTGTCGACGAAAATGAGAGAGAGGGTCCGTGGAAGACGGCCATCTCTATCTTTTTTCATTCCATGGTGTAATGGAAGAGAGAATGAGAGGGAGATGGCCGTCTTCCACGGTCCCTCTCTCTCATTTTTGTTGACCATTTTGACACAAGGATCGCGCAGTCCATTCTCTATGTCTTTGGTCAAAAAGAACAGACCTTATGTATGTACTATATATTAAAACAGCTAGTCCCACCTCTACCACTACCACTATAATGATCAACATGCAAAGACGTTGGTACAGTTTGATATACTTTGGTTACCATACTAGAACCACGTGCTAGAACCACGCTAAAAAATCGCTTTTTAGAGTTTTTATGCTTTGTGAATATTTTACATAAATACAGAAAATATGGAACACGTATTTACTCGTACAATTGAACCAAACGGAAACCTCATCACGGATCCATTGGGAAATATACTGGTTCAACAAAAATCTTGTAAGTGCTTTTACTTTGTCGTGCAAACATACATTTTTATGATTTAAATTATATTATAGCTTATGTAAACGTGTCTTTGTTTTTTATTTTTATACACATTTTAGCTATAATTTTAGATATTTTGGCCGTTTTTGTTTATATATTTAAATTATGTATATAAAACTGACGGAATGTAAACATAATCGAACTATACTCTGTTCAACGAGAGAACTTTAATATGCGCATAGGAGATAATATAAAGTCGTAATCACACTACAGACTCTCGATTCTGACCCCCGACTCCTGACTCAAGAGTCGATCGAATAGAGTAATTTCTATTCTCGAGTCGGCAATCTTCCAATGCAAATCTACATATATTTAATCATCGCGTTTTATTAAATTTGTCGCGTTCTGCGCATGCGTGACGTTTCCAGACGTTTCTCGTCATTTCTCGTCGGGTCGGAGGCTACGTTCGGGCAATGAAAATAGAATGACATAAATAGCGCTAATAGCGTTTCCCCGAATCCAGCCGGAGTCTCGAATACGACGAAACGTTGTTATCCGGCGTTTGAAAATTGTGAAAACAACGCGGTTATGACGTCACACCGTGAACGGAATGGCTCCCGCAGACAGAACGCACTCCTGTAGTAAGCAAATCAGCCAATCATAGTTGAAAATACGATTAACATTTAAAATTTCTTGGCTGTGGGTTGGTCATTAATCATAATGATCATACTGCCACTACTATTGGTGTGCTGCAGACCTATAATGGGCGCATTCAGCAGAAAAGAGCGCTACGAGAGCGCTCGCTGTTATTGGTATATTCTTCCAGATTTTAAATTCTGATTGGATGATCTAGAAGAATACACCAATAACAGCGAGCGCTCTCGTAGCGCTCTTTTCTGCTGAATGCGCCCAATGCAAGTAGACTTGAAGCATTTCATGCACAAACCTAACCCGAAAAAGATGAAAATGGCGGATAATGCGGATAGTACATGTGGCAACAGTTGAAGAGGGTGGGGTGGAAAACATTGAAAGGTGATATACTACTTTCTCGCTTATAGAAAAATAATCTGGAAAAATTAATAAGAATATGGTTAAAAAATGTGTAAATTATAGGACCAGACATGCAAATAATTCAAGAAAGGCCTAACCTGTAGAACAATTGAGAGTACAATGAATGCTGTCGTGGAAGACACGTGCGAGTCGGTGGAGGATGTGATCACAGTGGGCACCCACGTGATAGTCAAGAAACAAGATTTCAGCAAGATATACAAAGTGTCTGAGAATGGTATTTTAATGTTAGGAAAAAATCAAAGGGTAGAAATGCAGGAAATCATTGGCAAACCATTCTGGAGCACGTTCGAGATGATACCCTTGCTGAGCAACAAGGGTACTTTCACCTTGAAACTGACAGATGAAATAGAACCATGGAACGATTTAAAGGGCGAGCTGAGTGGTTGTGACAATCGTTCCATCACAGATGATGGTACATCCCAACGGCTGTCGAAGGAGGAGATCTTGCAGTTGCGGGAAGCCGGTAAGACTGGCAAGGAAATAATCAGTAGCCTCATTGAGAACAGCAAATCTTTTTCTGCCAAGACGGAGTACTCCCAAGAGAAGTACATCAAAAAAAAGAAACTCAAATATTTTAGGTTCCTGACAATACACAAGACATCTATATTATTGTTGCATGAAGTATACTTTAAAAGAAAACACGAGAAAATCGGAGGATTGAGAATGGATGCTCTGGCACAGATGTTGTCCTACAGCGATGTACAATCTGATGGCTTGCACCTATTATACAGCAATGGATTTCAAGGATTACCTGCAGCGGCTATGATCAACAGAATAGGTATGAACACTAGTGGTTATCTAATCAACTTACATCCTGGTAACATGCCTCAAACTACATTCATTGAAGCCATGAACTTTCCCGAAGAATTAAGAAACAGGCACCTTGCAGTAAATATTTATACTTTTTTGAGATTACATTATCAAGGTGAATCAAGCATAATAGACAATATTTCCAAAAAGATTGTTAATAAAGGCATTGAAGAACAAGATACTGAAAAATCGTCGGAAGAATCTGAAGGAGAAACTATGAATGACGAAGTATCCGAAACGGACATGGAAGTTTCAGAACTAGAAACTGAAGCAAAAGAAAATGGTACGTTTCTTACAAACGATACTAGAGAAGATACCAATACTTTGAAACGAAAACTCGAATCTGAAAAGCTCGGGATAGAAGCAGCGGAATTGAAGAAACCGAAGAAATCTACAAATCAATTAAAATGGTTGTTAGAAACAAAACGCGCTGTGGATTTATTAAGCAGCACGAAAGCCCGTGGTTTAACAATCGTAGCGAAAGAGCATCCTTTACAAATCGCAAACGCATTGCTGCCCTTCTTGGGAATCTCACGGCCGTTTGTTATCTTCCATGCGCATCGGGAACCTTTGCAGGAAACTTATGTGGAACTCAAGCAGAAACGCAATGTAATAAATTTGAAATTGTTTACGAACTTTTTACGTTCGTATCAAGTATTGCCCGACAGGACACACCCCGATATTTTGACGAATGATACCGGTGGTTATATTTTAACGGGTTACTTAGTTGAGTAACACATAAAAATTGTTTTTATCAAATTTTGACATGAAAAATTGATCCGTTTAGACTCGCATACTCAATACCAATGAAATACTAAACAAGTAAAATACGACATTAGAAAAAAATTTATAAACGGATTATAATTTTTTTACGCAAATATAATTCTATAATGTACATATTTTTGCGTTCATATTATTTTAGCCTCTGAAGCATTATAATAATTGCTCTTTTATATTTTATATCTTTTATTTTAAAAGAAAATTGTATAAGGATTGTAATAAGAATTATTAATATCTGTAAATTAAAAAAAATATTTTTATTGCAGTTTTCTTTTTGCAATAAATTGTAATATTAAATTTTAAATTCTGTAAAATTAATTTATCTTCAAACATTCAAAATTTTTTGCTCCTTTGTTTCTTTGAAGTGAATAATAAAATTTTACTTTGAATTTTTAGAGTATCTATTTTTTTTCTCATCTTTTCTATTATACACAAATCTAAATTTTTTAAAAATCTTATCGATAGAGTTAAGAAGATACATTTGTACTTGGATACGTAGTTCCGTTAATCGCAAGCTTCCATTAAGAGAGTGCTGTAATCGCTGCTAGACAGGAGAAGGTTTGCCAGAATTTCGCTCATAGCTATACTTGACTTTTTGCTGTACAGTGATTTGCAGTCTTTGATTTTTCATAGTGATCAATGGTGATTAACTTAAAATTTGCAAACGGTTGACAAGCAATAAAACACATGTCTTACCTTACGCGTAAAATATCTTTCAAATTTTTTTAGGTTAGGATAAGGTCGTTCTGGAAAGTACTTATTGAACGCGCGCGATCTAACGTAACATATTGGAATTCGCCGAAACAGTAATTTTTAATTTCCCCCCCCTTTTTGCGAGAAGGTTGTTCTTGGTAGATAAGAGACCCGTGTGCTTATCGCCATTCCTGACCCCGCGTATCGTGCAGTTTCGCATTACTGTGCAATTGCGGCGATGGCCACCTGGAACGGTTCATATCCGGAAGATCCAGGTTGCTTAGTGTACGCCGACCAGAATGCAACAGACACTACCGCAGGAAACTGGTCGTACTTCGTTGATAACAACACATACCTACAACGCAATGTATCTCAAATATCCGCGGGAAGTTACTATCCTAGAGCTAGGGGTGGTCACCAGGTCTATGAACAGAACGAACCAACAACGTCTTCTCACCAGGATGGCAGCCAGTATCCGTCGAATATGGTGTCTTTACAGAACAATGCCTATCAGAAACGTGTATTACCAGACACCTTGTCCGCAGATAATGCAGGAGCGTCGAACAGCTTCATCTCGACGTCGCACAACGCATCCTCCCGTGGCGGTTACAGAAGACCCAGGGGTAATCGGGTGGCCGGCAAGCATCCGCCACTGTCATCGTCGACGGGCGACGTCGTTCAGTCCACTGTAGTGAAGAACTCCAATTTACATCTTATAGCCAATGAATTTGTGCCGAATAATCAGGGCAGATTCCGAAAAGATAACAAATTCAAGAAGTACGATAACCCGAGTGGTTTCAATACCTTCGGGCAAGAATTCAGATCAAAGTCATCCCTGTCAGATAATAAAAGCGAAAGACATTACGACAACAGAAAAGATGCAAATTATAGACAGAGGAAGTCACAGGATATGCAGGCTCCATCGAGATCTAGCTACAGAGATATTCCTAGGACTTACAACACAAGAAACTATAATAAATTTCAGAATGGCAAGTATTACAATAGAAAGTATCAGTCAAATGTACCTTCTACTGAACAGAATGCTGCTAGAGAAGCTCGAACAACTATGACTAATGCCATTGATTCAGCTATGTCTAATAGTCAGGAAAATAAGTCTTTTGGTGAGGATATTCAAGAGGATGACTCGTTTTCGAGTACAAAAATCAATAGAAGCAAGGAAGAGGTTTTGACACAAGAAGATAACAATTCAGAAAACATGTCTTCAAGAAGTCAAGAAACATCACGAAGTGGTAGAGTTAAGCGATTTGCTAGTACATCCAATTATCATAGATATATTTCAAACGATATGCAATTTGAATCTGGTACCAGCCGTAAAACAACAGCAACGACAGCAAAGTATACACAAAGAAGAAACAATGAGATAAGTTATAAGGAGAAGAAACTAACAAATTGGAGAGATAAGTCAGAAAGTAATGAGACAGTGCATACATTTCAAGGAAAATATTTCAAGAAAAAAAATGATATTGGTATATTTAAACAATTTATCAAAGAGATCACATTATTATATAAAAAAAGAAATTCTATAATAAAGAAATTCTATAATGAAATAACTGTTACTTTTTGTATGTTCTTATTAGATGATGACTCGAGCCAGAGGGAAAGATTAACTGAGCAGTTGAACAAGGGAATATTGGAATGCCTGGTTTGTTATGAGCATATTAAGCAAAGCGATTACGTTTGGTCATGTAGCAATTGTTATCACGTATTGCATTTAAAATGTATCAAAAAATGGGCCAAGTCCTCTCAGAGCGGTAAGTAAACAGAACTTGCCATCATATATGCTAAATTATCGAATGTGCATTCTGATTTATCTATTTTTTTTCCTTTTTAGAGAATAATAGTTGGAAGTGTCCGGCTTGTCGAGATGTTAGTTTCCTCGTGCCTGAGGATTACTTCTGCTTCTGTGGAAAGATGAAGATGCCAGAGTGGAATCGCAGAGACATAGCACATTCATGTGGCGAGATTTGTGGCAGACATCTGTCCAAGAATAATTGTACGCACAAATGTATTTTGCTCTGTCATCCTGGCTCTTGTCCGCAATGTATAACAATGACAACCAAGTATTGCGGATGCGGGAAAACGTCGAAGATGCTTCTATGTAGCGCTCAACAACGGTTAATATGTGATTCAGTATGCGGCAAGGATTTGTCGTGTGGCAAACACACCTGTCAGAGAATATGTCATCAGGGAGAATGCGGGCCTTGCGACAAAACTATACAACAAAGTAATATTTTAATTTCTTTATTGATAACTAATATTAATTTTGAATTTAAGATAAATATATTTATACATATATTTATTTTAACATAAATATGTTGACAAATATTTTTTCAAATTGTAATAATTACAGTAGATAGCAACAGTATAATTATAATGGTTTTGTTTGATTTTGTTTAGTATGTTTCTGTAGTAAGAAAACTCAGGAGATACCCTGTCGAGTCAATGTCGCAGATACATTTTCCTGTGATAATACTTGTAATAAAATGTTAGACTGCAAGAAACATTATTGTCAGAAAGTCTGTCATCCAGGGTCCTGCAAACCCTGTTCTTTGACGCCTGAAAATGTTACTGTGTGTTGTTGTGGTCAAACACCATTAATAGAGAAGAGAGAGAGTTGTACGGATCCTGTGCCGACCTGCGATAAAATCTGTTCAAAGCGCTTGAAATGCGGCCAGCCTAGTAAGCATAATCGAGCTTCAGGTTTTATCATTACATAGACACATTAAATCAAATTTTTGTTCGTTTATGCAGGTAATCCGCACATCTGCAAGGCATTATGTCATGTAGGGGAATGTCCGGAATGTGACTTGAACACTGATGTCAAGTGTCGTTGCGGTAACATGGATCGCGAAATTGCTTGCAAAGACTTAATGAGCAAGGCCGATGATGCACGCTGCGAGAAACGCTGCAAGAAGAAAAGAACCTGTGGTAAACACAATTGCAATCAGTTGTGCTGCATCGACATCGAACACATCTGTCCGTTACCATGTTCAAAGACTTTGAGCTGTGGTCGGCATAAGTGCCAGGAAAGATGTCACATAGGTAAGTACATATCCACGATCAAAATTAGACAATATAAAGTGAACTTTTTTCTTTCCTCTGATAGGAAGATGTTCGCCTTGCTTGGAGAGCAGCTTTGAAGAATTGTATTGTGAATGCGGCGCCGAGGTGATTTATCCGCCGGTACCATGTGGTACGAGAAGACCCACTTGCAATCGACCATGTTCGCGCGAACACCTCTGCAACCACGAAGTATTGCACAACTGCCACAGCGAGCCCACATGTCCACCTTGCAGCGTCTTGACTCAGAGATGGTGCCATGGTAGACATGAACTCAGGAAGGCAGTGCCGTGCCATGTGAAAGAGATCTCGTGTGGTCTGCCGTGTAATAAACCATTGACGTGTGGACGGCATAAATGTATCACAATGTGCCATGCCGGACCCTGCGAGAGAGCCGGACAACAGTGCACTCAACCTTGCACTACAACGAGAGAACTCTGTGGCCATATTTGTGCTGCTCCATGCCACGAAGGCAGGTGTCCAGATATGCCTTGCAAAGAGACGGTCAAGGTAAGAACAATCTTTATCTTAAGCAATCATGTACCTGCGAAAGCCATTATCATCACTATGAAATTTCAACAAGTTTCGTATTCTGGGATTATATTTACGGTTACGTTGCAGGTTACATGCCAGTGTGGGCATAGAACTATGAGTCGTGCCTGTGCAGATAATGCACGAGAATATCAGAGGATAGCAAGCAACATTTTGGCTAGTAAGATGGCGGATATGCAACTTGGTCACTCTGTTGATTTGGAAGAAGTGTTTGGACAAGGTGCAAAAAAGCAGAATCAGTTAAAGACTTTGGAATGCAACGACGAGTGTAAGACAATAGAAAGAAACAGAAGACTCGCATTGGGATTGCAGATTGTCAATCCGGATTTAAGTGGCAAACTGATGCCTAGATATAGCGATTACATGAAACAGTGGGCTAAAAAAGATCCGTACTTCTGCCAAATGATTCATGACAAATTGACAGAGTTAGTACAGCTAGCGAAGACATCCAAACAGAAATCCCGGAGTTATTCGTTTGAAATTATGAACAGAGAAAAGCGTCATTTTGTGCACGAGACGTGCCAGCATTTTGGCTGTGAGAGTCAAGCGTATGATGAAGAGCCAAAGAGAAATGTTGTTGCTACTGCTGTAAAAGACAAGGTAAAATCTTATATGTCATCTTAGAACGATTAAAGCATATATTATCTTAGTAACGAATGTATCACATTGCAGTGTTGGTTACCAAGCTACAGTTTATTAGAAATGATACAAAGAGAGAAAGGACAAAGAAAGGTTCCAGGCCCGGTACTTAATACTTCGAAGGGAAATAACTCTACAAAGTAAGTAATATCTACACGGAAAGAATAATTTTACTAAATTACTTAAAAATTTAGCTAGATACAGATCTGAAAATAATTTTGTGACAACTAAATAATTATGTAGGACGCTCAAACTAATTGTTAAAACTTTTTGCAACATTAATCATGTTTCAATGTTCTACACAATAATTTTTACAATCTAATAAAATTATTTTCATATCTAGCTAAATTTTTAGATTCTTTAGCAAAATCGTTCTTTGCGCGTAATTATTAATAGTAAAATTAATAAATAAATCAACAAATTAATAATATATAATTAAATGCATTACAGGACTGTTTTTTCGTTACCTGTAAAACAGAATCAGCAATTGCTGCCATCGTCAACTCCTAAAACTGTTGACAAAGAAATAGATTATTTTGACTATCGAGATTAAATTATCAGTAACATATAAAAGACAACACAGGTTATATAATGTATATATCATAAACAGGGCTTAAAAAATGGGTACAACTGTAATTATATACATTTAATATTGTGATGTGTGAAATTTTCATGTGCTTGAACAGTTCGAACAGTATGAATTTTAGGATCAAACTTTAAGTTGTTCGGGTCGTTTGAGCTTAAAGATATTTGAATTGCTCTTGAATTTAATTTAGTTCCAAGGAACAAATTCATTTTCTGTTTGCAACAAATATTTTCGCTCAATTTTTTAAATGTAAAAATTATATATATATAATATATATATATAATTTTATATAAAATTATATATAATTTTATATATGTATATATATATATATTCGAGCAGTGAAGTATTCGAAACAAATAGAGTTCCATTTTAACTGTTCGAGTATTTCGATCGCACAATTTATTCGAACTTTTTGTCTTATTTTAATTAATATCATGATTTTGGAAATAAAAATGCAAGACGTGTATTAGATTATCAATTATCTCTCTCTCTCTCTCTCGTTTTTTATTTTTGTTTTTAACTATATAAATTGTAATTAAAACAAACTCATAAAATACTTATTAAACAAGAATATAATATAGCAATAACAATTTTTTATATGTTTTTATAAAAGATCTTGATAGGTTAATTATTATCTTGAAAATATCACTTTATTGTAATTTAGATTTATTTGCAATATACTTTGTTGAAATAGATATGAAGATGACATGTTTAGAGAAATGTAATAAAAAAAATAAACATTAATATACGTCTCTTGCTAAAAAAAAGATACTGTTTTTTCATTATTATTCAAAGACTGTAAAAAAAAATCGATTTTTAATATTTGAAAATGATTTTAAATGGCTTTCGCGATTGGTAAAATATAATCATATAGAATTTTGTTTATTCAAAATATACAGGTAAAGTGTGTCATAACTCCATTTTTCTTAATCTTTATTTCTACACAATTCTTTTTTTCAATCAATTGTTTACATAATTATTGATTATATTGATACCTCTTAAACAATATGGTAATCTTGAGACTAATATAATAAAGCAAATGATAGCCGTATACTACATTACTAACAAGACAATTTCTTATCACGGATAGAATATATAAGTATACAAAGTATCTAAAATTAACCGATGGAACAAATACTCTTATTCTAAATAAAATGATTTTTTGCTTGGTCAAAGCTATATATTGCTAAGAATAAAGTCAGTGCTGGATAAGTGCTATACGAAGTATAGACTATAGCTTTTATATTTTTGGGCGAGAGGTTTTGAAAATGTTTCCAAGATTTTCAGATATTTTTTTTATAATTCATTAATAACAGTTATAGCGATCAATCTTGATTGAATATGTATAATATTTATCATAACTCACAATTTCATTATACATACACATATTTAATGACCAAATAGTCATGTTGAGAAATTATTTTTAATTCAGATATAGAACAATAGAGAGCTTTTCTATTGAACAATAGAGAGCTTCTATTAAAAACTTTAGTAATACATCTTATATCTGTTATATAACTATTGAATCTGCGATATTACGATCTTTCATCAGTAAAAATATCAATTACATATATGTATATATCGTAATTTCAAGGTCCTTATCGATTTGATTAAAATGATAGTTGTTTATTATTGTACATCCAATTGTATATAAATATTTATCTATATCTATATATAGTTTTGTAGAAGAGTTTTTGTTAGGATAATAAGACTTTGTATCTCTTGTAAACATTTAAAATAGTTAACACGAGTATTTGGCACATGAAACATCAATGTTATATTTTAGATTACTACTTTTGTCATACTATATAAATTTCAAACAGATATTTACTCGCTGAGACCTTTTATGCTCTTGTAAGTATTACTACTAAATATCTCACTTGTTCTATATATATTTGCTTTTATAGAGAGGTAAATAGAGTTAGTACATAAATAGAAAGTCAACATTATTGAATATATATGTATATGCTTGTAATAAAGAGAAGTAAAAAAAGATACAAAAATACTAATACTAATATCGAATACAAATAAAATATCATCATGGTATACACAAGTACCATGTATAAGATATGATTTTAGCTGTAAATCTGTAAAAAATAAAAAAATATCACATTATAAATTAAAATTTATAGATAGGTGCATCAACATAATAAAATACTACCTATAATTATATAAGACATTGAAAGTACGATAAATTGTACATGATTGCAATAAAGCTATAATATAGCTGTTTTTATCATAAACTCACTTTTACAGTCTTTTATCTCACGGAATATAGTGTTATTTAAGCTTACATAAGCGTAAAATGGCCTCCTATTCTAAACACATAAATATGATATCACATGTAGGATCACAACACTGTTACAAATTCAACTTGCAAATAAGTCATTTATGTATTAATCATTGTTGTAATTTTGTTGAACATTTAGTAGTAGGGCACTTTGAGTCTGGGTTCGTACTTTTACTTCTAAGCATTGGTGCGGTTGACACACAGTAAAAATGCGTTATTTCACATATTATCGATAAACGTCACCTATTAATTTCACGTCTTTGTTTATATACAGTCCATTTTTCTTTTCTCTTTCCTTTTTTTGTTTTTTACTTCGAAAATATTCTTTCAAATTTTTTATATGTAAGTTAAAAAATGATATATATAGATATATTTGTTCAACAAAAAATATATATATGTATATGTATCTTTCAGAGAACATAGTAAAAATCATTAAATTAATTCATCAGGAAACTAATCTAATTTAAAAAATATATATCTGTGTGTGAGAATATGTGCATCGAATGAACACTTCGCATAAAAAGTGGTTTTTTTTAGAAATGCTACGTGACTATTGTATTATTAAATGTTATCTAAACATTTATTTCATGTTTAGAATGTTATACTCATCTATTGCTATATTTTCGTATATAGCAAATTTTTTGAGACTCCGTTTTTCTTTTTTTATTATGTAGTAATTACAAAAATGTCTTTGCATTGCATATATCTCTTTGACAGAAATTGTTACAATTCATACTAAAAACTACATACGAAAATAAGTTTTCAATCTTTATAATTTTTTTTTCAATTAAAAGTGAACTTTTAGTGAGCACACTTTAAGAAAAACAATGAACACATAAATTGTTGCAAATACTAGGAGTGATAAAATGTGTCTTTAAAACAATTACGGAATCATTACAAAAATTAATTTATCTAGAAAAAATAATATTAAGATCTGATAAAAAAATTAATAAAAATTTTCATTTGGCATCTTGATTTTTTTTGGATTATAATTACGCTTAAGTGGAACTATTGCTTCATATATAAGGATTATTACCTCGATTTATGCGCGGGGAATAATTAGGATAATTGCTCAGATACTGATGTCGTGGACTTACTGATGGCTGCTTAGTTATATTCGCCATAGCGCAACCCATCAGAAATTCAAATATCCTAGGTATCGTTTGATACAACAGCCACGGCCATGGAATGGGAAATTGCGTTGGTGCTGGTTCTGTACCGTATGGTACGGTTTCAGCAAAGAGTCCTAAAAACGAATTAATAGCATTATTTTATACATAAATATTATTTTATACGAGAATATTTTGTAATACATAAACTTGTTACTTATTATTATACTATTACAAATACCGTATGGTCCAAAAATACGAAAGGCATCCGTGACACATAGAAGAATCCCTAAAATCGCAGTAGCGCGTGTAACGTTTAATACTTTTTGCATCTGAGATTTCCTGGCAACTGCGGTATCCGCTTCCGGTATATGTAGCGGCGTATCAGATTTCGCACGATTCACATACGCGATGTGATTTAGTATCGAGTGAAGAGTAAAGTCCGTGCTCTGAAAATAGCTCCCCCCCCCCCCCAAAACCTATTTTAGATACATCTGCATTCTATGAGGATAATGGTATAGTAAGCATTACGTACCATAACTCTTGCTTCACTAGACGTATTTTCGGGAAGTAAGTTAGTCTCTGGCGTAATGTCTTCCGCATCTTCAATGTTCTTATCGTTCCACGATAAATTTTTTTTACGTACTTTTGGCTCTTCTTCTTTGCTCTTTGATTTTTCAGTCATCAGCGCTGCCTTTTCGCTGCAATCAGGATGATCTGAATCTGATTCAGATTTCTCCTGCACCTCCGTTTTAATAGGTACTATACTCTGAAAGTGTGTGGGACTTCTATCTAGAGTTCTGATACTGATATCACTGCTCCGGCGATTTATAATTAACGGTTTAATGTGAATGAATTCGGAGTTGCGTCGATAGGAACTCTCAGAATTTCTACGTGAGTCGGATCTAGGTGATATACCAATATCGGAATTGCGTCTTGAACCTGAAATATTGTTAAGCAATATAAAAACAAGATAAAATAAAAACAAAAATACAATTAAAAAAAGAATAGGACCTATTTTTATAGAATATTTTTAATTTACTTTTATATGAGCTAATATATACGAGGTCTGTCCCAAAAGTATCCGACCTACCTCCATTTTTCGGCGCTTGGCTTATTTTTCGTCATCCGGTTGGTGGCATCCTTCGAAGTAGTCCCCATTTGATTGAACAACACGCTCATATCGATGCTTCCACTTTCCAAAGCAGTCTTGAAAGTCAGTTATTGGAATCGCCTTTAGTGCATTCGTCGCATTGGTTTCAACAGTCTTCTTGTCGTCGAATCGGTGTCCTTTAAGCGGTGTCCTTTAACACAGTGTTGTACAGCTTCGCCAGCCTCCCGACGTAGCTCCCTGCGACTTTTGGCTATTTCCTCGATTGAAAATGCCGCTTAAAGGACATCGATTCGACGACAAGAAGACTGTTGAAACCAATGCGACGAATGCACTAAAGGCGATTCCAATAACTGACTTTCAAGACTGCTTTGGAAAGTGGAAGCATCGATATGAGCGTGTTGTTCAATCAAATGGGGACTACTTCGAAGGATGCCACCAACCGGATGACGAAAAATAAGCCAAGCGCCGAAAAATGGAGGTAGGTCGGATACTTTTGGGACAGACCTCGTATTTCTTTCTTACCTACGGGGCTAACATCCAGAACTTTGGGCAATTTAGGATGTTCGTCAGACGGCAACATTCTTCTGGGCGTTCTGTTACCAAAATCGCTATTCCTCCGCAGCTTGATTGCGAACTGTGAGCCACGATTCTTTTCGTGAGTAAAATCGGAGCATCGTCTTAGTTCCCTGGTGCTGCCTGTCGGCGAGATATTCTCTGAATATCGTCGTGGACTCTCAGGGGAGCGATTCCTTTCAAACTCCTCTCGCATTCTTGGCAACGGTCTGGGGCTACCTTCCGTTGTGCGTTTGCATTCTCCTGTATTCTCCTCATTTACAAATCTAACGCTACATTCCGAATTTCTGCGCGAAGATTTTGTGGATGTGTCGCTGCCTCGTCGACTGGCCATGGAGCTTCTACGACTCGGGCTGGACACGGTTATAATCGGCAGATTAACGGTTGATGGAGTAGGAGTGGGTGGTCTAACATAGACTTCCGGTACTGATGATTTTTGTTCCTGTGATGGTGATTGTACGGTGCATATAGGTATTGTAACATTTTGTATTTCCTTTTGCACTGGTCCTTCTATTTTGCACACCTTAGTGGTAATTGTGGCTAGCGATTCTGAAAACAGATCTCAATAAGGAATATGTATATTTCTGAATGATTTATGATAAAATAATATTTTTGTTGCGCATTACCTTCCGGAGGTGCTTCCTCTGCTTTTTTATTCGCATTTACTGGCTCGCTTTCCTCCGGGCCCTTCATTTTAGCTGGACCAAGTAAAGTAGGTACTAGCGCAGCAGCAACCGAAGTTGCCAGATTGCTATATGGTGCCAACATCGCGAGTTGCATGATACCTGAATCATAAGTAAATTTTTACGATACAATTTTGAAACAAACTCTGTATAAAATATGCACAAATAATAAAGAGGAACACGAGAAGGATAATCTTAATGTTCTTAAATAATGAATAAAAACATAATTATATAAAGAAAAATAACGGTAAGTATTTTAAAGAATAGAAATTACAAAAATTGATGCATAAATAAAAAAATCAGTAACCAACCTTTCTGATGTGCATTGGAATTGTCTCGTGTCAACATACTGCTTGGCATAGTCTGGAGCAAATGATCAATTTTATAAGCCGCGTGTAGGAAAGCGAAATACAAAAGAATGCTCCAGACAAGAAATGCCGCTTGAACCATGTATTTTGCCATGTAGCAATTGTGGGAAGATAAAACAATATCGCTGGCGATAACAAAGAAGAAATGTGCTGTTATAATGAGGCTGAGGCATGATTCCTTCTGTATCTTCTCTGGACCAAATTTTAACTGAAAGTGACCCATATGAAAAATGGTAATGCTTAACTATATATATAACTTATTTAATTTAAACGGTTAATACCTTTGTTAATTGCAAAAAAGCCAACTGTATCAGACAAAAGGCAGATGTAATGCATGGATATCCAATGTCCCATATAATTGAGCCAATGACTTTGGGCAGAATTTCTTTAAGATTATACGCATCTATGAACAAGGAAACAGCTCTTGATGCCCCGAGTAAACATAAGAATATATTAATCGTGGACATAAATGGCCTGGTTGATATAAGAGATCTAAAAGAAAAGCAGTTAAATAAAAACATAAAACTTTCACTGATATATATCAATGCAGGCGTAACAATGTACCTTAAATTTAGAATAGAGAAGAATGTGTAAAACCCTAGTACAAAGAAGAGGCATGCAAAGCTGTATGCATGTAACAGAAACGCCCATCTTATGTCTTGTTGTATCGCATTCCATGATGGTGCAGTGACCAGTGATTTGTTAAAGAGGAACGCAGAATTTGATGAATTTGACACACAATTCTGACCTGTGACTTGAGTTGTTGCGTTTATACCTAATGACAAAAACAAAATTAAATCTATATATATGTATGGATATATATGTATAGATATGTCTATATATATATATATATAAACACACATGACACACACATTATGACAAAACGTCATCCTATAAAGTTTACATAATACAAAACATGACAATATAATTTACATCGTATACTACATTATACTACATAAATTATAATATGTTTCAATTGATATAGCTTCCAATATGCTTCAATTCAACAGAGGAAACATGCTGTTAATATTTAGCGTATTATTATTTTAATATATCGGAACTTGATCGCGTTTTATATACAAAAATGGCACTTGCCGCCATCCTATGTGTATTAAAAGTTAAAGGTATAAAAACTAACCACCAGTCCAATTAGCCAGTTTATCCATAATCCCTTGATATATCCACAGCACATCACTGAATCCTGTAATTAAAAATCAGTCTTATGACAGACAATTAATGTGGCGTTTAATGTAGCACGTTCTGCGAACTTGTGAAATGTGGTAGCAGCAACAGGCTTTACCTATAGAATGACTTGATTCACGCACCCCTTCTCACTGAATACATCCACTGTCTCCCTTCAGTTAGGATTATTGATCTTAGCTGAAGAGGATTGGAGGGGGCACACATGCCCACATAAAGCACCTGGATTGCTGGTCAGTTGTTTATCTTTAGAGTTTAAATGGAGCAGTGTTAAATTTATCGGTCTATGTTATGTTATGATTCACAGGCTTGTTATTTTTATAAAAGGAAACTTCTGTCTTAGTTTCTATCGACATTCTCTAAGAAACGTAAATTCCAAGCGCTGCATGGTGGAATATTGGAACGTAGTGGTTAAAAATAGTTCGATAACGTATTAAATATTGAACTCTCATGAATAGTTCAAGTAAATCGTGCTCTGCAAAGTCATGACTTTAAAAGAATCGATTTCTAATATCAATTCTTTTTATTTAAAATAATTTTTTATAAATATAATTTTATTTAAAATAATTTTTATAAATAAATGTAATTTTTATATTAATTTTATATTTAAAATTTTATATAAATATAATTTTTTAGTTAATTAGTTAATATTCGATATTAATATACTGAATAAAATTAGAATATATAAGATGTAAATAAATTGAATTAAATAATTTTTTTCACGGATAGTAAATACTTACTTATAATTTCCAAATATTCTAAATAATTTTCATTTCTCTTTCATTAATTATCATAAATAACAAAATCCTGCAAATAATTTAAAAAATTAAGTGATAGAGAACTTGAGATTATCCATTATAATATAAAACAATTTAAATATATAAAACATTTTCTCATTTTAGAAAAAATAAATATTTGTTATCTTTAGTCACAAATTAATCCTGCTTATTATAAAACAACAATTTGTATCAACAAGTTTACATAATAATTTAAACATTAACAAAATATTAATTCAAAAAAATATATAATTTGTCAATATATTACTTTATCATTTTAATTAACATTTTTGTATCATAAATCATTATTCTTTTAAAAGAATATTTATTAAATTTGTACTACACATAACGTATTCTTACTCAGGAACAGCATAATACTAAATAGCAGGATAAAAATACAAATTTTTACAAAAAGATAAAATCCCTTAAATAATTTAATCTACATAAATTTGACAAAATATAGTATATACAAGTGTATTATATAATACATAACGTTCTCACAGATGATGACTCTGGAAGTAGTATACAGAAAGGTTCTTCTGCTTTTCCTAATGTAATTGACAAGCTCTAACAGCAATCAATTGCAGAAGAATGAATACAGGACTCAAAACTTCAGAATACTCCAATGTGCTTTGTCCAGAGAGTTTTTTACACAGAAGATACTTAAACACAAAGATTAATAATAATGATATTTGACTCCATAGTGCTCGCAAGATGCCTGCTCTAATCATTCCTTCCATATACATTCTTATAAAAATTATAGCGCAAAAATATGTATTTAAACCATCGGCTATAAAGAGCGGCGAAAATACTTCCCACCATCCTGACGGTCCCAAGAAGCAATTTTCATCTAATTTCAAAGCTAGCAATACAGTGAAGAACATTAAGGCGATTAAATTGATCCATATCTCAAAGATTGTTAAACCTAACCAGTGAACTAGTTCGTTTAAAGAGAAGATCATTGTAAAAAATTATATAATTCTACATCAACTATATAATAATAATAATTCCATTCACTCTATCATACATACTCTATCATTTACTCTATCTACACTTCTCTAATACTTAAACATATTGTTTTATAAAGTTTCAATATCAATTTGTTCCTATTTAGATCTTAACACAGCCACTGGAACTCTCCTAATAACGCGTATATGTATAGAAGAGTTTTGCCTATTGTTTATCTCGTTGTCCACATCATCGTTTAACGCTTCTAGATCATCTGTAATTAATAAGGCATCATTAAACTTTGTTTTAGTTCGATTATGTATACAGAAAAATGTATATACCTATTAAAGTAACAGTAGAGGTTTTAACATCAAGATCTAAAGTGTCATGATGAATTTCTTTCAATCGTAGAGCCAAGCTGACTGCTTTGCACACAGCAGCACCAAGTCCATGGATGACCAGCTCAGAGGCACCTTTATCGAGCAGTTTCTCACATTTGTACAATTGTCCCTTCAAAATATTTACAAACATCTGAGAAAGCGCAACGATATAGTTTCGAAACAAATGCGCGTTTGTTTCAAATCTACAGCGAAGAAGTTGCAACGATTGGAAGGTTATGATTTCATACACGAGGTACCTTGAAAGGGGTCTTGTTGTTCACGTAGACATCTTTGTCACTTGTAGCAAACTTAAAGGCCTGCCGCTTTCGTAGAGCGTGCTCGTTCAACGACAACTTTTTACGGCATTCACTCTTTTGTTCGGAGACGGTCTTATTTAATCCCTGATTGCTATCAACCTCAGCCATTCTGGAGTTTTTTTGTAAATCTGTGTCACGTGGAACTCTCACTCAACGACGCGCACCACCGATTGGTCACGACTGTCCGAAGCACCAATCAAACGTAAGCGATGCTGAAGCATGAGTATAAATGTGTTGGGTGACAACAACGCGACATAACCTGCAAAAAAGACCGGGGTCATCGATTAATAGGCAGTTTAAAATATTTTTTTAGACAGTTCTAATTAAACTCGTCAACATTCAGTCACCTTCAGGAAACACCGCAGGTCAGAGCGCAATGAAGGAACCCGAGGCAGACCCAAAGAACATCATAAAGAGTAGAGAACTGCTCTATAGATTGATGATCAGGTTGTTTATAATCGTCTCTTTTGCACGCTTTCCTCTGAATTCCGCTTCTTCTGTTAATATCCTCGTATAAAGCGCGATTCTTGTCTAAACATACAATGGCAAGTGTAATTTACAATTGTAGCTTTATCAGCAAGATAACAAAAGTGGGACATGTGCAATGAATTATCAAGTTATGTTGAATATTTCAGTCAGCTGTTCTATGATGGTCATCAGACTCTAGCTGTGCAGTTATCCAATATGATACAGGCAGATCCACCATGTCCACCTTCAGATCGACTACTTCATTTGATGTTGATTGGTTCTGTTCACGAACCAGATCGTACCAAGAAGGATAACAGCACTAACTTATCCTCATTTGCATCGAGTTTTGACAACACCTTAGGTCCTGGATTAGACCTGGAATTTGAAACAGAAACTCAGACTCAAGCTCCAGAACCGGCACAATATGAAACAGCATATGTCACGTCTCACAAAGGAAACTGCAGGGCTGGAGCTTTCTCAGCAGATGGTCAGCTGATAGCTACTGGTTCTGTAGATGCCTCGATCAAGATTTTAGATGTTGACAGAATGCTGGCCAAGTCTGCACCAGAAGAGATTGCACCTGGAGATCAAACTGGTGGTCATCCGGTTATAAGAACTTTATACGATCACTTGGAAGAAGTAACATGTTTGGAGTTTCATCCTAGGGAGCCCATACTTGTATCTGGCAGCCGTGACTTTTGTGTGAAGTTGTTTGATTTTAGTAAAGCCAGCGTTAAGAAGGCTTTTAGGACCATCACGGATGCAGATCAAATTCGATGTCTGTCTTTTCATCCAACTGGAGATTTTCTTATAGTCGGGACCAATCATCCAATAGTTAGATTGTATGATGTAAATACTGCACAATGTTTTGTGTGTAGCATACCAAATCATCAGCATACAGCTGGAGTAACGAGCATCAAGTATTCGCCAGATGCAAAGACTTATGCATCGGCAGGAAAAGATGGAAGTATCAAACTTTGGGATGGAGTGTCAAATCGATGTGTGAACACTTTTGCGAAAGCACACGATGGTTATGAAGTTTGTTCAGTGATGTTCACGAGAAATGGCAAGGTAGTAATTTTGGCAGTAACATTGCACAAGATTTATACATGTAAATTGCTGGTGGCAATCTTGTGCTTTATTCCCATTTAATTAATATTGATAATCATATAATTTTGGGTTTCAGTATTTATTATCTTCAGGAAAGGATTCCTTGATAAAGTTATGGGAATTATCTACCAGCAGATGTCTAATAGCATATACGGGTGCTGGAACTACAGGTAAACAACTATAAATGCGTTTAAGACATACTTGGAATACGTTTAGTGTAGTATGCCTTGTTAATATTATGATGATACAATCATGAATATACGACTGACTACATCGTTTTTCACAGGTAAACAGGAACACAAGGCACAGGCGATCTTTAATCATACCGAGGACTACGTGATGTTCCCTGACGAAGCCACTACCTCATTGTGTGCATGGAATTCTCGTAACGCATCAAGAAAACAGTTGCTGTCATTGGGTCATAACGGTCCTGTGAGGATGATCGTGCATTCACCAACCGCGCCTGCATTTTTAACATGCAGCGACGATTTCAGGGCAAGATTCTGGTTCAGAAGAATGCCAACACATTAACACGATTTACTGTTAAAATTAGTTAAAAAAACGCTGCGGAACTTTTTCTAATAACTTCTCTTTTACAGAGTACGTGGAGATAATGACATTTAAGATCGGATATATCAATATATTTACGAGAAAAAAAAAACGAAAAATAGGTATTGCGTATTTATACAACTTTCTATTTTATTTAGATCTTAAGCAACAAATTTCATTTTATTTATGTTAAAATGTATAATATATACAATTCTTAGAAACTCTTAGTAATTTCAACATTTACATTTCATATAATGCGTAAACAAACAAAAATTACATCTTTATTTCAAAGCGCAGCATATAAGTAATTAAAAAATCGTATATGATTATCTGTTATAAATCGAAAGAGAGAAAAACTAAGATAAAACGACATATGAATATATATTACGATATATAGAACGAATTTTGGAGCAGGTAAGTAAATGTAAGTACGCGTGCGCGATGTTAATTACAATACAATTTAACATTACATACAATATACGATTTAACACTTGTGAAAATTATTTTCAAAATTGATGGCGAGGGTCTTTATTCAAATTATCCCGATTTTAAATTCTACACCGGTATTCTACGCTATACTTTTAATCATTCTGAAAGAACATTGGTCGTACATTACAACGTAACAACAAACGGATATGATTTTACGAATTTAAAATATTAAAATAAAAAAAAGATAGAGAGTCATATTCAATATTCGATTTTGTCTTTTATCGTGTGTACACGGTATCGCAAGTTATGTAGAGCATTACTACTGACGTAAACGTGCTTCGTCCTTTTACAATAATAAAAAAAAAAGGAAAAAAATCGACGAGCGTGCAACGCAGAATACCGTCAGCGAGAATCTCAGCATCGGGGGATCGTGTGTGCGTCGCTACGCGAGTAGTTGATCGCGACGGCGCGGGACGGCGCGCCGAACTCCCGCTCTGAGGTTTGACGAGGTGTCACGTGACCCACGCTAACCGCCATCTTTCCTTATCGTATAAACAGTGCGACCGGGCGCAGCGCGAATTCTGGTCGTGGAATTGTGGATTTCCCAGTGTTTTTGAGTGATTCACACGTGAAGAGATGTCTGACGCAAAGACGGAGACCAAGAGCGACAACAACGTCGAGGATGCGTCCAAGGTAAGCGGGCCGGCGGGTACGTCAGAAACACCTTCGTCAAGCCGAGTTTTCATGCCGTGAGCGGCGTGTGCGAGACGGCAGAGTGCTCCCCTCCCCCGCGAGTACCGCGGTCGCGAGGACGCGTTCTTCCGCGCGTACTCCCGGGGCCCCCGGACGACGGTCAGGCCCGCGAGGACGCAGTGGCGCGTCGTTACGACGCGACCGCGCCATGTGGTGCGTCGGACCAACGAGCGCCGCGCGCCTCCAACGGACCGACCGGCCGCCCGCCCTCCCATCCTGCCTGCTTTTCTTCCTTCCATCCGGCAAAATTTTTCGTAGTTGCGCCGTACGTATGTACGCACGTTATCTCCCATCGTCAGCAAAGATGGTGGATATTCTTTTTATCGCGCGAACTCTTGCGACCGGAGAGGATCGCCCGCTCCACCGCTCTAATCTCTCTCTCTCTCTCTCTCTGTCCCTCTCCTCTCTTTCGCTCCTGTTCGTTCGCATGCCGTACAGCTCGGCGCCGCGCAAAAAGGCGGGAAATCGGTCGCAAGTCGCAACGTCGCGCCAGGAACTTGGGCAACGCGATGGCCGTCATCAGCGGGGACGCCGCGTCCACGTCCGCGAGACGCCACCGCCGTTGACGACCGGCCGGGAATCGCGCGCGCGCGCGCGCGCGCTCGCGGTGTAGAGTAGACGTTGGAGACGATACGGATGGGCGCACGGTAAAATGGCGGGAAACTTGAACACGACGTTAGGATCTCGGTGATGGTTCAATGGTCCTCGATAATCTTATCATGTCGTACGTCGTAATTATCATGTCATGTCGCGTGGTGTCGCGCGCCCGTCGCCCGCGCCTTCTCCGCAACTCTCTTTCTCGAACGATCTCAAGACGTCAAGGAGCGCGCGCTGCGTAAGCGTGATACACATATGTGTACATACGTTTCTCGCGAGGAAATATGAATATGTATGTACACACGTACAGTAACACATGCGCAGATGCTGCGCGCGAGCGCATGACTGTACGTGTGCGCGATAGAATGCATTCGTGATACGCGAGAGAGCGAATACATAGGAAGCTTGATTTTGCAGGAACAATCAACGGAGGAGAAACCGACTCCGACGAAAAACAAACGAAGCGGCACCAAGAGACTCTCCACTCTCGAAAGGACCGCTCAAGAGGGCGAGGCAATCTTAAAGGTGCGTCTCCCGACGGCTTGTGTGATTATCTAAAACAGGGGAAAACTTTTCACATCAGATCGAATCGACTTATCATACGTCCCAAAAATCTTCTCCGAGGTCTCGCTGGTCAAGGTCCTCGCCTCTGTCTCCCCTCCCATCCCCTCGCTCTCGGTTATTTCCCTCCGTTTTAGCCTTCTCCGTCGTCAACTTCGCCTGCTGCATACGTGAGCGTTATACGACGTCAGGAGTGGGGGACGTTGATTGGCCGGGGTGGGGACTGCAAGGAGGGAAATAAGCGCCCTCGGCGAGGCACGAGGAACCAATCGTTGCGTAGGCGCCAATTACAAATTGCTATCTATTGATGTTAGGAATGAACAAACATTAGTTTTAATTTTAATTTGAGCTGCGATAAAGATAGAATACTGTATCTTGCGATTTACGACTTAAATAAAACTGTGTTCTTTTCAAGGCAAAACCATTATTGATGTATCTTGAATTTTATTTATGTTTACTGTAGATACACTTGGCCGTTCGTTTTGAAATACTTGTTATTTACAGGGCATGAACAAATCGGCAGTCGGTGAAGTAGAAGGCAGGAGACGCACTCGCAGTTCAGCCAGAGGCCTAACTTCAACAACGCCAGTGCCATCGCCACCTAAAAAAGAAAAGAGGGAAACATCGACGCGGGGTGGTGGTGGTGGTGGTGGTGGTCGCGGACGTGGACGTCCTAAGAGGCAAGAAAAGAACAATGAGAACAACACAGACGATGAAACTTCCAACAACAAAAGCGAAAAACACATGGAAGAGGAGTCTACAAAGATGGAAGTAGTTGAGGAGAAAGAAGAAAAGGAGGAAAGTAAGACGATACAGAACGAAGACAAAAATGCGGAGGGTGCGGACAGTAAAGACAGTAAAGACAGTAAAGATAGTAAAGATGTTGAGAAAGTGACGGATGCCAATTCCAAGGATGAAAAAGTGACGGAGGAGTCGGAGAATGTGGTGGATGAAGCTAAAAGCACCGCTCCCAGTGAAGAAAAGAAGCAGGAGGAAATAAAGGACAGCTCAGATTCGAGTCAAGATGCAACGGACACAGCAGCGGAAGCGCCACCTTTATCATCATCAGAGTCCCAAAATCCCTCCAACACTGTTACTACTGAGGAAAATAAGGAATAACCTCCCTTCGCCTGTTTTACCACTACTTTTATGTAAGTATCTCACGTTTTTCTTTGAAATTATGGAGTCTTTCTTTTAAAATATACAATACGTAAATATAATGTAGTGTTATACTTTAAATTACATGAAATTATGCTTAACGTGTAATAAGTAGTCTGTGAATGATATTAACACGAGATTTATTTTACTATAGGAGGTACCAAGGCGGCGCACATATTGGGGTCACACAAATCCAGTCCCCCCTCGTCTATTTTAACTAATTAACACCTTCTTGTCGATCGTTGTTTCAACCAGCGCAAACTTCCTTGTTAGGATTCTATTTTTATTTTATCATTCTTTATAGATAATGCAACTTTCCGGAAAAACAACAAAAATGTAGAATTTGCTAGTACGAATTAGCGTTAAGAGATTGACTCATTTTCTTTCTCTGCCTATGTTATATACTATATTATTATATATTATATATCATTATATATTATATAATAATATTATTATTATTATTATATATTATATTATTATATATTCGTAGAAAAATATTGTAATCTGGAATATTCTGGAAAATTATAATCTAGGAAGAGATAATTAAATCGTTAATCTAGCGTTAATTCAAATTGTCGATGTAGTTTAATCTTGACTGTTATTATGCATCCATTTAAATAGTTTTTATGTCTTTTGAATCTTCATGTTCTCTTCCACATTATTACTAGTGCTACCTTTGAAACTCAAACTCTGTAAGGCTAATTTAGCCAGAATAATTTTTATTTAGCTTTAATAAACAACGTTTTTTGTGGTGTTTTGTGTAGCATGTATATTATATATTTATAATTTTATTCTGTTTTTATATCGAGTAATATAAAAATCTTGTCTTTGCGCTGGTTAATTACCGATAAGCAACGCAAGGTGTAGAGCATACGTTGTTCATGTACAATGATAATATTATTGTAAAATATATTTAATATGGACTTATATAGAGAGTTGTTTTCAAATCAGAGCTGACATCCGGGTCCTACAGTATAATGCCTACGATTCAGATCTGATGTGGAAGTAGCTAAAGATTAATTCGTACATAGCAAATTACTGTAATACCTTTATCGTATATAAATAGTGACTGAATGAAGTGGAATATATGAGAACTATGATGAAATGATTTCTCTTTTTCATGAATTAAACGGAAATAAAATTTCTGAGAAACGCGCGTTTAGCGTTATCTATGTTTTCCTCCCTCGTATAAGCATCTACTAATAAATTTTAATTGACTTTCTAATTTTTAACTTTTATCGATAGACGGACTAACATTTCAGCAGATCACGTGTTATTTTCTTTTATAATAAATAATCGAAAGAAAGATTGTTGATTTTAGAATTAAAATTTCTCACTGTTATCTCGTTCTCTTGAAATCATGACTTTTTATTGCGAGATCTTTCAGAGCATCCCTGTTTTTATTGGTCCAATATTAAATATGTTAATATTATTGTGTATTTGAACTGTGTAGCAAACTTTTGTACAGATAGATTATACAATTGATGCACTTATATTTAAAGGAAATCGCACACATCCGAGACACCAATAATACGCGAGTCTAATACATATATACAGTATGTAAAGTGTGTGCAATGAAGAAAGGGATTCTCGTAGAAATGCGGGGATCTTGCAATGAAAATTAATTAACAGTATATATTACGCGATGAAACTCGAAGGATTTTATTGGCCTTTAATGCCAAATAGGTCTTTGCCTATATATCAAATATAACAAGCACGAGAGTATAAATATTTCCTTGTAAGTTGCACTTCCGAAGGATTTATCGAAACTGTACGTTACGAAGGGACAGATCTTTATCATTCCATTTTTTTTTTCTTTCGTCAGATCAATGATGTGTCCACCTGAGATTTTCGATTGTAAATAGTGAAGATCAAGTGTAATATACGTGTAAATAGTTTAACATTAAGCTTCGTGTATCACACTGGACCTTTTCTTGATTACCTTGTGAAATCTCAGTTCTTATAGAGTGCCTCTAGCGTTAGCACGTTGTATAATATACGAGCGTAGAATTCCGGCGATTAAAATCAAAACCAAGCCCTGTAATAGCGAGTTTACTACCGCTTTGAAGATGTACCGTAGAGATAATTTTTTTCGTATGTATCTTTATGAGGGAAAATATTGTACGGTTCGATATTAGAATTTCTATAAATATATGCATATATAAGAATATCCAGTTTCGTTGACGATCAATCACTGAATCACGTTTGTCCATACCAAACTTTTTTGTTTTAATATTTTATGATGGGTAATTTAAAAATGTATAGTGTATACCACACCGTTTATATTATATACATCACTAAATGTATCACATATCAGTGATATATGTAATAGGTACATGGATTTTATAAATTTTACCGTTTTTGTTCCAGTGAATATTAATTAGTGTAACAATTGCGCTTTGAAAAAGCCTCAATAATCTAGCTTTCTTTGATCACATAACATTCCGAAGATTGCGTGATATTCTCGAAATTCTCTTAGAAAGTTCAAATAATACTTCAACGTGCTTGCGTTTACATATGTAGCATCATATCGATTTATTCATCACACATCAGTCATAATCATGAAGACATGTTAATTCTTTGTATAATTCAAACATGATTTGTTTAGTAATATTCGGTTATGATAATTTGAATCTAATCCTAAGCCTTCAAAAAATGTTTTTAAGTTTTGATCTATTTAAAATGCGAGCAAAACCAAAAAGATATGTATGTGTGTGTGTATATATATATATATATATGTGTACACACATACATATAAATTATAGGTATGGTGCAACCAAACACATTTACCCAATCTGAAATTGAGAACGCAACAAATAAAATAGATTTGATTGATCTTTCTGCATTATTTATTTGAAAAAGATTTAGCAAAAATTGTATAAAGGTTAATATTAAGTAAAAATTGTATAAATGTTGAAGAACTTTAGTAAACTTAATATTATTAATGAATTACAAGATCTTAACTTACACTATATATATATATATATGTATTGATTCTTAAATATTCTAAATACGTGGATTAAGCCTAGGTACTTTTTATGAAATAATTAAGTTTGTCGTGTGTGTTTTGTGTGTGAAAATGAACGAGGCTTGATACAATAATCCTAATAGGATAAATATCCAATTCACTCCATTGAAGATAATATTCATTTTATTTACGATATTTGTCGATATTTAAGAAATATGAATTATAATTAATAATAACGATATATATATTGTATTTTCTAATGATTCAAAATACCGATAAACATCGCTTTCTAACCAAATATAGAATATTTCTGCAAGGAGAATAAGCAAAATAGGTATGTTATTGTTGTAGTTTTTGATAGCATTATAAATTTTTTTCTTCTTAATGAAAAAACTTATGAATAATATTGTAACTGATCGAAATTTAGCCTTGCATACGTATTCTTTTCTTTTAAATTATATCTATAAAGTTTCAAGTATTTCAGTTTAAATTTCTTAATAGATTAACTATTCATAAGATTACGTTTTTCTTACGTTAATACGTAACATATTAAATGAGTTTGCATATACAGTTTATAAAGACTGCATCTTAAACATTTTCTATTTTATATAATAACATATGGAGTTTTGTACACGATATAGAGGAAACTTTGAAAAGTCATAGCGAACAATCTTGTCGATTTCTAACGAGAATTGCAAGTAGTTAATTTTGCTCCATATAGCTGTTTTATTTCTAAATTTTTTTATATGGTTACTCTAATTACTAATTGTAATTAATCTTAATTATCATTTATTTTTAACTTTTATTACGATGTATTTCGTATCTTATAATTCATCAGTCTTCAAAATCTTAATCTTTACGGGAAACGTTGATATTACAACACTAATATTATTTTATATCATATTAATACTACCATATTATAGACTTTTTAATTATTATTGCAATAGAAATTTAATCTTAATTATCAATTTTCAAAATATATGATATCTAAAGCGAACCTTTTGGAACGGTACATTGTCCGTTAGGGGACGATTCTACGATCGGTGCTGGACTTGGATTTGGAGCAATGCATGGAGCAACATAGGAAGATTGCGGTCCCAAGGTCGGATTCCATTGTTCTTGCATGTGTTGCGATGGTGACGGTACAGCATGATATTGCACCGACTGCGGATACATCATCGGCTGCGAGTATATTATTGGTTGGCCGTTTATTGATGAGTGGCCTGGTGGATAAGCTTCAGTCGTTGAATAAAAATGCTGTGGGTACGACGGAGGTACAGCTCCGTTTTCAGATGCGTCGACGTGCTGAGGTGGTAAGTACGATACGGGTAAGTAGTTGCCGTTTCCCAAATAGTATGAAGGATTCCCCGAATTACTTTCGCCCGTGTAGTGTGATGGAAGTTCATGATACGGGATTATTTGGTTTGATGCGGTATACTGCGGTGCATAACCGTTTGTTGGACCAGCTACCATAGGTGCTATTTGATGCGACATCGGATCCCAATGATGTTGCTGCGATTGCATATGTGATATATGCATATCGTGCCTTTGTGCATTGTACGGATTTACAGAACCACTCGGTATTGTCACGCCATATTGATGACCCGAGTATTGCATGTGCGCTGATCCGCGAGCATTTTGCTGGCGATTTCGTATCTTATTGCCTATAAGAGAAAGTAAAATTAAGAAAAAAAAAATTCTCACAAATTTCAGAGTTCTGAGTAAAACTGAAATGAATAATCAAGCATGTTTTTAGAAAAAAATGTATATACAATGATAAAATATATAATTAATCAAGTTTTTTTTATTTTCTGACTTACCCTTCAATTCCATTTTTATTCGTAAAGATTTTATACATATAAAGGATGTATATGCAATCAATTTAACAAAATAATTATTGTAAATATAAAATAGAAATTATATGTTCATCGAAAATCATAAAGTTTTATCAAAATACATCGAGTGTGATTTAATATATTCACTTATAATCCTTTTAAAAATTAAAATGTAGTCCATTAAAAAAAAAAAATTGTTTTTAGTCGAAATCGCAATGGTCTGTCTAGAAAAGATCCAAGAGAGTGGCGAATTCAAAACAATATACGAAAAGAAAAAATAGAAAAACGACCAAGCAGATTAAATTAATAATTAAATAAAAAAATAATGAAACAAACAAACGCAGATAAATGAAGTTAAAATAATAAAAAAAAAATTCAAATATATAAAAATAAAATCAGAAATATATAAATATATGTAAGCTCAGAAACACTGATTCGAAAGTAACTAATGATAATACGCAATGTATCTTCTACCACAAAGAACAATTGTCATTAAACACAGTAACCTTTAAATAGGTAACCATAACATCCATAACCATAATATAAAAAGTGTTGCCAAGATGCTTAAAGTTTTAAAAGACGCCACCGTTATTTTTATATTCCTCTCTTTCATGAGAGTACAGATAATGTAAATTAATATAACGTACTAGTAAAAAAATATTAAAAAATTAAAATTACATTTTTTGGAGTGCTCTAAGTATCTGTCCAACTTTCTATGAAAGATTTTTAAAACTACTTGCCTATTTGCTCTTGTTAAAGATTAACGGTAAGGTCAAAACATAAATATATTGACAACGATTTGTTTTCAAGTAGAAGATATATCACCTGATATTTATACATGTGTTATTAGTTATAAGTCTCCTTTACTACTTTCTTGTTCTTTGTTCGTGAATCTATCTGATTTTGGATCTTTTCTAGTAAGTTATAATTATATCTTAATTACTAAAATTTTAAGCGTTCATTGTTTCTCATTTGCTTACTTAATTTATATGTTATTAATTACTAATTAATGTAATTATTTTAATATTATTTTTACTATCTCTTGTTCTGAATTTGTCCTTGCTTCTCTTTTTTCTAGATGTAACATTTCAATTTCAAATTTACTTTGCTTTTTGCACACAATTCACGTTCATGTACAAAGCGTTGGGAATCTATCTCATCACTGGTATTTGATGCCTCATTGTACATTAACAATTTTGCATATCATTAATAAGACGATTTACTTCCTCTTGCATATATTGCATATATGGAATATCTATCAAAAAATTGTATAAGAGTTTGTTTCAAATTTATGATAAATCTTTCATATGAATTTTTATTATTCTATAAATTACTCATATGAGCATTTGATGGAGCATCCAGAGATATTGCATGTGTGAATATCTTAGTTTCTTCTTTTTCTTAATCTTTGAACTTTTATTTCGTGTTGTAAGAAACGAATCAAAGTGAGTATTTCTTCAATTTTAATATATTATTTTATATACTGCAAATTTATTTCCTATAATATTAATTTAATTTTTATTACCTTTAACAGTTCCAGTTTGCTTTCCTTTTTGTTGAATGTAATGTGAGTCTTTTCCGCTCGAATTTCTTGGTCCTTGCTTTGCCTGATTTATACTTTGCACACAATTCGTGTTCACATGCGAAGTATTGGGAATCTCAGCACTGATATTTGGTCTATCATTTAACGAACAATTTTGCATGTCGTTAACAAGACGATCTACTTCTTCTTGCATATATTGCATGTATGGGCCACCTATTTAAAAATTGTATACAAGCTTTTGTTTCAAGTTTCATCAATAATTTTTTTAATATAAATTTTGCATGAATATGTTTAATGATGAATTACTGTTCACAGCATTTGACGATGCGCCTAAAGATTGCATGCCTTGATGATTCGATCCATACATTATCGGTCCGTAATACGTTGGATTTACAGTACGGAAAGTGTCCTGTGTGCAAAGAATTATATAATCATAGAATTTAATATATAATAGATGATAAATTATAGTTACAATTATTTTTCTTCTATCTACATACCTCCAGATGCAACAGATGTAAATTATAAAAGACATTCGATGTCAATGAATCTAAAAGAAATGTAAAATACAAATCATGTTTTTTTTATAATATCAATATAGTAAGTATAATATCAATATTAAAATGTTAATACTTACGATCTATTTGACTGGGGTTATGTTCCCCAGTTATCGAAAAATTTCCTGGTACATATGGATAACAGGGATATGCATTACCGTTATTTAAAGGAACGTAAGATATATTTGGGTTGTCATAGATATTTGTTTGTTGTGAGTTATCTACAATTAACATAAAGTAGATTAATACATATTTCCAAATTAAAAAAAAATTAAAACTTGCATATCCAAAATTGCCAGTAAATTAATTTAATTTGTAAAAAATTTATTTGTTGAAATAATTGTGTACATATAATCCGACAGGCTGTTTTAGTGCCAGAAACTGATATTAAATATGTTAGGGTTACATCCCCAAACGTCCTTTCCGAGGAAGATCTTACTCTATAAGATATACTATAATAATAAAATATGTTACATGTAAGTACTATATATTTCCAGTAAAACTTTCCTCTAAGAGGACATAATTCTTTAAATATAATATATATATATATATATATACACACATGTATATATGACATAAAATGTTATTTATTTAGAAATAATTACCATTATAAGATGAATAATAATTTTCATTTAATACTTTTGGTTTGGAAGATTTCTGAAGATTATTGGATTTGTCAATCTTCCTTACAGTATTGTTCACTCTCTTAAATACTGTATGCGATTTTTTATATTCTTCCGTCATTTCCTGCGTTACGCTGTTTGACACTGTGGACTGTGAATTGTCGAATGTAGTTGTTACAGGTAAATTGTTAGCCTCTTCCTATAAACCAAGGAGAAAAATATGTTCGTTTTTATATTTTTTTAAGAATTTCAAATACAATGTTAAAATTTTACAATTTACTTACATTTGTTGCATGAATAGAAGAATCTTCTGTAGAATGATTTTGTAATGCGAAGTTTTGATTTGTTCTACTAAAAATAAAATCATTACACTTTTAAAAAATCCAATTTATTACAAAAATGCAAAATAATACTATCTTTTATACGATTATAGAATGTAGACAATATATCCTGAGATACATACGGAAGTTCATCATGACGTTCGTCAAAGCCATTTTTAGTAACGTTGATATTAACATCAATGTCATTATCATCAACGTTATTTATTGATATATTTTTATTTATATTATTTGATTTTTCATTTGTTATGACTATGGTGTCTTTTCTCTTTCGTGAGAAAGAATTATATGGTTTTTTCCATCGTCGATCTAATTAGTACAAAATAAAGATTTGTTATATGTATGTGTATAAATATAAATGATATAAATATTGTATAAATGATTTAATAATTTAATAAACTAACTTGAATCCACAGTAACTGAATGATTTCTATTAACTGGTACCCAATTTTTTTGTCTATTTTTTCTTATTAAAGGTAATGGCTTTAGAGCATCATATGGAACAAATTTTTTTTCTCCTAGGTCTTTAATAAAAACTAGAACTGGCTCCTTCTCTGTATTCATTTCTTGTATATAACCATGAAGCCAAAGAGGCCCCTGCTTCAATTTTTGTTGCTCAATTTTATTGTTAGTTTCGCTAGTACTACATTCTGGTAAATTAACCCGTACATTCTTATTGTTATTTCTGTCACATTGTTGTAGATCGTTTATGCTAATCTCTATCAGACATTTGCCACCGACTTGTAGTTCATTACTGTTGTACCTGTTCCAGCCTGCAGATTTTACCTCTATACACACAAATAATTTTAATTTTAAATATTTTACTGTTATTCTCTCTCAAAAAAGAAAGTAGAAGTAAAATTTCTATAATATACCTCGTTTCAATTCATGCCATATATCTAATTCTATATTACGATAATAATCGGGAGCCAGTGCTTTTGCAACTTTATAAGGAATAGGTGCTCCTTTCCAATCAGATTGCGCTTCGTCCACGTCACTATGTTCATTTTTTACCTTTTTGTATAAATCTTCAATCAATTGCCTGCAGAAATATATATCTCACTTTTTAGAAACAATCTACATTTTTTAATATAATTTAAAAACTTAATGCTTAAACCGTAATTTATTATAAACGCAATATACTTTGAGGTCTGATTAAATAACTTACTCCCTAATATCAAGATTTCCCTTCTGGAAAAATTTGTCATGTCTAAGTACAGGAGTTCGATTATGTAGCATTCTATCCGCAACAGTTCTTATGTTAGGTATTTGATACATATACCTATATACAACTTCATAAACAATAGCTACCAAAAAAAAGATCATAAAGAATTTATATACGACGCACGGCGTGTATCAATAAGACTTGTTTTCACAATATGTGGTTATCTAAAGACAAAAGTTGCCAAAAGATTTATCAGTGAAATTTATTCATTTTTGGTAACCTTTAATCTTTAAGTAACTCTATATTGTGAAAATGGGGCTAAGAAATATCTACGTACATTGGCAGTATGCAGCTGATTGTACAAAAGCCATCGGGTAAACAGGCTCATATTGTTTTGGCTCTGTATGACAAAGCAATATAACGCCTTTTTTAAAGCCGTTATTAGTAACGTTTTCGCATATCTGCTTCTCTCCAACGAATATGATTATGTCTCTCTTATACAGCAAAGACATGGCATGAATTTCACTCGAACCTCCCCACTCCGTAAAACATTGCATTTCATTCAGATAATAATCAAATGGCGTTGATACAGACTACAGAAAAAGTGAATAGAAAATAATCACCAACATACCGAGCACCTATTGAAATGAGATAATCGCATATAGATACTTACATCAATGAACAAGTGTCTCTTCTTTTTCATAAATTCTATACATTCCTTTCTTACTCTTAAATGATAATGTTGTGTATGGTACACTTGTTCGCTGACTGCCCTAAACAAACAGGTCGGGTCTCTAGGAGTAGGTTTCCTGAAGTAACCCTCTTTTGCCAGCCACTGATCCACTGGTTCTTGTGTACGTTTTGACATCTCTCTAATCGACATTATTATTCAATATACTGCTACAGATATATGCTAACAAAGTGTTGTATTTTTTTTTACAAAATTGTCTTCACATTACCTTTTTATATTTTTTTTACAATATTAGATAATGTAAAAAATATTCTTTTTCTATGATATCCACAGGATATTCCAATTTAAGTGGCTATTTTTTATTTTCTAAAAAGAACAATGATATAAATTATCAAAGAAAACAAATTATAACAAATACAATTTGAATAATTCCAACCAAATCTTTCTACTTATATTTTTAATGATAAATTTTGAATTTATAACAGTTGACTTATTTTTTATTATTAATAATATAACAACAGTATTTTTAAGAACATTGAGTTATATATATACAGACTTGTATAATTTATTATTTTTTTATATTTATATATTAAATTATACTATTTCACTAATATATATATATACATATATATGCATATATCTATACAACCACTATTAAAATAAAAGATAGTAAATCTTTTGCTTTAATAAAAAATAGTAAAAAATCTGTCAAATACAAAAAAAATAAAAGACAGAAAATTGGCATAAATTTATAAACAATGTTTGTGCATAAATAAAGTATGATCACAGATTACAAAAAATTGTATGCTGCAAAACAACAATATACTAAATTTTGTCGAAATCATAAAGGTGGATCTGCTACAGTCTAATAAAACACTGAGCTAACACGGATAAAAACAATTGAAAAAAAAACAAGATTTTTTCCGATAAGATGCGAAAAAATATCTGAGATACGTAAATTCTAGTAAAACATTTATCCTTGTTGCTCATGAAATGTTAAACAAGGACAATTGATATATCATGCACATCATGCATAAAACACACCTGGCGATCTAACGCAAATAAAAATAAAAAAAAAAGATGGAGATGCGAAAAAAATACCTACCACGCGTAAGATACAGATATCTTAACTTATCGGAAGAACCTTACGCGTTATCGCGTTGCGACAAAGGGACGAAGAAGCGGTGTGTTACAGAGAACAATGGAAGACGCGATCGTACATAGATCGAACCATTTACGGATAATCGAACGACGAAACACTTCACGGGAAAATCGACCAGCCAATTCTTTTTCGACTTCCGCTCACGAGATCCAACATTAATCGGATGCGCAATCGGAAGAAAAGATCTAAAGAGGGGAAGATAGGATGCCATCCCGAGGGGCATAGTCGAAAGATATAAAAAGCATAGTTACGACAATCGAAAGAAAGCTCTCGCGAGGAAAATCCGTAGGAGACAAAAGAAGATGCGTTCACCTTATTCTTCTTCACCTACTCCCTCGACAAAAGTAGAACGGTATCGCGACTCTCAAGAAACAACGGCCATTTGATTTTTCAAACACAGCATGCGTGATATACCGCACTCGGTCCTTCTTGATCTTCCCTTTTCACTACTTTTCACTTTACCTCTCCCTTCCCCCTCAACAACGCATTTTGTCATGAGTTCACCAATCCAATTCGCTACCTGTTGCGCACGTGCGTATATCGCGGTCGAGTCGCGGGCGATTACTTGGCGATTGATGTTTCGAATTCCACTTACGGCAAGATTTGATTGCGATGTTCGAAATATCGCGATTAAAGTGAATCGAGCGAAATTATCGTGAATCGATGAAGGGGATACTTACGTTCTAACTCTTTGTTCGTCTCCGTTTCACGTACTTAATGACAAGAAGATATCGTCGAATTTAGGCGCCACATCGATGATTGATGTCGTTGACGGAAACTCCCCGTCGAAATCGACAACTCTGGTCAAAAATCATCAAAATGAGAAACGTGTTCTGATTGATGTGGCTGAAAGTTGCAACACGATTGATCGACATTATTAGAATGCTAACCAATCACAACTTCGAAGTCATAGGCAACCTGAGCTAGTAGATAGGCGCCAAATTTCAATCGATTAACTCCTCTCATTCTAAAGATTGCGATTTAGTTCTACGTAATTCATAAATATTCTATACAGTTTATAAATATTCCAATGCCATTTAATTACGTACATTAATTAGTCCACGTCATTGGATCATTCAAATTCTGTATATTTCTTTTCTTTAAAAAATAATAACACCTAACTATATAGATTTGTTCACATGCTTGCACTTTTTACACTCAACATCTTTGCATTCTCTCTTTTTAATGCCAAATATACAGGGTGGGGCATTTAACAACTTGTAACACTTTAAATGCCCTATTCTGTATATCTCCCATTTTAAGTTGAAGTTTTTGAAGATTTTAAACAACGCGGACAGACCGACCTATTAATTATCTCTATCCATTCCTTTCTAAAAAATCTATCTTATATATATGTAAGAATCTCAATAATTTTTATATGTTTATATAAGTTATAAAAATTAACCCGACATACGAATAATCTATCGTATATAATAAAAATAAAAGACTAGAAAATTATTATGTGTACTATATGTGTTCATATATAAATATTAATCTTTCACGAATATTTATCCTGTTATTAAAAAATGCAATACATATTGTAAGATGATATGAAAATGATTCTCCAATAAAAAATCGATTATTCTTTCAAATCCTTTTGCAATACGTTTTATATAAACAATTAATTTAATTGGCATTTTGATCATTTTGTAAATATTAAGTTAACTGTAATTCATTTAATGATCGGTTTTGCAGATCATCATATATCATTATAAATTGTTATAAAAAAATTATTTATTATTATAATAATTCTAATGATAGTCACACATCCTGCATTTAATATTAAATGCGGTTAGCTTTTAATTTTTAAGATAAAATTTATACATAACAAAAATCAGAAGCAACTAATATAATCATATTTTAGTGCTAAATGCAATTATAAATACACTCAATAGAATTTCTGTTACCTACATATACGGATGAAAAACGCGCGCGCGCGCGCGGAAATATATATATATATATATATATATAAATCCCTTTTAAGCTAATAAAATTTAATTAGGGCCAAAAAGCAGACCATCACTTTTGTACAAATTACTTTTTTTTTATTCTTCATAATAATTTCGTCGAAATGACAATGCGATGTATACGAAATATTAAAAAAGTACAATAGCCCGTTTATACAAAATATGATTTTTACAATACATAAATACAAGATTGACCACTGTGTACTTCCGCAATGTCTGCTGTAACGCATCAAATGCAATATCACCGACAATTTTGCTTGTTATATTGAAAATAATGAATATATTCGCGCGTACAGTTCTTTCGATATAAAAAAACTACATTCTCCGGCGAGGAGATGACGATTCCGTGCAACGTTTCGCGATCTGTCGAATTGGATCATCGTCCCTGTTTTGTAAATAACAGAATTTCTAACTCGCTACATTTACTAATCTTTTTCTTGCCATAAGTCTTTCTCTCTCTAAGTAGCCGTATCCGATTATTTGGACAATGTATTATTTGTCACGCGTTTAGCAACAAAACAAAGAGTAGATGTAACGAGAAGGCAAATTAGAGAAACTTACAAGAGCTGTGTGAAAGTTTGCTCTCATTCTTGTCATTGCCTAATCGTTGTCAAATTGTCTTTTGAGGCGGCTTAGTACCAAGGTAGGACAAGCAACAGCGGTATCGTCATCGGCTACGTGATTCAAACATTACACGTTTTTTATCAAAAGTTTTCTGATCTCGCCAAAAGAAGAACGCCGAAAAATGGCGATAGAATAAGAATATAATCATAGCATTACGACTAATATAGTGCTTCGCATTCGCGCTTTTTTTCCTTGGCAATGTATGAATAATTGTTATAAAATGTCACGGATATAGAAATTGGAAGAAGCGACGAGTCGTGCCGTCCCCGTTCCTTTCCTTCGATTTCGTGTGGCAGCTTTTTAAGCAGCTATCTTTTCGGCATCGATCGCTGAAACAATGTTGCTTTGGTAAACGAAATGTTATTTCGAACAGATACAAGAGCATAAATTGAGGATGTACAGTGTACGAACCTTCTTTGGTGGGCAGAGGATTTTTCTCGAGGGTTTCCGCATGTTTCAATTTCGCTGGATCGAAATTTTCGATACCGGAGATTAATTGTTGCTTCCCTTTTTCTTGCTGGATCGCTGCATAAAAAAATTAACAAAATCTTATTAAAATTTATAATTATTTCATAAAATAATTATATCACTTGTAAAAAAAAATCATTTTATTTACTATATTTCATGATATGACTTTATCAACAATAAAATTTATCAACAATAAAAATAGAACGGAACGAAAACTGCTCATTGTTTAATTAAAAATCAATTTTCAAAATTTAAAAATTACAATTTCGTAAGATAAATTTCTACTCGCTTTTAATTCATCTGTGATTTTAATGGAGTTGAATTATTCTGTGTACATAAATCAATTTAAAAGCCTGACTTATATCATACCATCTTTATCGGGTAACGGGTTCTTTTCCTGCGTCTCGGTGTGCTTCAGACTTGCAGTGTCAAACTTTTCGATGCCGGCGATCAATGTTTGCTGGGTCTTCTCCGCTGCGACGTCTAAAAGCAGATAAATCATATTTAAAAAAAAATGATGGATAATTTTATGCAAGCAGAATCAAAAATAAAATATCTCGTTTAAGTGGCTATAGATTTGCTATATCCAACTAGGAGCGTGACACAAACGGATTAGCGAAGAATAAATTCAAACTATTTGCGCGATCGATAAACAGCCCGATCAATCAATAATCGATACCGTTTGTCGTCCTTCCTCCATAAGGTACGTGCTATTAATATCGTGCGCATTCAGGTGCTCTACGCATTTTTATGAAGCAAAATTACGTATTACATTTGAACTCAAGTTAAAATCATGAAAGTTTCCGTAATGTCTTTTTACTTTAAAGTTAAAATACGATTTATTAATGAATTATATTTTGAATTTATCCTTCTCATATTAGATTAACTTCTTGCTACAATATAATAAAATATCCTAGAATAGTATATCTGATTTTAGTTTTAAGATTCTATGATTAAATTCTATAATTCCATTATTTTACTCCACATTAGATATTTAAATCCTGAAAAGTCTTGTATTTTCAATAATTTATAAGTCGACTTTTCAGTTGAGAAGTTATCGATTTCAGATTGCATCAAAGAATCCATATAACATGAGAGTAGACGAATTTAGGAAGACCTGCATAAACATTGCATAAGAATTATTTATGTTTTAAATCTGTTTTAAATTTTGTTATAAAATAGTATAGCAAGAAATTAACGATAAAAAGCAATGTGATCCCAGAATGCTATCAAAACCACCAGTAAAATTTTCGAAATAAAAATTGTATTATTAAATTATTCTAAGAGAAAGCTTTTGTAGGTGAAAGATTTTCCCGAAGTTTCCCGAGAAGCAAAAGCGACAGTTGACTTTCCGCTGCCACCATGAATAAGCTCAAGGAAGTACTCCTCGCAGGACTGAAGAATGAAATTCCAGAAATCCTTCCTGTCTTTAATGAGCAATACCTTTGGCGTTAGGCAACACAATCTTCTCTTTCGTGTCTGCGTGCTTCAATTGATCTGCCTTAAAAGTTTCCACGCCATGTATCAACTCAGAATGTTGCCGCTCCTGTCGCACGTCTACGTCAGCAATTCACATATTTTTATTGCAGCTATCGCTTTATCAGAATATTGCACTGGTAAGCTTTGCGCTCAAATCACTTCTCTTGGTTTAATATTGTAGTTTGCACGAGTAAACTCAATATTTTCTTTACTTTCTTTACAGCTCGCATTTAATATTAAACGCGTCTTACTTTCATATAAACATAACATTTTAAATACTTTTAAATTAGAATAAAGAAAAAAATATCAAATACACACAACATTAATCATACATATTAATCAAATATATTAGGAGAGTAGTGAAATTAATAGAATGCAAAAATATAAAAATATTAAATTTTAAATAAGTTACAAATATAAATGAGATAATTCGATTCACATGAATTAATTTCTAATAAAGTAACTGAGATATATCCTTGATATTCATGTACCTTCGGCGGAGGGTAAAACGTTCTTCTCGGCAGTAGCGGCTTTCTTCATGCAGCCATGATTGAAACCTTCCAATTCGCTTTTCAGGTCTAGAGCTACTTTGGGCAGGTCTTTCAACGACGGACTCGACATGACTTATATTTCTTGATCTGTAAAGGAGAGATAATTGTATAAGATTAATCATCTTCGCTCAACGATGCATCTTAAAAAATCAAAGTTCATACAATTCTAATTATTCCATTTGCAAGTTTCTAATTTTTCTAATAATATAGCAATTTTATTGATTGATTCAACTAGCTAGACTAACAATATTCAGATATATACAGTATAATATTTTATGTAGATGTGCAATATATGATAATTTTATTAAAGATTTTGAAGAATTTAAAATATCAAATCAAACTGTTAAAAAATGTCAATGTGTAAATAATTAAAATGTATGTTAATCTGAAGTACGTCGTTGATAGAAATTATACGTAATACATATCTCGAATAAGTGATCGTGTTTTCTTTTTCTTTTAAAATATATACATATGTATATAAAACACAAACATAGAAAATAATATAAATTCGTGTTTAATATTTTTTCTTAATTTTTCGTCAATATTTAACAAGCGATATATACATCTCTATATATAATAATGATGTAAAAGGTGTCTGTGCAAGGTGTACGAGCACCTGCTCGTAACGTAATCGATTTAACTTCCTGGAAGATAGCGGAACACGGGCGATATTGCACGTGTTATTAAGTACGAGAACCATTTCCACGTAAAGTGTACAAAGAGCATCGCTTAACAAATATGAGTGTATCAGCGAGAGACGGATCGCGTAGTTTCCAATTGTTAGCGCGAACGTGTGTCGTTTTCTTTGTTAAACCACACCAACAATCCGCGCACTGACAACAGCGGCTGCTACTGAATGCCAACGAAGCTGAAGCCGGGAACGAAGTTATCGACAACGACGTCGGAATTACATATCGCGTCGTCATGATATAATATAAATACAGTAAAAATGCAACAATACTTTATTTATGCTGAACATTATTGGAATTTCGTAGACTCGATACACTTTAAGAGTTTCCTCTTTTTAAATTCAAAAAATTGCGACCAAAGTAAAATACATCATAGATTTTTTAATTTGCTCGTTTCTTCTGTAATAACAATAATAACACTTGATCCCGTTAATTTAAAAATAAGATTTTATAAAATAAAATTATAAGGATCTTACACTCTTATGTTATAATTTGAGAAAAAAGGGAAAAGTTATAGATTTAGAAAATTATTACATAAAAAGTATGTATCTGATTTATCTGCAAACTCTCGCAATTCTCAATCTGTGAATTTATGTATCATGCGACGGAAACAGCGGTCGTTCCTTGTTTCCGGTCTCCGTTTCCTTCTAGCATATTTCCTTGTCACTTCTCCCATAAGCACGGCAACAACTTCGTCAGCGTGAAACTGCATCGATATCAAAGTCACATGATTATTAAAATAAAAAATACTTGTCAGATAATTTGTAAAGATGAGAAATATACAAAAATTAAATTATTTAGGACAGCAAATAGCGCAAAAGCGATCATTACATGACAATGTTTGATACATATAATGTTTTAATGATTAATAAAATCTGACAATTTCTATGTATTTGTATTAACGAATATTCTCGGTCGAATTATCTCAATCTTTTACTTTACTTCATGTTTCACGTACAAAATATTATGCGGCATTTGATTTCATCCGCAGCCATCACTCGTTATTTACGATAATGACGCATACTACTTGACTAAGAGGAACACTGATAAATATTTTACGTTCTTTCTCCATGTCTTTCCTCCAAATAACGCAACCATATTTTCATAATATTACATTACAAAGTTAAATTAAAGCTGCGCATATAAATCGAATAGATATATTATAATTGCAACATGTGGTCATACCAATTATTAAATAAATATTTTAGAAAGGGAACGAACGATTTTCAAAAATATCTCAAAGTTTCAATAAATTGACATTATTTTTCACATTAAATAGCAAATGATACTTTCGGAAGAAAGAAAACGTCCGGCAACTGACTCGGATCAGACGTTACTCTGCTAATAATTGATAGTTATGGCACGAAATCAACGTCGCAACATCGTCTGATTATGTACATACACTTCTGTATCATATGTATGTACACACAACTTATATCGAATCCAACTGGCGACGCATTTACGCGCTAAACTGTCAATGACTCATTCCTCGGATGCCCCCTTTGTCCACCCCCTTTCACCAAATAGGCTTCTCAGCAGCGATTGTGCGCATTCAGGCAGACTTAAAACTTTACATGACTCAACGAGAAAAAATGTAAGAAAAGAACGCAATACTAATTACGCTTACGTGGGCGATCGGTATTGATTTGCGTTTAACTCCTACGTGCTTTTTTTCTAATCGTATTATATGTTCTGCAATTTATGACGAAACCGATTTTTTTTCTTTACATTGCACGCGTAGCATTACATTTCCTGTGTGTGTATCTGGAAATAAATCAAATTAATATTCCAATATATGTAATATAACATTTGTATTCATATTAATTCATATTAATTATATATCGTTCATACAAAAGAAAATCATTAGTATCTACATTAATTAAAATATTGTGTGTGTATTTTTTTTTCTGTCGTATATGATATTATTTGTATGATACAAGCCCGTTGAAAAGCAATGACGATAACATCGAATTGAGAGTAAACTTGCAGATTCAAAAGAGAAGCGGAGAGTAAGAAAAGGTTTGCATTCCACGTGGGTGAAGTCACGGGGACGTCGGATTGCTAACCACATTATCGGTATACGGCACGATTGTGCAATATTATATGAATGACAGTGCAAGGTCATCAATTTTGTGCGACTTTTTTCCACGAAGCTTTTCAAACGACGATTCTAAGGCGAAACGATTTTGTAAAGCGAGTGACTGAAAAGCTATAAAATAATATTGTGCAGTGATAAATTTGTCAAAGATTTGCGGAAACATTTGAATCACTAGCAGCACAGTATTTTCTCAAAGTTATAATGTTTCAAGTTCAGTTATATTATGTTGAGCGTGTAAAAAATACAGACAATGCTGATAAAAAACGAACCGGTCTCTCGGGCCACTCATCTGACTTTTGGCTCCAGGACGATACGTTCCTGAGATCGTGAGAGAGGCTTTCGAGAGATACGTTCAAACGGTGGGTCAGCATCGACAAGGCTGTGTATAGGTCCTTATATGGTAGCCGGTCGTATATGCCTGTATATAGGGAGTGCTCGAAAAAGAGGCCGCATACGCAACAGAGAAGCAGCGGGAACTCACAACACATATCCTTCGCGTATCAGCTAAATTCTTTTCTTTTTTTTTTCTCATTCTTTCTATATGCCTGTGTAGGCGTAAGAAGCATACGTGTGTACATACACAAACACGAGGCTCGTGTGCTTGGCTGCATGTAACGGTAAGAGACGAGGACGAGATCTCGATTGTCCGTAACCACGACGAAGCACGGCCAGATAAAACATAAATTCTCTTCTTATGCGGTGGATTATGTTTCGCGAATCTAACGCTAGACTATAAACAGGACAGAGAGACAAGACTGCAAAAAAACGATTTTCGTTCATTAATATGCGTAAAACGGTAAAAATATATTTGTATGTTCTCTTAAATATCACTTAATCTATTCAGGACATCGATCATGAATAGTGTTGCTACGAGATGAATCATTTTTAAATAATAAAAATCGATATAACTCGATGTAAAATGCGATTTATTATTTCTTATAAAATAGCTCACCTTTTTCTATACGTTATTAATTAAGTTTTATTGCGAGAATCGCTTAAGCTCGTCGCATTTAAGATCGGTAAGAAAATGAACGCTTTAAGATAACAAGAAGCGCTGTAACGCAACGACCGTTAGTTCCATTTAATTGAACATCCGTAGATCCTAGGTGAGCCGTAGCGAACAGCCAGACGGGATAAGCTTTTTATTGGTTATTATGCAAACTGCAAACGGTGGTATTTAATGAGGCGAGTCGACGCGAGACGACGGCGACGATGCTCGCACAGTGGAACTCAGATAAATCTTGGCTTGATCTTCTCGAGTGTAGTACTCGCGAGGTGAAAAGCGAGCCTCTGCGCGAGAAGTTAACGAGGAAACTAGGTTGCCAATGCAGCCGAGATGCGCCAGCAGCTAGAAACCGACGACGGTACAGTCATCGAAATAGATTAGGCATCCAGACTTATATTTCATACGAGTGTCGTACGAATGCCTGAGGCACGATTTCCAGTATTTTATCTTGAAACGAGGGAAGTATGGCTCTAGGTCGTGCATCCCCTCATTAATACGCATGGCCTGTAAATATTTTCCAAATGTTAAAAACAATGGCGTTTGCTAAATTGATCTAGTCTTGCCTTAGAAACTTAACAATTTAATTGAATTGCTGATACAGATTCATTGAAACATTTTCGAATCATCGAGAAACAACAAGTCTCTTCATTCATGTTAGAGCTTATCTCATAACGAATTTAAGGATCAGAAATATTTCTGCATCATAGACTCTGGAGTAGGCAACGGTATAGAAAATAGCTAAGTCAAACGAGTCTAATGTCTAATTTTATCAATACAGATTTATCAATACAAGGTTTTTAACTTACTCTTTATCTTTTTTTCTAATTCTTAGAGCTGGAAAGAGATAAAAAAAAAATAAACCGAGATTAAAGTTAGTAGAAATGGACGTAAGAGAGAGTCATACTGCGCGATCGGGTCTAAATCCATCGAGGCTCTGTCAGAAACGACCGCTAGTCGAAGGAGTTTTTTCGCGACGACGCATTGTCGTAAGCTCGGTCCGCGGAACGAGGTCCTACGGTCGCTGGCTAACGAGTTCGCGCTGGCTGCCAATTAACTTGGGCAATCGTATTTAATGGTAGTAGACTCTCTGCTACCGGCTCTCGTCTCTTTCGCGCCACGCGTCCACACGTGCAACGACGTGCAAGCGGGTCTGTGTGTATCGATCGGCGGTGTAGGCTCCAGAGAACGGCAAACACCTACGCACGTATGATACCCACGTGAAAACCACCGACTACATTCGTATTTGTAACTAGAGAAAAACGTTTTACCGAGCGACGGTGACCGTCGAGCAACCGCGATTCTCTTTCTCTCTCCCTTTTCTCTTTCTCTTTCCAACTCTCTTCCGTGCGACCGTGACGGCTAACGAACCCTGGACGCGCGTATCGTATCGAGCGGTGGCGCGTACATACCAGGGACGTATATAGACACGAGACCGTATTATTGTATGTACAAGTATCGTTCGAATAATAGACGTTCAGATATTGAGTCTCTTCTGCATGATTAGGCCGATTCCTGATGAACAACTGAAAGGAAAGTTCGTTCCTCTGGGTCTCCCAAGCTGAAACACTTGTCAGGACATATTGGCTACGATCGGCAAAATAAACATTCTGCTGGACAGTGCCATCGAAATGGTTGAAAAATTGTCAGAATGGTCAATTACGCATGTAGCGCTTACTTGATATTTGATATTCTTTAGCTCAATGGAATTTCCACGAGGACATTTTTTTCACTCAAACTGTGAGTGTGAAGTTGCGAGAAGTTAAAGAAGACACAACTGAAACATTAACTTCTTTTAAAAACTAATCTTTTTTATTATATTACATTTTATTAAATTTAAACAAAAAAGGAAAGAGTTGAGTATTATAAATAAAAATTGTAATTTATTTTTCCCTTGTAATCGATATTGAAATTTAAAAAACACAAACTAAATACATGATATACGTATTGTTATCCCTGAAAGGATATACTTAATGTTCATTAATTGAGTTAGCCAATCAAATTATCGTCCTGAATCTTCTCGCCAACAGTCACATAGTGCATACAGGACAAACACACATCGAGGCATCCCTGGTGCAGCAAACATCAATTAGCGCAAACTTAGCTCAAGTCGTCCTCCTATCATGTGGTATCATGCGCGGTTATGGCAACGTACGTGAAATCACGATTTAGAAAGAAGCATTGAGCTCGTTAACTCGCGCCACAACTTCCTCGGCGTTGCTCATTGTCGGCATGTATGCACTTGGAGTCAATTAAAACCTGGATCAGTTGTTTGCTAATGTATACCCGGAAGTTTATATTCCACGAAGATAATAAAATCTCCAAGTTTTTCAATGTGAAAAAGCGTATCATATATGAGTCTCAAGCGTGAAACAGGCTTTTTGTAAATTTCTTGTTTTTTCAAAAAAATAAAAAAAATTTCTCTATTTTTTTTTATCAAAACACCCGATTAGTTTACAACTTCATTAATATTCTCCACTTCATTAAAATACCCGCTTAATTTACAACCTCATCAATAAATATTCTCTGTCTTCTTTCAAGCAATCGCGATCAGTATAGCTGCTATTATCGTGACATGTGCTATTCGATACATTCCCAGAAGCGCCGTTTAATCAGATCTGATTCGATGATCGCCGGAAGGCGAGTCTTCCGCTTTCCGATAGCGCTACGCGGCGTGCTAATATTGACACACACACACGTAGACTTATATTCGCGACGCATGAATGAGTGTAGGGCGCAAACGCATGCACACACACACACACACACAGCGTGGATGCGTTTGTACGTGGATGCAACAACGGGGGAGGCAGATCCGAGGTTGCGCCAGGGGAGCGGCCGGCTCATAGCGGTGCCAGCGGTGGAGGAGGCGGTGGCGGCGGCTGCCGCGGCAGACGGTTTCATCGATTGGCATTGCCGGCATCGTCCGGAGGAGAGTGTGAGCGGGGTCCGTGAACTCCGTACTGACGGCGCATCCCGGTTTTCATGGTCATGGGTAAGAGGGCGGTTGCCCTCAACGGAGGGCCGAGAATCACGTCCTTCGCCTCGCGCGACTCGTAATGATGATCGCCGTAACAATGTGTCATTTATATCGCGTCACTCGAACGAAACGTTTTAGAGCGTTCCAGTTGGAAACATGCGGTTCAATACGAATTTGAATTTCAAAATCGAGCCGGAATAATGTTATGCCTATAATACACTTTCTATCCATTTAATTATAAACACATGAAACGAACTGAAGAAGAAATAAGACCACTCATGCTATCCGTTATACAAATGCTACAAAGGAAAATGAAGGTATTGTCCGTCTGATGTATGGCGAGATGTAAGAGAAGATTCTGATACATGCGTTCGCCTAGTAACGCCACTGCTCGTGAGACAGAAATGGTCTCGCGATCTGGGAGACGCTAATCGCGAGCGAGCTGAGCCGGGTAAACGCAATTCATGACGGAGTTGCGCTTATTCAGAAGCCCCCTCGTTCGCCTTGAAACGAGCGCACGCTCGGGACATGATAAAATGCAAATGCAACGCCCAATGACGATTCTCCCTTAGGAAAACGCAAAACACGTGGAAATTGCCACGATCGAGCTTAATGCTATAAATAATAAATTAATTATACATAATTTCGAGCCGAGTTTTCTTGGATTTAAGAAACGTATGCGATATTAAACGTGAGAATTATAACAATCCCATGGTATAAGTTTCTTGGCGCTAAGTAAACTTTATCAAACATTGCATCTAATATCTATACTAATTAATTAATTTAACATTTCATGTAATATCTACGAATTTTAAATTAAAAATAATTAATGTTCAACATTATATCTTCAGAAAATGTTCTATGGTGATGAAGAATCAGCGCTAAATGTGCGACATGCTGAGGGGAAAATGAGTACTGAACTGACGACGACGAGGAAAACGCATATGCGTGTTCCGCGTGCGTTGTATGCATCTGTCAAAACCACGCCCTTATCCCCATCTTGCTGCCCCGCGCTATTCGCCTATGTATAGAGAAACAGTAAGAAAGTTCCCCGACAGACTTTCCACGATCGAAGCGATCTGTCTCGTTTCGAAAAAGCGATTAAATTTAATTGTAGCAGCTCTCACATCTAACACTTATAATTATTACAGACGTTAAAAGTTGAATTATATTTTGGAAGAAGTTTCTCAGAACAAATAGAAATGTACGGCAAAAGGCAAAATATGATTAGTGAAAGAACAGTAAAAATAAAGAAGAATCATGGACAAATATATGAAACAGAACAGTCGATGAATCTTAATAAGCTTGCTACACGTCTAATTTTGCATTTGATACTTGAAACACACATTCGGGAAGTACAGTATCTTCAAATTTTATCTTGATCACTCTTTCGGAACATTTTAAATTGTGCGCTTCAATTGAAAACACTATAAATTTGCGCGATACAATTCACTCGTTAATTCAGACTCATTAATTTGCGTCTGTTAATCTTATCGATCCTCATGCATATACATTATTACAATGAAATATAATACGGTATATACGAGGTATCACCAGTAACACGTACATAAAAGAAATCCCTGTCGGTGTGCGATAAAAGGTCTAATTCACCCACGTTTTAATAATAGATATTTTACGCTTGCACTGTAATTTTAGGAAAATACACGATAATGGGCATCGTTTATGGTAACGATATACTCGTATAGTAGTTTTTTTTTTTTTTTTTTACGATGGAACGTTGATTATTAAAACGGTAAATGACTCATTCCCGTTTCGTTTGACTCTCCGTCATATTCCACGAAGAACATCATTAATTTGCGATACCACCGCTCAATTATGGAGACAAATGAATAAGAAAACGTTGTTTTTTTTTCTGCAAGAAAGAGACTCTTTCGACCACACCCCAGGTCCATTTTCGATCGCGACGAAAGACCGATCGATATCTTGATGCAAGCCCGGTCGGTGAAGACAACGTATAATTTCGAGATAATTTATTATATGTTATAGTCAAGGGAAATCCATTCTGTTATCAACAATATTCCTATTATAACGTATAGGCATGAAAATTATTTACCTATAAAGCGATAATCAAATTTAAATTTACCACGCGCTACCAGCAGAATGGAGCTCACGCCGAAACGTCGCGTTTCAATTATTGTATGTATGAAAAAATATAAACGGTTCGACGTTGCTTGTTTATATCAAAGCGTGAATTCGATGATAATTATAACGAACTCTATAAGCGTTATACGAAGGCCCCCACTGTTACTGAGATAAGTTAACTCGCGTAGAAGTTATCGAACGAAAATCGTAACGCCGGGAAATCGTGATAACGTTTCGATTTATGAAGCGATTCCGTTGACTCACAAGATCGAAACTATTTTTAAATCACTATTATCCTTGGAGAAAAATCACTCATCAGCTTCGCCAATTACAGGAACGCGAAATCTCTCAGCTGAGATATTTCACAAGTGAAGAACCGATTGCAAAACGTTTCGCCGCTTTACGAAGGATAGCACCGAAAGCACCACTGTACACAGGGTGTCACGGTTCCTCGATTCGCAGATTCTCACGCCAGTCTGAGATGTCAATTCTTTCTCACTTCTGCAACTTAATATGCGAAAGAGAGGACGGCAGGCGATGAAAGGAAGAAGGGAAAAATGCTCGCTCTCGCTCACCGTGAATTTTTTGGGAAAGTGAATTTTTTTTTGGAGAGAGCGAGTAACTTCATTAAAGAATATCGCGTATGGGAATCCGGGAGAAGTTCGAAATGTCTTCAGAGGATGTTCCCTAAATATTTACAATTTCAGCCGGTTGATTTTGCTCGCCTTTAATCCGCCATTGGACGCACATCGCTGTGGGGAAACTACGGTAACTCTGTAACTCCGCGACGAAGGGTGCACTGACCTGTCAGTTGACGCGTGCAGTTTCTAGGGCGCAGGCAGGCGCGGACACTGTCGAACAGCAGACGTTGTTCAAGGGCAGGAACGAGACGGTACACTGACTGACCGGTTGGTGCTTCTGCGACACGTAACACCAGGTAACAGCGTCAAACAGCGCCCGTCGCTCATCCCCCTCTACCCGCAGCCTCCCCTCTTAGGATGACAGGCCCCTCTCGCCAGGATCGGCGCAGAAAAGGATTTGATGAAGTGCCAGCAGAGTGCCTTTCAATGCCATTAATACGTCCTAGAATAGTTGGATAGTTTATAAACAAATAATTCAATGTAATAATAATAGCATTATACAAAAAAAGAAAATTTTCGGTTTTCTTTATTATATTTTATTTTAGATCTGTCTCACCTTAGATCTGTTATGTAGAATGGATTCTTTGTAGGTAAACTTTATTATATACATTAGTCGTTAAAAAATGTATTTTAAATGAAACATATATATATATATATATATATATTTGAAGTTTAACAAAAGTGAAACTTTTAGTACAGTCCAGTACAGCGATAAAAACAAAAGCATAAATAAAAATTGAAATAAGATAAACGATAGTTTTTTTACTTCGTAAACCTAATTTGCAATTAATTCTTCAATTTATACACGACATAAGAAACTGTTCATATCATATTAATACGTACTACAGAAATATGTATATTTCAAATATCTGGTTTGTTTCTTTCACAACACATGTGCTCAGCATATATAGCATCTGGGTCTTGCGAGTGCACATATCGTTCCTGGGCTGGGACCCCACCGCTCTCGGATGGGGACCAATCGTCGCTTAGCTCCTACCTCCTCAATCGCTTCAATTAATCGCGTTCCCCTTTTCTACGTCTTTCTTCCGATCGTCTCCTTGACCGTCATGCGGAGGGATAACTGACTCACCCTCGGCGACGACCGGGAATTCACGTACGACGCACAGCCGGCGCCACGAATTTGACATTGAACGACGACGCGGCTTTTTTTTTCGGCGACGATCTTTTTATATCCCTCTCCCTCCCGTTCTTGAGCTGGACAACTCGGTTTGCGATGCCTATCTATTCCCAACGTGTTAGGGGGTGGAAGGAGACGAAAATACTGGGGTTGACACACGTCAGTGAGTCATCAGTCTCATGTGTAGGCACATCTGTATGTCATATGTTCGTTCGTGAAGTTGCGTGGGAACTCGAAATAATCAGAAACAATAAAAACAGATACAACTTTGCTTCTTTTTTTTCAAATTTGCCCATTTGTTAATAACGAGTATGCGATAATCTTCGTAATTTGGAGTAGATCAAAAGAAATTGTATCAGGATCGTTTTTTGTGAATTAAACTCTTCGAAATGATAATAGCTGATTGCAATATTCTTTTTTTAATTCCTTCTATGTACTAAACAAATATACTAATACACAATTCCGGAATATTTGATTCAGTAGACATATTTGAAATAAATAACTAGGAACGGTTTAATCAACCGGAAATAATTGGGAATAATTTGGATATGAAATATCAATTTGCATCGACATGAACTTTTATTGACAGTTGAGACACCTCTTATCACTAAATTTAATACACATCACGTACTTTCTTATTGTAATGTAATCATTAGGAATATATACAAAAAGCCATTATAAGGAAACTCGTATCATATACGGTGATACAATAAAAAAATTTGTATTCTCAGAGGTATGAATAAACAATACTTATCTAAACACGCGAATTGTATAAGTCGGATGATGTGTATCGCTAAACCTAATCTGATATCTAAGTAATAAAAAAAATGAAAGGCAGAAAACCATGGCTAATTATGATTTAGAAATTAAATCAAAAATTACCTGAAATCAACAATAATATTGGGATCTTTTAAAAGAAACTCCTATTGTATCTTTAAAATGTTCGAATTACATTGACATAGGTTTAAAACCTCATTATTAAGATTAATGAATTGAAAAAGATACGAGATATACTGATCTTTCTAATGCGACTCAATATAAAAAATGATCAAGAGAAAAACATAAAAGAAAAAAAAAGAAAGGACTAATAGTAGTTGCTGATTTTTTTTATCTCTGCTTAGTCGGCTTTCTGTTTGCTGCTTTCCGGCGATTTGTCACCATTCATAGGCGAACGAGAGCGACTACGGCTCTTGCTGTGTTTACTTCCTGATCGGGAACGGGATCTGTCACCTCTGGAACGTTCGCGGCTCGACCTATCCCTGAAAGGAGGACCGTTCAAGGAGTTCACTATTTGTGCTACATCGTTCGAGAAATTTTATTTTCTTGCGCCAATTATGTATCGATTAAAGAAAAGGCCAGCGAGAGGACTCACTTTGAGGGAGACTTGGCTTTGGATTTGGACTGCGACCTGGACTTTGACCTCTCAGCCTTGGACCTAGAACGAGATCTGGATTTGGACTTTGACTTAGATTTCGACTTTGAGCGGTCTCTTGATCTGCAAAATTATAGTTCAAAATGAAAGGGATACGAAAGTAGAGAAAGTTGACAAAATACAAAGAAACTCGCTTTCTTTTTTTTTTCTGTTTTCGTTTTCCAAGCGCGCGCGCGCGCGCGCGTGCGCACGGTGAATAGGTGAACGCGTATAAAGCGTGATTAAGCGTGAGAGCTCAAGGCACGTAGCCAGCCCAAAAACAATGCCAATAATAAATGGGAATGAGTGTACACTGACTGTGACTAACTGCGCAAGAAAAAAATAAAATAAGTGAAATAAATAAATAAATAAATATATAGTTATAAATAAACAGATAGATAAAACAAAGATACTTACTTGGATTTTGAGCGTGAACGACTACGCTCGGGGGATTTGGATTTAGACTTGGACTTGGACTTCGAGTGTGCTCTTGACTTGGAACGGGTGCTACGACGGCTGTGGCTACGAGAACTGCGACGGCTTCTATATTACAGAAAACAATATAAAGCGTACCTAATGTTTTAAAATGAATTCCGATATTATCGCAAACCGTTTCATTATGCGATAATTCTTGCAAATATTTTTGCGAAAAATAAAATTTTGATCTCATAATCAAATAAAGGAACGAACTTAAATCAGAAATAAATTTGTAAGTTTATAAAAAATTAAACTGTGACAATTTACTTTGTTTAACTCAAAAACATAAAGAAAAAAACGTAATAGGGGGAAAATTAATTTTTAAAAATGATAATAAATTTGGACAAAATTAATAGATCGGTTTGTATAAGTAGATTACAAGATGGTAACTATAAATAAAGACAAAACCACATGAAAGAAATCATAACAGGTGACGTAATGTCGCCCCGACAGTACCTTGATCGGGATCGAGAACGACGATTATACCTTGAACGGGAGCGCGACCGACGACGTGATCGAGATCGAGATCGGGACCGCGATCGCGAGCTAGAGGATCTTGAACGACGTCCACGTCTCTTATCTTCTATGAGCCTGATCCTGCGGCCATTCAATTCTGTGTCGTCTAATTTATCGATAGCATTCTTCAAGTCGGAATATGTCGCGAATTCGACAACTCTGCAAAATTATAAATCATTTGGATCGTTAGATCAACATAACACGAGAACAATGCAGATTTTCTATGAATAATCTTGTTGCAATCTTTCCTACTGTTTCTTTTTGTTATTAAAATAGAATATATTAATTTTACTTGTCCCCATAACGAAGTCACTTACCCTTCGTTTCTACGTTGCTTATGAGCATCAGCATATGTCACTTCTCCAGCTTGTCTCATGTAATCCTTCAAATCCTGAACATCACACAAGAACCAAAATTAACATGTTTTTCTATGCTGACATGCATAAGTATGCGAATAGATTTAGAATTAGTAATTGGAGTCTACTATACTGTGTTCCTAGTCTGATGTATCGCGCAGGTTAAAATATATCCTGTGCACTCATACGTTATATGCTATTTCGATTTCTTTCCTTGACAGAGGTAACCTGGGTCTACTCGACTAGAGAAAGAGACAAGCATAGCATGGTGTCTACATTTGCTCGCGTCTTCAGTGTTGAGGGTAAAATTATAAATTATGTGTTCGAATTTAGTATACTACTTATTGACACAACCTTTCTTTTTATGCAACTCAATCTTCTAAATAATTGTGATTATGATTTAATTTATACATATACATAACTCCGCCCTGCATAATGATATTTTTTTTTATGTAATAAAATTCATAACAAATCAATACTTGTATGAATTGATACTGACTTTTTAAGAGTATATTTTCATTTCTGCAGGACAGCTCACAATATAATTACAAAAGTAATAAATGTAATACTTTTTAAATATGTTTGTAACGTGTCATAAAAAAATCAGTATAACTGTAACCAATATATTTAATGTACTGTTATGAGTAATATATAATTCTTTAGAAAGAATTACATACATATAGCAAAAAATCGCTATAAAGCGTCAATAAAAAGTTTGAATATACATAATATACATAATTAAGCAAAAGTTAAGCAAAAGTTTCAAAGGCTATGTGAATACATTTTGTATTGCAATAAAATAAGAAAAAAAAAAAGTTTGGACATAAGGAAATAAGGATGAAAATTTTATTATTTTTTTGGCTAAAAATATTTAAAAATATGGCTCATCGATAATTCTTCTCCCGTAATGCTTTCGTGGATTTTTTTTTAATGTTGCAAGATTACTCTGTATGATTATGAGCTGATGTCTTCCACATTATCCTTTCTTCTCTTTCTTTTTTGTTGTCTCTTCCACACATCATCTAGTGCAATGCTTCACAGTCATTCCTCGTAAAGAATAGCGAGTGGAGGTAGATATTGTCGTGGTCCATTTGCGTTCGTCGCTGGGAGATTTGCTTATATATACATATATATATACTTTTCTCTCTCTCTCTCTCTCTCTCTCTCTGTCTCTGTGTGTGGGAACCAGGTACGGCTTTAGTGTTGTGAAGATACTAGGTAGTCAATAGGTGTAGCTATGTGTCCCTCGTTTTACATGGCGAGTACGAGATAGCGCAGACATCTCCGTATCTGTGGGATACCACATGGCGGCGGCCTGAGATTTGTGCTGATGTGTGTTGATGCTCTCAAAGTCCAAGCGCAAATGTTTCCATGTAATAAAAGAAAAAAAAAGGAAAAATAGAATGTTTACGCATGCTATTGATACATTTCCAACGCTGAGCAAATTTCCTCTGAAATATCATTCCTCGCTTGCTACATTTAAAATATAATGTAATGATGCAAAATTGTTTTGCATAAAGAAAAGTTGGTCATTCAGAAAATTTTTATGAAACACGATTGAAAAACATTCATTATAAATAAAGAAAACCCGGACGTTATAATATTTAAACACAAGATTGATTTAGTAAGTAACAAGATTTCTATTTCACAAGTAGATTTCCCTAATTTCGAGCACGTAAATATATCACTAATGGTTCCCTATCTGCGGTTTCGCATTTAGTTGCACGTGCACAGCTCCGAACTTCGTAAAACTTCAATAGTTCGATGTACGCTGAGCTATAGTGCACAGTAATATTAAATAATGAGGTGTATAGATAGGTATATTATAATTACATATATATATAGTATACATATGTGAACAAAACCACGTTCAAGAGTGTGTAATTATAATAGATATATATGTGTATATCTAAGAGTACACTCGGTTAAGGTGACGCATTTACCTTGGGCCCAGGCACCACCTTGCTTACGGACAGAGAGAAAGGCCAGACACACGGCGCTCGGTCGGGTCGAACGGATCTGTGTGGCGTAGTCGCGGATGGTTCGGATTTCGGCCTGTGTATGCCCTCATGGGTGTGGCCGTTGCCTGACTTACTAGATGGCTAGGTTGCATGGCGTACCAGTAGCAATGACAGTCACAGTGAAGTGGTAGATGTGATGGTGGTTGTAATGATGGTCGATGGTGAAGGTACTGAATTATGACCATGTCGGTTTATAGTAATAGGAAGAGTGGTGATACATATTGATGGTGGAGGTTGTTTACGTAAATAAATGTTTGTTTCCCAGACGGATAAAGTAGATTGCGGCGGTTGGATCTCTCTTTCTTTTTTTTTCCCCCAGTGATCACGATGAAGAGGATTGAAGTATGCACAATAGCCCTATCACTGGGATTTCACCGGGATTCACCACGTATTACTGCGCGCGAGTAGTAGTATGATGGTAGATAGGTGGTGGTAGGTGTACATCCCAGTGCCACGCGGCTCTCTCTGTCACCCGGGACACCTCAGAAACCAACCTGGTGCCACTTGACCTCAAGGCGGGCCCATCGCGTGCATCGTCATCTCTATCATCGCACATCAGTCTATTGGCCCTACCGGTCGCCCCTCCTCGGCGAAGAGGATATGACTCTTCGGAAAGAACATCAATTTTATTTTGTTTTTTCTCAAACTGTTGGCCGAACGTAAATGAAATAATAAATTGAAAAAGTAACGTCGAACAATCAAGACTCAATCGAGAGAATATTTTTTGGTAAATAACCAATCATCGGAAAAGTGCAACGATAGTTATAGAAAAAATATATATCTACTTTCATAGATTATGTATGTAATATACAAATATACACAATGTAAATTGATCAAGTAAGACTTGGTTTACGTGCAGTCTTCATTTCAATTTGTCATACAACTTTTTGTATAACTTTTTATGGCCTTTTGGTTTTAAAAGCATCCATTTGCGTCCTGGTATTCCCACATATCGTTTGCATTTATCTGTATCGCTCTGTCTCGGTCTATCGTCTCCATCCGTTGCTTCGTTTCTTCCGCTTTAGAGCTCTTCGTGTCCACGGCGTCCGCTGAATATCTTTGTCCAATAGTATCTGGCTGCATTCATCACGGGCCATGTTGTGACTTCGAGTTCCTCGTGCAAACCTGCCCTTGTATCAAATATGGTAATCCCTAATGCATTTCTTGCATCTCGCGTACGTATCTGATATTTCTGTCGTCCATATGGATTTTTATTCTCTTCGTTTCTCTAATTTTTCTTTTTTTTTTTTTTCATGGAAAATGTCTTTTGCACATGTGTTTATACAAATTTGATTTCAATTTTTGCCATAGACTTACTTGATCAAAATCTTACATCTTTTTAAATTCCAAAATAGGGCTTTCTATTCAGAGCAAATAAACGTAAAATGAGACGGAAGACAATTGAAGAACAAAAGAAATGCTATGTATCGACACGCGTGGAATTTTGGTAGAAACAGACTGTGAAAAAACTCGATAAAACTTAGAGATCCGGAGAGATATATGTAAATTTGAAAAACCCATATAAAGCAGTGCAATGTTTTCTCTGGAAACGCGAATAGTAATCAAACCAACGAAGGTAATTAGCGATAAAAATATAAGAAAAAGGAAAACAAGGTATGTGTCACTTACCTGCCAGCTGACACGACTTGATAAATTTTCCACAGTCAAGCGATATTCGGTGCGTGTCGGTGGGCCGTATCTACAATGGGAAAAACCAGCTATTATCTAAATGTATGTTTTTAAAGCAAGCAGGTTTGTCTTGGACCTGACTTTATGTTAATGTAGCGAATGAAAATATGATATAAAACGTAATAATGATATAATTCAAGATATTTACAACAATAAGTTTGTGTAAGTTAAGGTGTAATCGTTAGAGCGTAACATTGGATGTATGTACCTGGGCAATGATTGCTTGTAGCTAGATGCAGTCCTCGTGTTTCTGTTCACACTATCTCTGCAAAAAGGGATGTCATGTGAACAGAAATAACGGATCGTCGGTTAAACCTTCAGCAAATAACTACAGATCTGCACTCATTGCTCAGGCACACAATCAATCACCTGTTCCAATCGAATCAAATCTATTCAAAATGCAGCAATAGCGTACCTGTCGTGCCGCATATCGTCTCGGCTGTAACAAACATAATACCACACATCTATTAGTCGCCAATTATATTGATTCATTTCGTTCAACTACCAGCAATAAACATAATGTCTGGGAGGGTATCGCTAGGCGTTATATTGCTATCACTTTTTTAATCGCGGCAAAACTTTCGACAATTCGACATACTCAGGAGAGCAGTCAAATCCAAGACAACCAATTCAGAAGATGAAAAACTTCGAATTTTAATTAAACGTACTTTCGTATGCGCAAAGGCAAGAGAAATTTGCAAACGCGTGGTTTATCACTCGTCTTTACGCCCTTTCTATACTAGAGCTTATCAATATCCAAGGTTACGTTCTTCCCTGTGCGGACGATGTGCGAAATCGATTACGCGATATAAAAAAAACTCGACAGATAAAAATATAAGAAAAAAAAAAGTAATAACAAATGGGAGGGAAAAAAAAAGAAACAAAAAATCCATATATAAGAGAAAAGTATCTGAATAAATGGGAAGTAAATTGATATATAAATCGCTTGGATTTCGCACATCCCGAGCCGACTGCCTGCAGGGGAAAAGGGGATAATGATCGCTCTGATAAAATAAAAAAAAGGATAGCGTGTCTTACGCAGATCGCCTCGAGTCCCCATAACCACCACGGGAGTCACCATAGCGCCACTGGTCACTACCCCTAGGTGTCCCCCGGGCCCTCTCTACAGTAATTCTGTAACAAGACACATTGGATATGCTTACTTGTCTCTCCAGGAGCGTGAGCGTCCGTAGCCACGGTCGCCTCGCCTCCCTGAAACACCCCGTGCTATCTCCACCGCCACTCTGAAACACACCCAACAAAACCCCGCCTAAGTCCACGACTAATTCTTACTCTCTAAGCTGCGTCAAGTTCATCCTTCCTTCCTTCCTTCTTTTTTTCCTTTTCTTTCCATTCCTCAGTCTCCTTTCTCCGCGAAATCTGATCAAATATCCGTCTCTCTCTTTCTCAGTATCTCTATCGTCCGGTTTCATCTGAGGCGCTGTCCCCTCTCTCTTTTTCTTTCCCCCTATCTTTCTCTCTCTCTCTCTCGCTCTCACTCTCTCTTTCATGACTCATTCTCGTTTCTTATATAGTCTAAAAACTGCTTTCTTTATACGATGCTACTTATTGAATTAATTTTCTTATACCACATCCATCAGCTTTTTCATAACTATATCCGTGATCCTTATATAATATACAAAATTTTCTATTTTTTTTTCCTTAAAGTATGATGTTGGTGCATTATACAGGATCACACGATGAATTTATGAAAAAGCGTATGTGCCAAATTTTTCGGCAAAAAAGAAGCAATATAACATTTCTGTAGACGAAGATATATTATTGCAAAGACTTTTTTTTTACTCGGGGAATTGATGGAAGTAGTTCAAAATGGCGGTAAGTCATTTAAGACGCATTTTATCTCGCTAATGTCCAATCGTTAATTTGGAGGACAGACGCCGTTTACTATAGATGCAAAATTAAAGGTATTAACGGAACATCCGTTAAATGCGAACAGATACAATTGTGCACTGTACATTTGTCTTTAATTAAATAGAAGCAACAGCGAATAATATTACTGGTACAGGTTGAAATGCAATGCGATTAGAGCGTTAAGAATATTGCCACCGCATTCGACCACACTTTATCAGCTATTACAATGTTTATTATGTATTGAAAACTACTATTATTACATGTAAAAGCTACTAATATTATTGACACTTACATAAATTCCCAAAAGAAAGAAAGAATAAGCATATAGAAAAGAATTTTTTCCAGAGAATGTTACTTTACATATGCTGAAGAGATTTCATTTTCTCATTCGAATGCTATTGCTTCTCACATATCAATCTAATCTCAAGTGATATGTAATAAGATCAAGTTGATAACAAACTGTTTACTTGAGATAACAAGATTCTATTTCTTGTCAGACAAGAAGAAAATATTAAGTTGAATTATATAAGTAATAAATAACTCGCAAGTAAAACAATATTTATTATTTTTGTGTGAATGCTTAAAGAGAGATCCTAAAAGATTAAATTCCCTAAATAACTTAAGACTACGTTTACACGTTACACTTTTAATCAGATTTAATAACATTTATAGTTATAAAATTAGCCAATCATAGCTATTTCTGCTATGAAGAATGAAATAACTGTGACTGGCCAGTTTCTAACTATGAATGTTATTAAACCCGATTAAGAGTGATCGTGTAAACCTAATCTTAGACACTAATCATAAGTAAATTTGAGCCATTTAAGATCAAGTAATTTTAAATTACATTATTTAATATTTAATCAATTAGCAAAAAAAACTATTTATCATGTAAATCAGAAGATATTTACAATTGGATATAATAAATATATCGCATCATCACTACTACTCTAAAGATAAATTATTACAAATTAGTTATATTGCAATGTGTACTATCTTTTTTTTAATATTAATTATAATTTTTAATTATTTAATTATATTTTTAATTATAATTATAATAAAAAATAATTTTTATCAATTTTAATCAAAGATAATCATGTAAGTTAAATTATTATAATTTATTTATATACACATGAAATTACAAGATGTATTCTTAAGATTGCTATCGTTAACAAGATAGATGTATTATTTGATATTTACATAAATTATAAAGATTTGTAGGAAGGAACTACATATCTGTGTTACGTGATATTAGTTAATTTCGCTAATCCCAAATTTAACTCATCCTTAGTGTGTTAGCGTAATGAATTAAAATTTGCTTAGTGTTTAAACAGTGAGCCCCTAGTACCAATAATATTATAATTATGATAAAGTTCAAACATTAACGTAATCACAATAACAATCCACATACTAAATGGATTGTTATAGAAACTATTTAGTCATGCAAACATGCTACCTATACCATTCCGCCTAATATCGCCTAGTACATGTATGTTTCATACACTATATAAAGTAGAATAGCATTACCTTTCGCCTAAAAGTTCTTTTCCGTTTAATTCGTACACAGCGTCGTCAGCATCTCTATAGTCGTCGAATTCCTAAAAAAAAAAAAGAGAATTTTTTCGTTATTATTTAAAAATAACACACATTTTTTTTATTTTACTCAACGTCGCTTGCATGTGATAATATTGCTTGTTTCACATATTTCTGATGTATTTATATGCAATCTATGTATTAATTATAAAAGCTTTTATAAATAATGCAAAGTTATTTATAACATTGTATTATTCACGAATTGTAATATACATAATGAATATAAAAATCAATCATCTGTTACAGATAATGTGACAGAATGTTTAAATATCCATAATGTTAATAGCTAAGACTTTAATTTATTCATAATTATCTAAAATTTTTATATATGTACAATTTTTTCAATTTCTTCCTGCAAAAGTTTTAGAATAGGATATATCATTTTTTACTTAATAAATATAAATCATACATTATTAAATAATATTATTAATAAATATAAAACTATATAGAGTGCATAGTCTGGATTATTGCAAGTGCTTACAAAATTTCAAATTATTGATATAAATAACTATCTGGTAGTATACATAAGCCCATTGTAGATGCGGTTTAGTTTCCCTGATTATACATAACTTACAAAGCTTTTGCAGAATAATCGGTGATAAGCAGCACACAGCTCCACTAAACTGCCACAGTACCAGTGTGCTCAGGGCTCAGGTCAGGTCAACTCAGGTTATCGAGTTGTATATTTGTAATGTAACACTCTGCAGCTTACCCACTTTGGTCCAAATAATAATTAAAAAAACGAATAACCATATTCTTTGGAAACAAATTTTGTCATCTTTTTATTCAGAAGTATTGTTATATCAATAATTCAAAATATCAAACATAGTTTTCTTTTCAAAATAAGGGAAAGCGATCGAGAGAGATACAATGGCAATCTTCAACACAAAGTGTATGCAACATGATTCAGTAAATTCATAAAGAAACATTTCTGAATACTTATGCATTTTTATAAAACAATTGTAAAACTAAGAAATATCACAATTTGTTAATTCCAAAAACATCAATTTCGAAAAGATGAATTTTTTTGCAGTAATTGTAGGCAAATGAACGAATGAATATTACAGGACCAAATTGAGCGATGTAAAGTGTTATTCATGATATTTACAGCTGGGTACAAATACTTACAACAAAGCCATAACCATTCTTGATGAGGACATCACGGAACCGACCGTAGCCTCTGAAAAATCTCTCAAGGTCTCTTTCCCTGGTGCCGTATGGAAGCCCACCGACATAGACTCTTGTCCCTACCATACTGTAAAAAAAACAATTGAACCACATTAGACTTACCACAAAGGCAAATCCATTCTTCATAGCGACCTCCTTGATTCTACCATATTTCCGGAAGAACTTCTCAAGGTCGCGCTCTCTCACCCGGTACGTTAATCCACCAACGAATACTCGAGTGCTCATTCTTAAAGGAAAATATAAAAACACCTTACATAACAGGCTACCTGTAGAACCTGCCGTTTAATCACATGACAACATAAGATAATCGTTATTTTCCAAAATTCTAACCGAGAGACGGTCAAAAATAAAGTTTAATTGTTTGTAAATAAAACATAACGGTGTTTCTATAATTATTCTTTCAAGGAATATAATAACCCAAATTGAATTTAATATCCGATTGATTTTATCGAATCAATTTTCACTATTCGAATATATACATATATTGTATGCTACTGCCTCATCAACGCATATGTAACAAGTGTTATTAAGTATTCTCAACGTTTTTTTTTAATGCAACAAGGTGCTAGCACGCTTCACCGATATAAAAGTACGGAAATTTCCCGGAAGATACGCATCGCACGGTAATCACCGTTTCACGCTGTGAAACGATCGAGAGGACGCATAAAATTACTTTCCGTTTGCGCAAGACTCGAGGGGGGAAAAAAAGGCAGAAATAATATTCTCGTTGCGTCAGCCCGGCGTGCACGCGCCATAGGACGCCGCGTCGAAAGTTCTAGAAATTTACGCCGATCTCGAAACACCACCGCTGTTCACGCTCGTATCCAGGGCTCGTTGAATCGGTACGATCGATATGGAAGGCGCCATCGGTTTATTGCGCCGCGAGTGATACTCCGAATTCAGTAATAATGGCCGCGGAGTGATTCGCATTTTAACGTGGACGCGCATAAACAAAGATTCGCGTTCGTGTGCCTTCTTTTTGTCGCGAAACGCGCGTCGCCGCGTTGAAGCGAATCGCGCCTCGTATTTCATCGAGCGGGAATGAAATCTGGTAGAAGAGAGCGTACTCCACGCGGGGGTAGCTCGTCCCGGATCACATCACGTTACACAGAGTAACGACAATCCGTTTTACAGCTCGCACAGTTTTTTTTCCCCCCGAGAGACCAGAGCTATGGAAATTATCGGATGAAACGGACATCTGACCACTCGTACTCACCTGAATGTTCAATTTGTAGCGACTTGCGATAAAAGTACCCTCCTTCGATACAAAATCTATGAGATTGAGGATGCTACTGAACGGAACTGTGCTCCGCACGTAGGGAGGTAGCAACAACGGAAACAAAACGGGGTTCGCACCACGGCGCGCAGGGCCGCCGTGAGGCGTAGCCTCGACGCCAGACGCTCGGCAGCAACGCCACCTTCTCCCACCCAATAACTGGAAGGCTTCCAATGGCTTGGATGGAAAAATTTCGTCCGGCCTTGAACAAAGCTCTCCTCGCCGAAACGACGATGCAGCGTGTATAGCGGAAATACGTGCAGGTATACGTTCTGTAAAACAATTTGAGAAAAGATACAAAGTTCCGTTGAACGAGACAATCCCCCCCCCCCACCCCCATCCCCGGAACTCCGTGAGTCGTTAGCTTTTACGCGGAATTCGGTTGCGTGGTCGATCGTCATAATTCGACTCGATAAAATCAGAGAATTTTTGCGGACGCTTTGCGAGTCTGTGAAAATAACTCAACAATGTTTGTCGGCGAAATAGGTTACTTTTGTAGTTGATGGAAGCACTTCCGGTGCAGGTTCGAGGCTAGGACGCGCGCGACGCGCATGAACGGAAGTGTTCTATTCGCGTAGTAGCACGATTCGAACTTCTAAATTCTTTGGAATCGTGAAGTTCCATGGAAAATGCGAAAAAAACGACGTTTTTCCTAAAATATTTTTTGGTATTTTACCTAAATTGTAAACCGCACTAAAAACAAATGTTGAGGCGATATGTATTTTAATTATCGATATTCGAGCTAGCCTCAAGTCGTTTATAAAACAATTTCTTAAATGCAATTTCTATAATTTATTCGTCACATATATTTTTTGTACGAATTAAAAAATTTTTACAAGAGTATATAGATCAAAATAATATTTTTGCAAACATTACGTTGTCGAGTTATACGTCTGTCCGCGTTGCATGAAATTCCAAAAACACTTAAAAAGAGATAAATATCTTTGAGCGTTAAAGAAAGAGAAAGCGAAAAAACACCAATAAATTTGTAGTTGAACAAAAATACGTTTAAGGATTGAAAAATAACACGCGCGATAATTTAATTGTATCTACAAATTCGATTCCAATAAAGAAAACTCGACAAAAAAGTTTATGTCGATATATCGAAATTGCGTCGGAATCTCTTTTTCAAAAACTCGCCAACGTTTTCCTGTCTTTATGATATAATTGAATTTTCTAAAATCGCGCGTTTTTTAAGGCAACACGAGTATCTTGGATCGCGCGTTTGCGTGGGATAAACGTTCGTTGCGGCATATACTAGAAAGCGGATCGAGATTTGGACCATAATTCGAAATTGTATGTATACAACATGCACAGGTAGATACCGAAAGGAGTATCCAGAAACGAGATCCGCCAAGAGCTGCACGAACGGGCGCGGCCAGCGCCACCTACTGAAAACAAAAATGGTAGCGAGCAATATGCCCTATCCCTGCCCCGCTTTAATGGCACGCCAAATGTCTGCGTTCTCTAGGCTTCCTTCTACCATGCATTCCCCTCCGACCGATGTATCTGATTCCGCTGTGAATAGAGGAAATCGCATTCCGGTAGTAGACTTTGTTACGCGTGCGAAATAAGCGGGGCCGACTTATAACCAAAACATAAGGTGAAAGTAAAACGCCGTTGGCGTGATATTTAGCCGAATTATAACCGCACTAGCTCCCGATACGACGTGTCACTCGCCTTATATAATGAAATTAGCCGCGCACGATCCCGCATGCCAGTTCCACGCCCGTAATATGCGTCATCCGCTGCCAGAAACACAAGAATCCCCGGAGTACGATAACGGTAGCTCATCTGATAAGCGTTCTCCGTGGTTTGCTATCGGGAACATGCATATTTTCCTTTTTCCGTCCCGGTAGATTTATGTCGATGTCCCGTGTATCCTCGTGTAACAAACTCGGTTTCGTTATTTTCATTACAGCCTGTAAGGCTTCGTTGTTTTTTTTCATTGGGCTTCCACTATTTTTGGGAGGAAGAAACTTGCGTTAGGTTGCTATAACTTGTATGTTTATTACTGTATATACTCAGTATCTCTTTTAGTAAAACGAATACCTTACAATATATCTAGTACTATACAATATAAAAGTATCTTTTTTACTTTGCCAGCATTATTGATAGATTTATCTTTGCATGTTACCAAAAAAAAGACTTGTATAGATGGTAGTTTATAAGTATCAATAAAATTGTTTTATTTTCTAATTGTGTATTGTTACAGATTGTCAGACTTCTCATAGACGGGTAATGTCTGATAGAATAAACACGATGAAGCTGGAAGCTGAGATTGCTGCGCCTTTGCATCTGCAGAGACTGGAACGCAGCTTGAATGTACAGCCTTTCTTAAAGCAGATTGATGATCTTTTTCAAGAAAAACCTAGGTACTGATATATTTATTAATTGTATAAATATATTCTTGCTGTTTTATAGTTTGTAATACATTAACAATATATCATAAATTAATACTGTGTATATAGTAAAATGAACATTTGATTTCAATTTTTTAGTGAAGATGACAAATCTGTCTCATCGGAATCTTCTGATGGTTCAGATGCTTATCTTGATAATATACCCACTCGAAAAGAAGGTTGATACATATTGTGATATTAACTTTATTAAACTATTTAATTAATGTTTTCTTAATATAAATTATTTTTTTAGAAGCAAGAATCAATAAGTTAAGGCTGTATAATATGTCCAATGTAGGAGAAGAAAGACATTGGTTGCAAGATATTCTTTTAAGTGATTCCTCTGATAGTTCTGCATCAGGTTCTGATACAGATAGCCAAATCACAGAAGAAGATTTTCAAGAGATGTTGAAGTTTCACATATTACGAAAAAAATATCAAGGTCGTTTTTATCAGAAACCAGAAGTAAGGATCATATGATAGTTAAACTTTGTATGTTTAGTAATGCAAACAATTTAGGATGTCATAAAATATATATTTATGTATTGTAAAATTACATCCATAAGCTATACATGTTTTTCTTATTTTTTCAAGAAATGTTGCCGTTTTTTTTCAATACACATAACTATTTCTAACTTTATATTTTAATTTTGAGTGCTACAATTGTATTTTTGTATCCTGAGATTCTTACCAATATATAATTTGATATTATGATAATTTCATAATGATATTATTTTTTTACTGTTAATCTTTAATTTGCGTGCAATTTTCAATTATTTGTATTTACTTTTATATTTTATTTTATATATTTTACCATGTTTTTGTTAACATGGGTACAACTTTGTTACAAGTTAAATTGTTTATATGATATCCTTATTATATTTTAATTTACAATATAGAATTAAGAATTTGAAACTAATCTGGTTTATTAGCTTATTTTTATTTTTCTTATTTATAAAGTATTGTTATTTTCAGAATATACAATATCAATATTATAGTGCTGGTCTATTATCCAATTACGATAGATTTTTAGAGCATCAAAAGTTAATTGTGGGAAATAAAAAGAAGAAAGAGAAAAAACCAGATAAAAAAATTATGAAAATTAAGAAAGAAAAAATTAATCGTCACTGTACATCTGAAGAATTCCATGTATGTACCAAATTTTATATTATATTATATTGATACGCTTACATTCTATATTTCCTTTTTATAAAATATTATGTGTTCTATTTTTAGAAAAGAGAATATCCAGAGGGAGAATGGGATAAATCAATTCCTAGAGGAGAAGAGTTAGACGAATCTGAATTAGAAGCTATCATGCGTCATCAACCTCGAGGTAGGGGTAGAAAAAAACATAATACTAAGAGTGTTGAAGTGATGACGATGAGAAGGAGAAAAATATGGGTGATGATGTCTAAAAAGGAACTAGGAAAAGTACAAAGGGCGAAAACCAATAATCATAAGGAAATGCTAATAAGTTGTAAGAAAGTAGCGCAGCATTGTATGAAATATTGGAGGCAAAAAGCCATGCAAGTGAGTATAAATTAATACTTAGGTTAGTACTTATGATTTAAAATTATTAATCATGCATATGTATATCTATCTTTTTCTATGATTTAGTCACAGAAAAATATGAAAGAAACTATCTGGCGGGCAAAGCGTTTGACAAGAGAAATGCAGTCTTATTGGAAACGTTACGACCGAGTCGAACGGGAAACTAGAAGAAGATTAGAGAAAGAAGCTGAAGAACAACGTAAAATGGATGTAGAACTTATTGAAGTAAGAAAATATTAGATTATATATAAAATACGTTTTCTATTTCTCTATTTTTTCAAATGTTTTTATATTGCTCTTGTTTCAGGCAAAACGTCAGCAAAGAAAATTAAATTTCCTTATTACTCAGACAGAATTGTATGCTCATTTTATGTCGCGAAAAATAGATAAAGCATCAGCAGAGGAACAATTAAGAATCTTGAATCAATTAGATGAAGAAAAGAATCCCAGGCTTATTGGCATTGATGATTATGATAGGTATTTGAATTAAGGATATATTATTTTTATTTGCATAAATCCTTAAGATAATAACTTTAACAGTTGTTAAATGTAATTAAAAAATTTAATCTTAATCTTTTTGGATTTTATATTTACAATAAAAACATATGTTTGCTAAATGTGCAGTGAAATCATGAAACAAAAAGCAAAGAAAAATGCTACTGAAGCGTTTAACAACGAAAAGGCAAGGACCAAACAATTTGATACAGCTGCTGCATCTCAAGAGTTACGTTTGAGTGATACACCTGAGAATTTGGAGCATCCACAACCTTCAATTTTCAAGGGAAATTTGAAAGGTTATCAATTAAAAGGAATGAATTGGTTGGCAAATTTGTATGACCAGGTTTGTAACTATGTATATTTATGTACATGTGTAACTATGTATGTATATACTAGTTTATTAAGATTATATAATATCTTTATTACATAAATATAATTTTTTTTGTTAATTATTTCAGGGTATTAGTGGAATACTGGCTGATGAAATGGGTCTGGGAAAAACTGTACAATCCATAGCATTTTTATGTCACGTTGCCGAAAGATATTGTAAGCATTTATCATATACAGATTAAATTTAATTATTATCTTGTTGCATATGTATTGTGTTGAACTTTTGCGAGAAATAATTTGACAAAATAAATGTATAATTGGCAATTAATTTTAGCTGTCTGGGGACCATTTTTAATTATATCACCTGCTTCAACGTTACATAACTGGCAGCAAGAAATGGCAAGATTTGTGCCAGTATTTAAAGTAGTTCCATACTGGGGTAATCCTCAAGAACGCAAAATACTCAGACAATTTTGGGATACTAAGGATTTACACACAAAGGAAGCTTCTTTCCATGTTGTAATAACAAGTTATCAATTAGTAATTACGGATTATAAATATTTTAATAGAATAAAATGGCAGTATATGATCTTGGATGAAGCACAAGCTATAAAAAGCACAAGCAGGTATGTTATTTTGTTTTTTTTTTCGTTATTTTATAACAATTGCATAATAGTAATCTCTTTCTAATTAATGTATTTTAATTATTTTAACAGCATGAGATGGAAATTGTTACTGGGATTTAGTTGTCGTAATAGATTATTGCTCAGTGGTACGCCTATACAAAATAGTATGGCAGAACTATGGGCGTTATTACATTTTATTATGCCTACATTATTCGATTCGCACGATGAATTTAACGAATGGTTTTCCAAAGATATTGAAAGTCATGCAGAAAATAAAACAGGAATAGACGAAAGTGAGTAATTTTCGACAAATCATGTTAAACGCAAAGTGATTATTAATTACAAAATATATGTGTTATCAATTTTATGCTGTAGAACACTTATCGAGACTTCATATGATCTTAAAACCTTTTATGTTACGAAGAATAAAAAAAGATGTGGAAAATGAATTATCCGATAAGATTGAAGTAATGGTATATTGTCCACTGACAACTCGTCAAAAGTTACTTTATTCAGGTATTTTGATTTTATTGTATCATAATCAGTAGATATTTATAATATTTGATACATCTATTTTATTTGTAGCATTGAAGAAAAAAATTCGAATAGAGGATTTATTGCATTATACAGTGGGCGGAGGGGACACTGCATCCAACGATAAAAATTTTACTTCCAATCTAATGAATCTAGTCATGCAATTCCGAAAGGTACTATGATATGTATTTCTATTAAAATGTATAGTACTATTTATATTCTATATATAATAATAAATTAATCATAGCTATTATAATTATTCTAATTTTATCTTAAAAGTAATCTAGTTATTATAATCGAATGTATTAATTACAGGTCTGCAATCATCCTGAACTCTTTGAACGTAGGGACGCTAAATCACCGTTTTTTATGAACACTGAATTTTATAATATGCCTGCTTTATTTCATAACGAAGGACTTTTGCATCTAGCATTTCCATCCAAAGATCATCTATTATATAACAGGTTGTTTATATTTGCCGCAGAATATATTCACCGTTCTCTTTACTACAATGAAGATTCGTGCGAAAATACATTTTCATTTAGTAGATTTATTAATCTATCTCCAATGGAAATAAACAAAACATTTATTGGTGGTACTTTATTTAGGTACGTAAATATCAAGTTAGAAATATAATTGATAAGTTGTTTTATTTTAATTTCAATTTTTTATAATTAATTTTAATCTCGTATGTATAGATTATGTCTGATAACGTTTATGGAAAGAAGACTAAGAATGGTGCAATACTGGGAAAATTGGCACGTCGGTAACAGATCGAGAACATTTACAAATCAAATGTTTTACTTGCCCAAAAAATTTGACGTTTTATCAACAACATTGCAAGACATATTCTTTACCAGCAAGATAATCGAAGGAGAAGCTTTCTATACACATACCAATCATACGATACATTCAATGCCGGAAACTGTTGCCCACAGAATACTACGTAGTAGTAAAAAAGCTAATCAGCTATTAAAAGTAATAATATTTTATTTTACATAATATATATGTATATATACACGTAGATTCAAAGTTTACAAAGTATAATATATACGTGTAATACAATATATCTTAATATTTAGTTACAAAGGATATTACCTACTGGTAAAATAGATCAAACGGAAGATTCAAAATTGGCTTTGCTTCCTGAACATCCTCATCATCCACGACAGCCTATAATGCGATATTGCCAACAAACAACGATTCCTGCATTTGTTTGCGATAACAATCCTAAGGTTGGTACAACTTTGTTTAACGTTACAGATATAGAAACAGGGAATGATGTACTTAATGGGGGATGATTAATTTTCTTTAATTGTAGGTTCAAGCTAGTCCACGAAAATTATATGTCAGTAATAGTTCTGCAGCATGTGCCTGGAAGAGGCACGAGGAATGTGGTGGTCCGTTCGGTCAAAGATTACTTTGGCTTGGTTGTGAACGAGCATTTTCTGAAGAAAAATTGGGTATTCGTGCTAGCCAAACAATATCTACGTTTTGTTATCAGCCGCAGGGTGGATTATCTGCATGTGCTCCTATTAATGGATGGTCACATATTATTGTACCAGGTATATTCAAGACATACTTTTGAGGCTTTGCAATTACTTTCTATCATAGAACTTATAGTACTAGAATAGGAATGCAAACGTCAAACTGTGAGCAACATCTAAAGGATAGAAATATCTTTCTATCCTGCTTAGTGAAATACAGATATGCAAAAAGAAGAAAAAACACTGAGCAGAACAGAAATATATAGAAATACATGAGAAATACTTCTTCTGTCTCTCAGATGTTGCTCACACCTTCCACTCGCTGCTTGAATAGATTATTCCTATTCCAATACTATAAGTTCTATGCTTTCTATACGGTAGCTATGCTTTTCGCTGTTTATTTCTAAGGCGAGAAACACACACTTTTGCATAACGCATAAAGCATGTGCATAAGGAATTTCATTAGTCCATTTTCTTATGCATGAGTCAATGGACCAATCAAATTCTTTATGTATATGGTTTATGCGTTATGCAAAAGTCTGTGCTCCCCGCTTAACTGTAACCAGATCAATTATTAGTTTGCCTTCTTCGGCTAATAATGGATCTGGATACGGAGATAATCAGTGAAACACATAGCGCTTCTGTATATTCAATTTTAATATTATATTATTATATAAATCAAATATATATTAACATAGTATAGTAAGATTATTTACAATTCTATTGATTTAAAGATGTTAAATATAAATTAAATTATTTTAGATAAACAAACGTTAGTGACAGACGCTGGCAAACTTTCTGTATTGGACAGTCTGTTACGACGTTTGAAAGAACAAGGTCATAGAGTACTGATCTATTCTCAAATGACAAAAATGATCGACTTGCTAGAGGTGTGTTTCATTTATTTATTGCATTCGTTATATAACTGCTTTATTATGGGAAATTGATTTCTTGTAGGAGTATATGTATCATAGAAAACATACGTTTATGAGATTAGATGGTTCGTCAAAAATCTCAGATCGTCGAGACATGGTGGCAGATTTCCAAAAGAGGTAATTATTCCATTTTATTATAATAATTTTACATATGTATATTTATTATTATAATGTTACCAAAGAATTTCCAAAAGAGGTAATTATTCCATTTTATTATAATAATTTTACATATGTATATTTATTATTATAATGTTACCAAAGAATTTGATAATATACTTGAATTTTCCGATTTTAATTGTTTAAAATTTTTTAATTTAAATTGATGTCAGCATCAGTTGTGTATTAATAAAAAATACGTTTAACAGTTGCGCTGTGCTATAATAATTAGATTATGTCTGCCTATAAATATAACAGCATACAGTTGTATATTTAAAGCGCGATCCTCAGATCGCATGTCCTGTATGGTTCAGCCGCGCATAACTAAAACGCGAATTAATTGCCGAATCGTCTCCATCTTGCAGACAGCTGCACGTTCAAATGCGCGACAGCTACAAAACAGAAGCTTCTATTAGATTATTATTAGGCAGCGTGTACTGATTATTATAATTTCATTTCCTAAGTATTATTTGAATCTTTGAATAATTATATTTTTATGTTACTATTGAACAACGAACAAAATGTTAGAATATCTCTTTTTTTGTCTAGTTTATATTGATTCCTTAATTAATAACAATACTTATTTATGTACATCAAATTTTAATTCTACTACGCTTGAAAATAAATCAAAATAGAAGAGTAAAATAAAAAGAATGAAAGAATATACGATTAAAATTTCGTGTGCCAAGGAGAATTTTATCTTTCAAAGACACGCCGAGATCTTAAATTAATTTACATACAAAATGGCTGATTCGGTCTTCATTTCTCGGCTTGGTTTAATCTATGGGATTGTTTCGTGTTTCAGAGCGGACATATTCGTCTTTCTACTCAGTACTAGGGCTGGTGGCTTGGGTATCAACCTTACTGCAGCAGACACGGTTAGTAATTCTCCTTGCTTTAAAATTTAAATATTTACTTACTTGTTACTTCGACTTTTTCAGTTTCTATTCTCTTTGATTATGAACATCATGCGTGTTGTATGCGCGCACGCGATAAAATGCATTTTCTATATTTTACAATAAAAGGAAAACAAATGTCTACATTATAGAATATTGCTTTCGTGCATAAAGATATCATAAGATAGTCCATACCATTCAATCTTTTGTCATCGATTTAACAAATCTGTCGCGGCATGCTACATGCTTCATCCAATATTGCATTCAATTGTACAAATTGTGAATGCTATTCAATTTGACCCAAAATGTAATTTATTTTCTTACTAATATTTTAATTAAAAACTTTTTCTCTTATATTTGATAACTTCGTCTGTTAATGTAAGATTTTTTTATAAATTTTTAGAGTTTCTTATCACATTAATCTAAATAATATAATCATACAGTTTTGAATAGATAATATGAAATTAAAAAACGTGGGTGTGTATATATATATATATATCTATTACTGTGCGATTATATATATTATGCACGAAATTGTTTAAATTATTTATAATTTGTATTTATTTTCTATATATTTTAATTATGTATGGTTTAATTTCATATTACAGAGTTTAAAATAATTTATAATAGTACTATATGTATAAAAAGGAAATGCATAAGTTGATTTTACGTTGAAGAAATATTATATAATATTAATTTGTGCTATTTCACGCATCAATAATTAGGTATTACAATTTGGACTCTGTAATTGCAATTAACGATGTTTATTTGCAGGTAATATTTTATGATAGTGATTGGAACCCTACCGTAGATCAACAAGCTATGGATCGCGCCCACAGACTGGGACAGACCAAACAAGTTACGGTCTACCGATTAATATGTAAAGGAACCATTGAAGAACGAATTTTGCAGAGAGCGCGCGAAAAAAGCGAGGTTCGTTTTATAAATCGCTGCACTTAGATGTTAAAGTCAAATAAACAAAATATACATAAAGATTGTTTTTAATGCAGATTCAACGTATGGTCATAAGCGGCGGAAATTTCAAGCCCGATACTTTGAAACCTAAAGAAGTCGTGTCGCTGCTATTAGATGATGAGGAAATCGAAGCGAAATGTAAGTATTTTAGTAATATTATTATTTTGCCTAGAGGTTTTTATTCGGTAACTGTAATTTTGTCAAAATTACAGTTTGTATAAAATTAATCGAACAACATGACGCTATATTGAGCAGTATTTTCTCTTTAAATTAATAAAAAATTTATCATTGAAATTAAATTTTGTGACGAATTAAGATCTATATCGAATTAAGATCTAAAATTATAATCCGTTGTAAAGTCGTTGAATAGTCGAGTTTTTATTCATCGTTACTATCGACTGTTCTATCGTATCCACGGCAGGACGCGCGTGTATGCACAAACGCGTCGAAAATGAGCCGAGGGGCGAGAGGGGGATGGTTGAGGTGGCCGCGATTACATTATACTCGTTAGCTTATGCTAATGGCCTAATAAGGAATAATAATAAGAAACGAAGTAACGAACACCGCTGCGTCCTCCGCGTATAGTACAAGTACGTACGTTCATATATTTCAGACAGCCAACGAAGCGAGGAGAGAAAGCAGCAACGAGCGGAGGAGGTTCGCCTCGAGTCGAACCTACAGCACAAGGAGAGGGACCGGAAGAGGAAGTTAACCGCGCTTCCGGTCAAGGTGAGCCCGGCGCCCTTATACACCGCTATCGGTCGCGTAGCAAAGATTCTTTTTAATCTTTTTTCATCATTTTCTTTAACTATTACTTTTTTCTACTTGCTTATTTTTTATCTTAAATCTTTTATTCCTCATTGTCTTATACTTTATATTATCGATTTACAGTCGAATTTACTATAAGTATCTTTGATTATTTTATTCAACAATTAATTCCACTTATCAAGTTCATTGTTGCTTGACAAGTCGTTTGGTAATATTGACCCAGAACATAATGAATCAGTAAAAAATTTGTTAATTATATATTTTGATTAAAATTGAAATTAATTTGGGTATCTCATTTCGTCTCATTTATATTTTTTACTGTAATTTTTATTGTTTAGAACGATGCAAAGAAGCCATGTCAGACAGATGCTAATGGCGACAAGAACAACGATACCGTTTACGTTCATCTTAATGAGTCTAAACCGGCTACCCATCCGATTCAGTCACAGCACCAGAACAATCACCATCAACAACTAGAAAATATAGATAATTACAGTACACCGACCAGCCCAGCTAAGTCAGAAGTACGTTTTCATATCGAACAAGCGTTAAAAACTTTGTATTTTTATTAACATATATTTTTATATACCTATTAATATTTTGATATATTTTATTTATATTATAAAAATTATTATTTGTTAGTGTCAAGTACAACATGTTTAAGACAAAATTTAAAAAAAGTCTTCGGTGATGACAAATATATTAATAATTTTAAAAGCATTTTCTTGTTTTGTGTCACCATCTATATAATAGCGCTGTATGATCCTTGATATTGATACTTTGATATTTTGTTTTTTTTTCTTATAGGATGAAACAAGCAACGAGGGACTCGTGGTCGATGTGGACGGTCCGGTGGCGGTTTCCGGTAACGACCCTCATGGACAGTCCCGAGGCAGTCTCCACCAATTTGGAGAATCTCCAGCTAAAATCGCCCGACTCGGACATTTCGCCTTCGGCATGGGTGCGAACGCGCGAATGCGACAATCTGTACGCGGCACGAGCAAACGTGGTCGACCACGAGGTTCTCGTAGGGGAGGACCAATTGGCGGTAAAGGAAGAGGACTGCTTTTAATGCATCCATCGTCGAAGGTTTCAAATGTAGCCAATGAATCATCATCGACGGCGATGTCATCGAATGATGGAGGTGGATGCTCTAATGAAGTATTGCGACACTGTAAGTACTTGTTTTTGAATAATTGTCTCACACTTTTTAAATATTTATTAGTAATTTATGAGGTTAAATAAATATCGCGTAAATAAAAATAAATATTTTGCCTAAACAATGTAAGTAAAATTAATTTCAGCGCTAAAAATATTAATTTTTTAATGATTATATATAATAATTTACGATCTCGTTTGAGAGGATAATTATTCTGATGTTTATTAATGTTTGTGTTTTGATTATTTACGTAAGCATCACAGTTATGTGATTTATAAATGCTTAACAAATGTAGGTCACACAATTTAATCTATATATTGGCTCTGTTAACAATGTTATACATTCATGCAGTTATTGCAATCTCTCTTGTTTATAGCTTTATCGAGGCCAATTGTATCAGATGGAAATGTTTATAATGTGCAAAAAGGAAAATATTCATAATATTAATATCACTGTTATTAATACGATGTTGGCAAATTGGATAAGAATAAAATGACATCGCGAAATGAAAGCGTTCAGTCACGAGAAAAATAACTGTTTTTGCGAATGCGATCACATTAATCGATATACCGTCAATCCCGACTGGTTTTTTCGTACGTCAGAGGTCTCCTCACTCCCGCTCCTCTTTTACACCCTCGACGCTATCTTTCGTCCAAGCACTTGCCCGGGTTCTCAGGGGACTTTGTGGTTCGCGAGAAGAATGCCCGTGGGTCCATTGCGACCCCATTGACGGCCAGTGCTGAAATTCCCTCGCGAGCACATGTGCACCCACGAGTGTCGAGGGGGTAACAGTTGGCGTTTCTCCACGAAGCACCCTTAGAGACATTCGCCTCCCCCCTTTTTTCGTGACTCATTCGGAGACACGTTTTGTAAACGACGAATTCAGGGCTTACTGGGCTTAGTCCTATGGGGAAAGCTTAGCTGAAACATTTGTTGCACGACGCATAGTGTATTGTGTGACAAGGGTGTTCTAGAAATCTGCCAGTCATCGGAAATACGTAACGATTTTAAACAGATCAAGGCGAACGATATACAATTCCAGTTACTAATAAAACGTGAAGCATTTAAAACTTCTTTACTTCATAATAACAATATTATAATATTGGATGGAAATAGTAATTGACATATACGATGCTGTTTTTGATATTACATATAGCTTACGATAAAATCTTCGTTTTATCAGAAAATAAATGTAAGCAAAATTATCGTTGCATTAAAAGCAATAGGATTTTTCTCAAATGTCCTGCTTTTAATGAAACTGTATTAATTTCTTCGCATGGAGCAAACTCGAGATCGTAAGAACGTTGAACGAGCATCATTATATGCTCCTCGTTCTCGTGCTAATTAGAGAAAGACAGAACGAGAGAGAAAGAGAGAAAGGAATACGGTGCGTATGTCCGATAAGACGACCTCACGCAACGCCACGTGGACCGTGGACACGCAGTGAACATACACGTGAGTGCATACGTACGTATGTGCGTGCGTGCGTGCGTGCGCACGTTAACACATTCCATCTCGTGCTACGTGTACCTACATACGAAAGGAAAGGGGTCGGTCTCTCTCACTTGTCGTCGACTGGAAGACGAGGCGGACAATAGCAGGTGCGGAGCGAAGGCGACAGCTGCGATCGATGCTCTTCTTAGGTTTTTGGAACTCGCGCGTACTTTTTCTCTCTCTCTCTCTCTCTTTCTCTTTTCTCTTCTTTCTGGCTCCTTTCTCTTCTTTTTTGTCTTCGTCAACGTCGTTTTCTTCGTCTTCTTCTCGTTACCGCCCTTTTTACGTGTCTTTTCTGTCCCTCCCTTACTTCGTCCTTTTGTCCATTAGTTATCTCCTTATCGAGATGCAGCGCGCGCTTGATCCAGCTGTTAATGTTCCGAGCTCTCACCAACATATATTCAGCATTATTTCTATTGATTATACGTTATATCTTATTTTGACCGATAAACCGATAACTGATGATGGATTAATAGGAATAAATTTTGGACTGAGAAATTAAAATTATTATTAATTATTACAAATTAATAATCGTCCTTTCGAAAGATACATTATCGAGAGGTCTAAATTTTGTTTAGATAACATCGTGTAGTTAAAATTTACGTTTTACATATACAAGTTTTTGTATGCAAGATTAGTTCAGAGCTAAACAATTTATCATTCTTTCGTGTAAGCATTCTTTTTTAATATGATAAACCTATATATCTATATTAATCTCAATATTTATATATTGGAGCATGTAACTATTGTGTGATATTTATTAAAAGTTATTTTTATTCAATTATTATTTAATTTGTTAACATCTAGTATTTTCAAATGCAACTATAATTTCAGTTGCATAATCCGGACGTCTAATTTCCCTTGTCGTATTGCGAAATCAAATAAAAAAGAGACAACCTATAGGGTACAGAATTACACGGACCCTAAGGGGTTGAATATTGTCGATTCGTGCCGTGCCTTTCCGTACCTTACTGTGTCATCTCGTCCGTCAGTTCCGCATCTTCTTGAATATCGTATTTTCATATCGTTATTTGAAAAGGATTCTCGAATATTTTTTCCTGTTTTATTTACAATTAAACAACAGTTACAATTATTAATATTGACATATCATGAAGATGTAGTCTGAAAATTGTAAATTAAAAATGAAATTCGTCGATACTTACTTGAAATATAAAGATATATTTACGTAAAGATTTAGGTATAAATTTTATTATAGGCGATTTATGACGAGTCTTTGCTTTAAATATCAAAAATATACGCGTGATACAAAGAGATGAGTTAGTTTCATTTACATAGTTTTATCATCCTAGATTATAAAATAGGATTTGGGATGCATAAAATTAATGATTTCACTTAACTGAATTTAATGAACGGAGAGAAGAGAGATTTGTAAGATCTTACTAAATAATTGTCTCATCTTTTAATTTCGAGCTTTTTCTTCAAGTCTTTTGGACTAAAATTAAGAAAGACAAAATAGAACTCTCAATATTAAAAATTTATTTTCTTTAACATCAAGGCCAATAGGAGTCCATTAATAAAGTTACTTGAATGTTCTATAATTAGAGCAATTTTCGTTTCCTTTGCTTCAAGTATTTCATCCAACACTAATAATTTATCGATTTGGCATTATAGATTATTTGCATCTTTTATTATCTTTTGTATTACGTCTCTCTCAGTGTATAACTTTTTATTGTACATTTCTTTTACATCTGAGGAGGGCTCGAAATTGTAGCCAAAACATGTTATGTGATTTTATTAAATCTTAACTTTTTTTTTTAACTAATATATTTATTATTTGATACACATTTTTAGTCTAATTTTAGAAAAAAAACAAGATGATCAATAAGCTCAGATGAATAAATCCAAAAAAAAAAAAAATAATTTTAGGACATTCAAGTAACTTTAAATGGACTCCTATTGGCCTTGATGTTGCAGAAATTTAATGTTTTAGACTAGTCAGACACGAATAGGAGATAAAATATATAGTGAAGGAGATGGTTTTATCGCATGAGATAATATAATGGTAGGACGCGCGGTAGAATAGGATGAGGCAAAGATATAACAACCTGTGGACATTCCATAGAGAATATCTTCGGTTCTTTATTTATCTCGAAAGTTTTACCTTTACATCGAGTTCTATCTTGCGCGTATATACATTAAGTACAAAGTTATAACATAGTTTACAATTTAATTTGACTATAATGCAAGTTGTAAATTAAATTACGGAAATTTCTATTGAATTACCTAGACTTTAGATAGCGAGTTTCATTACGTACAGGCATGTGATAGCTAATTTTATGAGTCTGTTTAATGCAGAGACACCATTTGGATTTCTACTTTCATCCAAGCTGTTCACGCAATTTCACAATTTGCCAGTCAGACATTGTTTATCGAGAGCCGAGCTTTATTTGATAGCTTAATAATTGTAAAGAATAATATTTTAAGCGCAATAATTTTTGTTCATACTTCTACAAAATACAACGTAACATCGCATACGTGCATTTCTATATCTGACGATTGGAATATATTATATCCCGACTTATTTATACGCGACATTCGAAGATCGCCAACTCAGATTCTTACGGAGCGTCTTTGAATTTCTTTCTCTTCCCAGTCAATGCGATTCACGCATGGAATTTTCAAGATGCATTATCATCGCTTGCGAGTGCGAGAGTCGGCAGCTTTATAGAGACAGACGCGCATTTTCGCGTTTTCCACTGCTCGTCCATTTCGTTAAGTGTCCTCTTAGACCGTAGTGACTGAAGAGGAACGGCTCCTCGAGCGATCGGGTACGTGCTTCGGAATGCCAACGAAGCGGCGAGGTAAAGACGCAAAGGACAAAATACGAGATATCCACGAGATGGGGCATTTATTTTCACGTTCATCGCATCCCATCGGAAAAATTTCCCCGAATCGCTTCTACTCGAGAACTCGATCGACTCGACTCGTGAAAAGCACAAGATAGAATCTCCCGTGCAACGCTTTCCAAACGTTTGTTACGTGATATTTTAACACATTATATCGAAGAACGTAACAATGACGTTCTCTCACGATGCTCAAATAATGCATGTTTGAACATCGTACTTTGTCTGCTTATTTAAAAATTGTAGAAACTCGAGTATTGAATATATCTATTTTGTGCTTCTGAGAAAAATGTACTCTTCGTTACTCGTGGGAATTTTTTTTCTCGATTTGCTTCCTCACGGGAATATTTGTTAATTGTGCAAGATGTTGTACAAATATATACAATTGATATTTTTTCCCATGGTATTTGACTGACGAGTGATAATTTGAGCGTTTTGCTCCTTTGCTAACTAGTTAACACCTCGCAGACCACGAGTCTTGAGTGTCTCCTCTCTCATTTTTGGCCACATCGCCAGAATAACCAGTGAATAATCAATTAACTGGTCGAACCAGTCAACGTTAAACTCAGTATCGAGTGATGTCGCGCATCTGCTTCACCGTAATCGTGAACAATTTCGTTCACCTCGAAATATTTAATTATTATGATTAACATATGTTCTCGTTTTCTCTATAAATCTCGATTTCGATTATAAAATGACTCACATAATAACAACAAAATAATTCATATTTAAAGAGATATATTTATATCTCTTTAAATATGAATTATTTTGTTGTTATTATGTGAGTCATTTTATTTATCGTTAGTAATTTGCAAACTTATGACCATTTATTACAATTCAGATTGATAAAGTCAGAAGCGAGAAAACACAATGAAAATTTGTGAAAAACATATCAAAATATATTTTCAATAAAACAATATTTGCATTTGATAGAGTACGCTTGTAAAATATACCGAAAACTCTCATGGAAAAAAACAGCTACGGTTGCCACGACCAATAATATATTTTTTCATTGTAAGAACTATAGTTTCGATTGTGATAACCATAAGATTAGCATATTTTAACGGCTACAGGTGTTAAAATGTATCCATCTTACGGTTATTACAACGAAATGTATCATAATGTATCATCATCAGTAAGAAGACCCAAATGAATTAATAAGCGAATTAATAAGAAAATTGTTATTATTTCCGGTTGTAGTGACCGTACATTTACCTTAGTTAATAGAATTTTTAATATAGTTAATAGGACTTCTATGTATTTTTTTCATTTTTGATGTGACAATAGTGAGTAAGCAAATTAAGATAAATTGGATTTTGATTAGATTTAAAAGAATCTAACACTCATTTACGCATAGATACACACAATGTATACATGTAATTTTATCATTATATTTCACATAAAAAAAACCAGTACTTTATCGAGTTATGTCGAATCGACAAGCTATTGCCGCAATGGCAGCGTTTCCAGCAGAACTTCCTCGAACAAAGAGGCGTACATTTTTATGTCCTAGGGACGCCTGCGACTTCAGATCCTGCTGACGGGGATGGTCCCAGCACGGTTGGTCCATTGGGTCCAGTTGGCACTTTGATACCTTTGTCGGGACGCAGTGGATCTACAGGGATACGTCGTGGCCCTGGTCGGCCACGATTACGGCCAACTGGGCCTGGTCATCAGGGCTATCGCACCCCCGGTCATCATCATGGCAAGAAGGTCCAGCGGCCGCTGCCAGTCCCCATCAGATCTCATCAAACGGTCGCAGGTGTCAATCAGCAAAAAGCATCTTCATCGTCGCAGAAGCGTTCGATGACTGGTACCTCGTCTTCGTCGTCATCTTCACTCGCAGCCGCGAATTCGACACTGTTATCTTCATCATCATCGTCGTCATCATCCTCATTGGCGGAATCACGACCTTTCGGATTTTACACGCAGCAACAGCCACGTGCAGGATCATCGTAGTTTTGCAGAGGAAGAATAGTGTCCTGGTTAAACAACGCGCAAGTTTTGCGATGCTGGTAAGCTGTTTTCAAGATACCTCTGCGTTTTCTCTTTCCGCCAGGTGTCGATTTCAATCCATGGATCAATCAGCCAGTTAATAGTGTAGTGAAAAAAAATTCTTGTGGCTCGTGGTTTATTTTTTGAAATTCAGACTCGATTAAAATATAGCATGTAATTAATGTGTTTTGTGAGAGTTTAACTTCTGCCAGTGATTTTTCTGTACACGTGACTTGAGCGTGCAATTCTTATAAGTTAGACTCTCGTCTCGCCCCCTGTTATCCTAAATTATAATTATAAATATATAATATGAAAGGAGGCAGCAATTGACAATATTTAGGCACTGTTGCGATTATATCTATTGCACAATTATATTTATTTTAGTTATGGCGTAAGAAGTAAAGCGAAACTCATTGTCGAAAATACAGTTTAGAAAATACAGTTGTCGATGTCAGTTAGGTACTTAATTCGATGCTTGCCTTTGAATCCTTTTGTCGGATTCGTCTTCTCGGTTTTACAACAATTTGGATCGTACTCTTTGATTAAATGTGCAAAATGGAATTCTTGTGGGACACTCATCTGCTGCGGGAGTGAAAGAGGTCGATTTCTGTTATTAATCAATCGATCCAATTCTACGTATGTGGTACAAGTGTAGCTCTCGTTTTTAACTCTTAAGTGTACAATTAGATAATCGACATGACGCGCACGTCGGCGCCGAATTCTGACGACGATCATCGATAGATCAGACCTCTGGCGAAAACGTCGACGAAAAAGGAGACGGGAAAGCATTTTGAATTTGCCTTCTTCGTCTTCTTTATCATTCGCTCTCTCGGCGTCTTTGTACATTTTTCATTAACGATAGCATTATTCCGTCACTAGACTCGACTAGCCGATATTTTTTATGCATGTTACGAAACGTCGTTAGGCCAATTCAATTTGTAAAAGAATAGTATTTATATTAGCAATAAACAGACAAAAATTTCATCTTCACGAATGTTTGGCCAATTTTATTGCGAGTTTTATACGCAAAACACTTCGCATTTCCTTCCACTGACGATTGTTTTAACTGACTCAATCGAATTTTTTTAAACAAATATTTAATCAAATACTTTCTACTTTCTTTTAAATATTTTAATAACCCCAATTTTTAATTAAGAAATAATAGTAAATTTTACATTTTTAACTTGGTTTAAAATGGATTCATAGTGAATATGAAATATCTATAATGACATAATTTCTATCTTTATCTTCTTTCTTGTACTTACTACTACTTTCGATTCCCAAGAAACGTGTAAACGACTGTCGGAGTACGGTAGGAGGATTCTGTATGATAATGTCTGATTAACGAAACAGCGTCCGAAAGTTGGAAGTGCCGGTTAATAGTACGAGTATGCAGCTGTCGGTGGAGCCGCGTCATCATCTGCGTGATTGGGATCAAGCCGAGCGCGAGGAATTCTTCGTGCCTCGTGATTCTTTTTATCTGATGGCGCGAACTGCGAGAATCCCATGCGTAGCAGCACATTTTTGGAATTAATTAGCGAATATCCCTTTCCTGTCGTAAGTCGGTTAGGAGTTCGTTGGTTTCCAACTGTTGCCGTTAAGTTCCTCTTATAGTCGAAAAATACATGACGCACGGTTGCTGTCTATATTAACTCATTTAAGATTAATTTTATTAATTTAATTATGTAAACGAATATTATCATAGTTTCGAGATATACCACGATAATTTAATTTATCTCGGAATTTGGTTTTAATATGTACCATTATAGTTTAAGCACGGAAGCAATTAATTAATATTCTACATAATTTTGTGCAATATTAACTGATGATAATTCAACTCACGTCGTCGCACGCGTGGTCGATTTATCATGGCCGTCAATAATAACAATAACAACAACAACAAGCAACAAAGAGTCATACTCCTGTTTCAACGGAAGGTGGACATCGTGCGCCGACACAGTAATTGCAACCCGCATACCATCAACATCGTAGGTCGCAGGCTCGTCAAGGTCGCTGTTATGGATATGGACAGACCATCGCTCAATGGCATCCAAAAAAATATCGGGTAAGTACAGTAAGAGAGAAAAAGAACAAGTGTGAAGGAGAGAACGCGATAGGGGTTGCAATTTAGACAGTGAATGCAGACAGTAAAATTAAGTTATCACAACGATTGACTTTCTTTGTCGCTTCCTCTCTTTGCTGTGATAGCGATAAATATTGTAAAGATTGAATGTCATAATATTTATATCCACTACATATATATACAATTTGGTTACATATACACGGAAAGAATTATATCTTAAAATTTACCCTAAAAATATGATAATTGTGGGACAACATTATATTTCGAAGAATTTTTATGTAAATCTCTCACATTCATTAATAAAACTACAATAAAATATAAAATAAGTATGATTAATTTTACTGAAGTGCATGGTAAAAATCTTTAAATTTATTGTATTGTACCATAATTACTGTATTTTCAGGGTAAATTTTAAGAAATCCTTCTCTCCGTGTATAATATATTAATTTAATTATAGCAGAGCTAAAGGCACAAATAGATATAAATATTTATATATGTTGGTACATTAAACTCGAAACTAGAACTTCAATTTTTTCTCGTAAAGCATCTTTTTATCTTTCTAAAATAAAAGAGATTATGTGTTTCTACAAATGATTCATATTCCAACCATTGATACTTATCTATATCGATAAAGTGAAAATCGTATTAAATTTATCAATACTATTTTTTATGTTTTGCATAAGGAAAATTTTTAATAATTCGATATATATCAATTATTTTAAACATTCGGTGTTATTTACGATTGCACTCTGGCTGCACGTCGCTCCGCGTCGCGCATATTCTGTCACGCGAGAGAGGAGCAGGACTCCGTCCGAGGACCGAGACCTTGCGTTGCACCTGCTACTCTCAGGTGTACGCGAGCGCGTCTTTTATCCGGGCGCGATCTCGGTGCATCTCTCTTCCTCTCGTCCTTTTGTACGCCCCGAAACGAAAGGCATACACGCGAGGCGCGCCGCTGTTCCAAGTCCGCGATTAATCGCTCGCGCACGCTCGGCAATCTCGATCTAATTAATCTGATCATCTCACGCGGCAGTCACCCCCGCATGTGCGATTGCGATTGTAAAATATGAAGACGTTCCAACTCCATGATTTTCGCGAAATAATTTTTATTGATACATTTTGCTACTTGCCTCTCCCAAGCAGGCTCGAATATTTGACGCCCATGATGATGAATAATGTTCATATCGGGACGTCCCATATGTCATTTTAAGCTACTCGATACATCTGTGCAGTTAATTAACTCTCGTATGGCAATGGGATCGATACGCGATCGGGAGACAAATCGTGACTTGAACTTGACAGTCGCAGGTGCGAGTCTCAAAACGAGTTCTTTCAAGGTCATTATCAACCACACTGCATTTCCGATTAGTATTTTTTCGTCTTGGGGTGTTTAAACAGAATCGCTAATTGATACGTAATCAAACTTCCTTTATGATGCAGATTGATTTTCCTTGTGTTTCACATTTAAAATTTTAAATAATACTTATGTGACTAGAACTTACGAGAAAACAGTATAAAATGGCGAGAAAATAAATAATCTCCTCTCAGATTACTTTATCAATGTTCCATGAATGGAACAATAGATCTGTAAAAAATTAACAGGTAAATCGTAATGAGCGAAATAGCAGCCATCCCTTCGACGACGTCAAATTAGCCAATTAGTATCAATGATTTTGATTGCGCGATTCTATCTTAAATTTATAATTTCAAGATAGGTACTCTGTATTCCTAGAAACGTGTATCAATATTAGATATATGATAACGTGTCACGAGAATGGATTATCGCAAAATTTTTTGAACTTTTCGCCGGAAGCTAATTTTCTGCGTGCATCTCTTTCGAAAATGTTTGATGAATTATCCGCGTATATAAATCCAATCCTAGAAAGTACGACGTCCTTGGGAGCGCGCGCGCGCGTCTCGTCTTTCGTCCAAGACGTTCAACGGTGGGATAATTTGACACACACACGGTATTGTGTAATTAGGAGGGTAATTACGTAATTATGAATTAATATGGCACACTGTATCCCTGGCTCTCTCTTCCTTCGATCGCATCGGCAAGCAGTCGGTCGTGCGAGCGAGCGAACGAGCGAACGTTCGCCGGCGTCGTCTATGCCAATTAGGCTCGGCGGCAGGTTGCCACGAAATTAAAGCTTTTATTTCGGCGTGCGAACGCACGAAATTAGCGGAGCGAAACGTGAAACAAGTTCCTCACACACTCCCTTTCTCATTTTCAACTCCGCGAATATGGTCGACAATAGCGACGATGCATCCCACGTGTGAGCTTTTTCAAATAAAGTATACATATTAAAAATATTCGCGGTTTTTAACATTACATTAACGTGTTGATTTCATACGATATATTTTTCTTCCACGAATGTTTTAAACTCATGAAAAATTTGGAAATCTATAAACTCATGTACGATAAAAAAATATAGGAATAAAGATTAGTATAAAGAAAAATGGTTTATCGAGCGGGGTATAAGATTTTTTAATTAATAAATTTTTTAATAATATTAGATATTGTAAATTAGAAATTTATTAATTAAAAAAATGTATCACACACCGCTCGATTTAGACCGTTTTTTCTTTATACTTTGCATTGCAAAAAACGAGCGAAATCAAATTATAAAAATTAGTGTTTCGTTATCTATTTATTATCCGCGCCTGCCTAGTTTAATATACATATATTACCAGTAATATTAGCTTCGCTGCGGTTTGTAAAACTTGTAGAAGAACGAGAACTCGAGGCACCTGGCATTTGCCGCTGGCAAATTAGGATTTTGCGAATTTAAATGTGTACAGTTAGTTCTTACGTACGGAACAGGTTGAGCGCGTTCGCACTTGCGATAAAAAGCGTAGCTTACTCTCGCCACGAGACAATTAACGACATCGTTAAGCCACGAACGCGTTCTTGCGATCGCGGAGTAATATGCGCGGGTTTTGCGCGTTAAAAGACGCTGGGTGTAGATCAATTAACGGCATCGTTAAGGCGTTGGGATTCCGTCCGTGATCGTCAAACGCGCATACAGATCTCGTAGAAAAACCGCGTTAGCAGTTTTCCTATCTCTTTCTTTACATAAGATTTTTTTGTGTGCCTGTTAATGTTATATCGCAATTTCTCGAAATATATATTATATACATATATATTCAATTTTCAAAAAACTAGTTCATTGCTTGATGTAATAATATGGTCTTTGAAAGAATGGAGAAAATGAACAATTAAGATCCGAAAAGATTTTATAAAAGCATTTAAAAAATGAGTTTTTTACAATTTTAAATTTAAAATCAATTTCTTTCTAAAAAAGATTTTGCAAGTATATATTTTAGATACACAATTATCTACTATAATTTTCAAAAATTTTCAATTGAATCGTAAATATGAAATTATTGTTCTCTCTCTTATCTAGAATGAAAACCTTGCGACTTATTTGTTTCTCAAATCTTATATATAATCTGTAGTAAACTTAGTAAAACGTAAGAAAATTTCTCGAAAATTCTGAACGCCGCTTGCAGTTCCTTACTCGCCAGGTCTAAGGACGGGGACGTCGGGCAAGTCGGGCGTCGGTGGTGGCGAGGCACCGAGCGTGCTTCCTGCTGCTTGACCGGAAGTCGCGAGTCAGAGGCTCGGCTCTACGTAGGCGTTACGCTTCCTTACGCGTATCTACACCGTCTCGCTCCCAGTTTTGCTTCCAGCCCGCCCGCTACTGCTTGCCTCGAGGTATCGTTGAGACTCAAGGACATCGCTAGATTAGTCAGGATATAGTACCACGTTTCATTCATAATAATCCTAGAAGTTTGAAGGATCGAGAGCTTAATCAAACACGAGAGTATTATTTCCCGCTTTCAAACACGATTTAGCTTCCTCACAATCTTGAATCAATCTTCAGT